AAGAGAGAGAGAGAGAGAGAGAGAGAGAGAGAGAGTTGCGAGTTTTTTATTTATAAATTCGTGTATATTTGGCTATTGCTATTTCGTTCCAAATCGAAATATTTTGCACAATGTCTGCCACAAAAATTATAGTGACCTTTTATTATAGAAAAAAAAGACACTAGAATAGACACAGACAGGAGAAATAAAATTTACAATGAGCCTCAAAACACTACTTATGGCAACAAATGTTAATTCCTCTTATGTAATCCTAGGAATGTAAAATTTGCCCAATAATTTTTGCCTGTAACTGATGAACAAAAATTAGGTGTTAAGACCAATAAGTGATGATACTGCCCTACTACCTTGAGAAAACCTATAATGATCTTCTTGTTTGAATAATTTGAAACAGAAAAATCCTATATGGCACCCTCAAACGAAAGCAAGCGTATGTTTCCCTTTTCTTGTTTAAATGATTTCAAAAAGAAATAAATGGGGCACGAAGAGAATTTTACAAGTCTCTTCTAAATCTCCTTTTACTTTTTTTAATCCTTTTAAATTGTAACTGGTGAATGCGAAAGTTGAGTTTTCACATTTCTAGAAAGTATTGCTTTTTCTAATGACGTATGCCACAGGAAATCTAATTGATGGTTGTAAAATTGAACGAATCTGACAAATAACGATTATCAGGATACATCGCTTTTTTTTCGAAACGTTAGATGTAAATGGGAACCCGATTAAACACTGTTCAGTAGAGATGTAAATTAAAAAGTCCGTAAAAAATGAAAAGAGACGAAAACAAAAAAAAAAAGGACGAAAAGGAAAGGAAAGGAAAGAAAAAAAAAAGAAAAGATACAGTTGTTTATGTTAGGTTTCATTACCATTGAGACATAGAGAATAGAGGTTTATCATGGAATGTAAGTATGAAAATTTTTGATGAGTAGGATCAGACTTGGAAAATGAAGATGCGTTTGAAGGTAATGAAAAGATTGACATAGAATGTTTGATTTTATTCATGTTTGTTTGGGTAAGCACAAAAAAACCGAGGAGTGGAACATATAGGTCTCTATATGTGCGATTGACCATAAACCTTGTAAGCAGGTTCAGTTAGTAGGAAGAACAGGAAAAAAGTAGCAAGCAGCTTCGTTCAAAAAAGCTGTAAAAAAAAGAAACCAGAAAAAAAAAAAAAGGACACCGACTTAGAAGACCAAATACAAAAAGGTCGACGTTTAGAGGAACACTTTAAAAATCACAAGTTATATACAAAATAAATAGCATGGTTGACGATGAGAAAGGCAACAAAATTCTATAGTCATTGGATTGAAAATAGGAGGATTTCTTCCTTAATGAGAGGTAACGGAATGAATAGCCTCGGCAAGGTAGCGAACGTTGGAAGAGTTGATACCAGCAATGCTAATTCGGCCATTCTTGGTCAAATAGATATGCCAGTCCTTGCTCAAGGTGGCGACTTGCTCGGGATTCAAACCAGTGTAACAGAACATACCGATTTGGTCAGTAATATGCTTCCAGCTGTGTTTGCTGTTAAGATCATTTTCCAAAATGGTACGTAAGGCTTGACGCATGGAAATAATGCGGCCAGCCATGCCTTTAACCTCGTTAGCCCATTGTGAACGAAGGTTCTTATTCTTCAAAATGAAATTGGCAATTCGGGCTCCATGGACTGGAGGGTTGGAGTAGGAGGCACGGACCAAGATTTTAAGTTGACTCTCGAATCTGGCGGCTTCCTCCGGAGAGGCAGTCAAGGCACTAAAACATCCTACGCGTTCACCATAAAGACCCATGTTTTTGGCAAAAGACTGACACAAAAACATCGGGATATTATTTGAAGCAAACAATTGGGTAGCATAAGTGTCACGTGCAAAGTCACCGCTAGCAAAGCCTTGGTAGGCCATGTCCAGTAATACAAAATGTCCTTTCTCGCGAACGACACGGAGGATATCGTTCCACTGAGCATGCGTGGGATCCACACCAGTGGGATTATGAGCACAAGCATGCAAAAGGACAATGGAATCGTTTGGGGCTTGTGATAAGTCAGTAAGCATACCTTCAATATCAAGGCCTTTTGTTACTGGGTTGTAATAGCGATATTCCTTGATATTTAAGCCAGCATTGCTAAAAACATTTTTGTGATTTCCCCAAGTAGGGTTGGATACATAAATGTCTTTAGAAGGATAATATTTCGACAAAAATCGAGAAGAAAGTAATAATGCGCCTGTTCCGCTAACAGATTGTGCTGAAACCAACCGATCACGAATGCTATCGTAAACGTCGCCGTAAGCCATGCGTGTAGCTTCCGTACGAAAGCCTGCATCTCCTGTCATAGGCAAGTATTCTTTATCAAGGTCTTGTTTCAATAATTCAACTTCCGCAGTCTGGACGCTGGGCAAGATGTATGGCTTTCCCGTGTCATCTCTATAGGCACCGACGCCCAAGTTGATTTTCTTTGGAAAATCGTCCTTTTTGAAAGCTTCTGAAATACCAAAAATTGGATCAGGAGGACCCATGGGCACATTTCCCCAACCATGAAATCCACGTTGCAAGTTGCATCCGACGAATTTCCCTCCATTCAAAGAAGAATACTGAAAAACAGCCTTACTAGTGACTCTACTTGCAGTAGTATGTGCTCGCAAAACCCCAGAAAACATATTTAGATACTTGATGGGTATCGTAAGTCTGCTTAGACGACGTTACTGTGGATTGCTTTTTTTTAAATAATTGGACTGTTCGATGATCACATCACGTCTTTCGTTTATAACGAAGCTTATCGCACGCTGACGAAATTGAACGAAGCACAAACCCCTATCATGAAGCGATCAAATAAGATTCGTACGATGATAGCACAAATAGCGATACCAATGATATTTGAAAAAAAAAAAAAACAAAAATTTCTTTAAACAAAAATAAACACAATAAACAAGAACATTAAAGCGGTTTTAAACTAAAATTTTTTCTTTCTTTTATATTTAAATTTATTTAAGAGATTAACTCAAGTCTTTATAAGGTCAAACACAGTAAGGATGATATTTGTATTTTGTCTTGTCCAAATCTTCCTAAAATGCGCCAAAGTCATTCGAAGCGCATTGTTTTCATAAAAACTAAGCAAACAAACTAAAGAAAGAGCTTTTGGAACAAAAGGGAACAAATCAATGAAAGAATAAATTAAATTTATATCTCTATAAAAAACTAACCCTAAAAAATCGACATATAGAGTAAGTCTCAATTGATTGAAAAAAAGTAAACAACGTGATTCATCGTAAAGTGTCAAAAGAGTAAAGTAACTATCCTCTGTAATTGCTTTTAAACTTTTTGTTTCTTTCCATTTGCTTTCATTTGTTATTGAAACATCTTAGAAGTAGCGTCTGATTCAGCGAATGTGTCACGTCGTGTAATTCTTCTATCCAATTGCAAGCTTTACTGACTTCCTCTTGAGGAACTGTTGTCTGTGATGAATACAAACATTTCAAAAGCATCTCATTACTTGCATATTGTGTAACTTATAATGTAAACCAATACTCTACGACTTTTTTTAATCTATTTATTTCTCTTGCATTTAAATTACTTGTCCGTAGAAAAACCGACTACGAATACTTGAAACCATTTTCATCCTCACTCATACATCCTACTCTACTCCATAGGAAAACCTCTTTTCTATACAACGTTCCTGAACGTGTTCGTTATTTTATCCCATGAACCATAAAAGAAACGTTTGAAAAATATTTATTTAATAATATTGAAATTGATTAAAGCTTTTTTTGGGGGTTTCTTTTTTATTTCTACTGTTTTTGATTCCTTTTTGGCTTTCTCGTTTTTGTACTACCATGTCCAAATCTGATGCAGTTTCTAGATTGCTAGCAGAGATTTCTGCTCAACAGAACCAAAACCAAGTGGTTCCAGAGCTTCCTTATCCTACTTCCAGTGGCATCATCAACTTAAACGACCCTAATCCATCATTGGGAACTTTCGTTCGTCTGTATGACCCTGCTTACTCGTCCCAGCCATACCAAGATTCCTTAATAGGCACTACTCCTTTAGCCCCATCTGCATATCATCCACCAAGTTCTTCTAGCTCATCAAAAACTTCGTATTCATTTCCCGTCAAAAGCTGCTATGTAGGCATGCTCATTGGAAAACGTGGCGAAAAACTCCAAAAAATGGAATCAGCCACAAAGACAAGAGTTCAGTTTATGCCTGAAACTCCTTCAAAACCAGGTGAGCGAATGGCCATCATTACTGGCCAAACCGAAACCATTGATATGTGCCGTAGGGAAATATCTCAAAAAATCAAGGATTATCAAGATGTACTTACGGCCACAGCGTTCCCGGCTATAGCACATGGCGTTGGCGGAAATCACCATCCCACGTATGAGACCCCTGATCCATTTGTTATACCTGAGCACCACATCGGACTTGTTATTGGCAAAGGTGGTGAAAAGATTCGTGACCTGCAAGAGGCAACCGACACAAAGATTATCATTAATACAGATACTGACTTAATGAATCCTCTGCGACCCGTGTCCTTCCAAGGGTCACCAGATGGAGTTTCCAGAGCAAAGTCTATAATTCAAGACATCATTGTACAGGAACAACTGAAAATAAACTCTCTGTCGACAACCTCCAACCCAAACAAAGTACAAACTGATGTTATGGCTGTTCCAAGAGAATCCGTGGGAATGATTATTGGGAGAGGCGGTGAGACAGTTCGTGAAATCTATGCGAAAACAATGTGCCAATTAAAAATATCTCCTGACGGTGGTCCTTCTGTCCCTGAACGTGAAATCACATTCATCGGAACTCCGTCAAGTGTGGAGTTGGCTAAGTGGGATGTTTTAGAAAGACTAGAGCGAGCTGGTGTGCCTCTTCGTCGTCTCGCTCATCCGCCCATTCCTCCTGCTGCTTCTATACCTCCAACGAACGTTCCTGGAACGGCTATGCCAATGCCAATGCCAGAACCATATCCTCCTTATGGAGATTATGAAAATTACATGAAAGCGTGGCAGCAATATCCTCCTAATCCTATGTATCCCAAGTAATGACGAGAACTTTCTAAACTAAATGAAGAAAAAAGCTACTTTTTTCTTCGCCTAAAAATAGAACTACAGATTAAATTATGCGATGTTAATGATTGGCATATGTTTATAAAAAAGGATTCTTCAGATGATGCTCATATCGTACATCTTATTTAAAGTAGTCAGACTATAGAAATCGCTACCTTTGCTAGCCCTACTTTTCGTGATTTAAGTTTTGATGAACATATGAAGTCAAAAGGGTAACCGATTCGATAAAATAATATTCTCCTACCTATTGACTTGCCTCCTATCTTTTACTAATTACATGCAAGAATCGTTCTAATCTTCCTTAATCAGTGCTAAAAAATGCAAACATTTTTACTTATTTATTGAATTCCATAGAACCATTTACGTAAGGGAACGAAACCCAGTGAAGTCTAAGGAATCGCACTATACTGAAACAACTACATGTTACTACGCAGCTTTCGCCTTTTATGTAAGCTGAATACTACCATTACCAGACCTTCTTTCAAACAACCAAATTTTTGAAACAAATGGTAAGGAAACTGTTATGGATCTGGTTTGAATAGTAAGCATAAGTAATTTTGTAGTTTTGAAGTGCTTTTGGCTTACTTTAACCAGATAGAATAAAGAGTGTTAATGGAACCACAGTATTAACATATATGTAGGGTCAAGCACAATCTGGTGGATTCTCCAATTTTGGAGACGGAGCAAATGACGACAAGAAAAAAGACCAAAAGAAGGATAAGCCAAAATATGAGCCTCCAGTTCCTACTCGTATTGGCCGCCGTAAAAAGAAAGCTCATAGTGGACCAGAATCAGCAACAAAGCTTCCGGCTGTTTTACCCACAAGTCGCTGCCGTTTAAGATTACTCAAAATGCAACGCATACACGACCATTTACTAATGGAAGAAGAGTATGTACAAAACCAAGAACGCCTTAAGCCCCAAGATGAGAGAACACAAGAAGAACGTAATAGAGTTGACGAGATTCGTGGTACCCCAATGTCCGTAGGTACTCTGGAAGAAATTATTGATGATGATCATGCTATTGTTTCTACGGCCGGTCCTGAATACTATGTCTCAATTATGTCCTTCGTTGACAAAGACATGCTGGAGCCCGGTTGTAGTGTATTGCTTCACCACAAGGCAATGAGTATTGTCGGTATTTTGCTTGATGATACAGATCCTATGATTAACGTTATGAAGCTTGATAAAGCCCCTACCGAAAGTTATGCCGACATTGGTGGTCTCGAATCTCAAATCCAAGAAATCAAAGAAGCAGTCGAGTTACCTCTTACCCATCCCGAGTTATATGAAGAAATGGGTATTAAACCTCCTAAAGGTGTTATTCTATATGGTGCGCCTGGTACTGGTAAAACACTGTTAGCGAAGGCGGTTGCTAACCAAACGTCTGCAACCTTTTTGCGTGTTGTGGGTTCTGAATTGATTCAAAAATATCTGGGTGATGGTCCACGTCTTGTTCGACAATTATTTAATGCCGCTGAAGAGCATTCACCTTCAATCGTATTTATAGATGAAATTGATGCTATTGGAGCTAAGCGTTATGAAGCTCAATCAGGTGCCGAAAGAGAAATCCAACGCACAATGTTGGAGCTATTGAACCAGTTAGATGGTTTCGACACCAGCAATCGTGATATCAAGGTTATTATGGCCACCAACCGTATTAGTGATCTCGATCCTGCTCTTATTCGACCTGGCCGTATTGATAGAAAAATTCTTTTTGAAAACCCTGATGAAGCAACTAAAAGAAAGATTTTTACCATTCATACTTCTAAGATGAATCTAGGCGAAGACGTCAATCTTGAAGAATTAATTCAATCCAAAGATGAATTATCTGGTGCTGAAATCAAAGCTATTGTTTCTGAGGCTGGTCTTCTAGCACTTCGTGAACGAAGAATGCGTGTTGTTATGGAGGATTTCCGACAAGCCCGTGAAAAAGTTTTGAAAACCAAAGATGAAGGCGGTCCTGCTGGCGGTCTGTATATCTAAGAAATATTCCATAATGATTACAAATTAGTTAGAAAGAGATATATATCTTGTTTCAATGCATGTTCTTTTACGCTGTGATAATGGAAGTATTTGTGAGTCAAAAATGTAAAGGAAAACTTTTGTTATATTGTAAAGACTACAAGCGTTGTAAACCAAAAAAATAACCTTAATAGTATTGGTAAATTGGTATCGTAACCGCGGAAATTTTTATTATAAATAAGAATTATTCAGATCAGGTTCCAGAGAATGTATGGAAAACGAGGGTTCCTTATTTTACGTTTTAGTATGAAAGAGAGCATGAGAAACAGTTTTCACATAATTTTACTTTTTCACGGGCTTACACAAAGAATGGTAATCTTCGGGCCTCAAGGCACGGACAGCATCCTTGAAAATTGATAGAGGACAAATGGTCTCATTTCCCTTATAACCTTGTCCACGACAGGCTCCCATAACGACATGGTTGGAGTTGTAAGTAAGTCGAACATACCAATCAGATGAATCATCTGAAGGAAGAGTCGAAGCAGCGTTTTCTTTTGAAAGAACGACTTGCTTACTAGAGTCAGCAGGACTTTCGGGGTTTCCAGCAATGGCTTTTGGGGAAGATTCTTTAGATGTATCTTTAAATAGCTCTAATTCAAGATGAGAAGTAAAAGGAGGCCATTGGTAATCAAAAGCATCAAGTGAAGCAAGGATTGCAGCTAAGGTTACATCATGAGCTCCATACAGAGCCAAACGGTCCGAAGGAGCACCACGTTTATCAGCCTTGACTTGAGATTCCATTCGCATGTATAGGTCATTTAAAAGACTTCCTGCGCCAAGTTGACGCATTAACTTTGACACTTTATATCCTCCAAACCATTCTTCAGTAACTGCGTTCCCAGCATCACGCAACCACTGTTCATCAACTAAATTAGGATGAAGATCAAGTCGATTACCAATAGCAGCATTAATTGTGTCCAAAAGACCACTAAGACGAGGATGACTGGAGACAACACGAACAGGTTGACCGTTCATGAACTGGCTCATCATTTCCGATGCTCTTCCCGCAAGGAGAGGATCGTATATTTTGGCCGCTCTTTCAGCAAATTCTTCATACAATTGAACAAGGCGGGGGCAATTATTTTCATTTGGAAGTAAGTTTTCGTGCGACCAATTACGGGTGTAAATGGTAGGCACGACACCCGGGCGTTTTTCATCAGGATAAAGTCCAGCGAAAACGTGTTGCAAAGATTCAAGAGCACGAGCCATAGGTGTAGAGCGCATATAAAACCCATCGGCAGTCTCTATCTTGTCTGGTAAAAATCCGAGTTTGTTGATATACCGCTCTCGAAGATATTCACCAAGGTTACGAGTGGTAATCCTTCCAATGTCTGTTAATTCACCATGAATACAAACGCCGCTTTTAGCCTCCTCTTTTGAAGAAGCTGCTAAAGCTGAATCCACCGGAGTCTCTGTTTTTCGTTCATATCCGAGTACCGACCATTCTTTGGCTCCTTTGATTTGAGCAAAAAATCTTCTAGCATTGTTACAAAGCTTCCAATCCTTAGGAATACCTGCTGATCCTAACCTTTCTTTTACGGGCGCACGCTCACCATGTCGGAACACAACCTGCAAATATTTGAGCTCAAGCTGCTTAGGAAAATCCAAACCAGCGACTGGATCTGGATAATGAACAGAAGTAGAAGACATTTGCGACATGGTGTTGAATTATTTCTTAGGGATTTTTGTTAGTGAAAGGTGGTTTTGGCATTCACATGTCCTAGCTAGGTGGGGGCCTGTACTAGCTACTAAGGATGATGAATATGGAAAAATAAAGGAGCGACTGAAGCGTGAAAAGAATTGAATTTCAATGTTGAAACAAATAGAAACCTACTTCTTGTTGAGTATGCTAAAGTTTGAACCCGACAGAATTCAATGTCAGGTGTGATTGATAGCTTGGTTGGTGAACAAGCTTCCACATAACATAAATTTGTGATTGCTATGGGCAACGAAAGCTAACGGTTAAGTTAAGGAATATATTGATAAAAAATTCATCTTTATAAAAAAGAACTGGCTCGCATGCCAACAAACAAGCTACGTTTCCTTGTATCATTCAATCTGTTGCTACTTATATCGTATAATGGAGTATTTCGACAATTGTTACTTATAAAGCTTTCTCTAGTAGTAATAGTCTTTCGTTGCAATTGGTGTAGATTGTATACTTTCATTTAAAAAATCAATCAAGAAAGCATCAAGTTTTTTGAGCATCAAAAGACGTACCAGAGCATCGTTTCGTCATATATCACTTACTCAAAATGAGCCTTTGTTTATATACTAAAAAATGAAAACAAAGACATGAATAGTGAATATTTTCAGTCTTTTTTTCTTTTTTTAGAATAAAAGACATACGGAATGAATTTAAAGAACAACGGTCCAAATCAATGGTCATTCTTTTTTTCACGATTCATTAATTGTCCTGTTTCGTATATTCATAGACTCTCTGCAAAGACCTTTACTATCCCATACAGAAACATTTCCATTATTATCAGTTTAAGAATTTTTCACGTACTCGTTTCTGCTATTTTTCAACCAACATTCTTTCCAGAATTTAACCTTTCGAAGAAGAAGTTTGAGATATCTTCTTTAGTGACAACTTTGTTTTCTCTTGCAAAAGGAAGCAAAAATTCCGTGAGTTCATTCTTTAATCGATTGTAGGCATGAACTCCTTCGATTGCTTGAACACGGGGAAGCCGATCTAAAACATGAAGTATATCTTGCATGGTGCTAGACACAACTTCATCAAGTGAATTCATGTCTTCCGCTTCATCACCGCTTTCATTTTCCATGTCAGAATCCTCAGGTTGCTCATAAATCGGTTCATCCTCTATTAGAATAGGCATTTGACTTTTGCGAAGCTCAATACAAGAACCACAAGGGCAAAGTTGCTCTCGAAAGTGTTCGTCCAGAAACCGAGGAACTAATTGTTCTTCTTTCTGGAAAGGCAAAACGTGCTGACGATTCAAAAGACAGTTCCTATACTTAAATACGCAGTCTTTACAGATTACCCATTCAAATGACTCCGAATCAGGCAACGACTTGCCTTGATTGGAAACTTCCAAGCATCGATCATGAAACCAATCTTCACACAGTATACATTGAAACATAACTCCGCTTTCTTGTTCAGGGTCGTAGAAGGTATCACAGGTACAAAACTGGCCTTGAAAGTTATGGTTATATTGATTTTCCGGAGCACACTCGTTTGTTGTCTTTCTTATCTTACAGGGCTCTTCGCCGGTTCTTACGGTTCCACAATCACATTGGAAATGTCGTTTATGAAATAATTCCACCAATTCATGATCTGCGTGACAGCTGATACTACAACCATAGCAAACCCCGTTCAAACACTCTGCTTCTCTTTGGCAGGTTAAACAAGCATATAATGTCTGCTTTAAGTAACCTTTGGAATATGTACATTCATCAAATTTATAAGGGTATGCCTCACGAGCTTCAAGCTCTAATTCTCTCTGTCTTTCGACATATTGTTCCGCTGTTAATTCCTCTAATGTTGAATCCATTTAGAAAACTTCTTATATAACCGACGCCAATGTGTAAACAAAAGGCAAATTTTGTATGTAATTTTTCATTTACAGATAATTAGTGGAGTCTGTTAATACTTGTTTAAGTAAAGAAAGAAGATTTTTGAATACGGTTTAGTGGTATATCGCAATAGTGCGTTAAGCTACAGTCCTAGGCGAAATGTTTGCCCAAAAAGAAAAGCCAACAACATTTCTTTCGGACAGCATCTCATAATCGATGGATTCTTTCCGGAAACGCGGCCGTAGAGACTCGGAAAGTCTTCCTTTAGGGTCGGATAATTCTTCAACCGGGAACACACCTCAGTCGCTTCCTCCCTCCTCTCCTCCTCCGGAATTTTCAGATGAAGCAGCAGAAGCGCTTGTTGAGGATGAAATTGAAGATGTTGACAATGAGAATGTGGATGTAGACGATGAAGATGGTGAAGATTTGTTTGGTGAAGATATGGAAAGGTAAGAAAACTATGCAGATGATTCACTGGTTGAGGATTAAGGAAGAAAGATCATTGAGTTTTTCCTCATAGTACAGAAGAAAAACTCTTTTTTTTTTTATTTGCTTGTCCAGAAAGTGTGCATGAATCCAAGACCTCAATAAGTGAGATATGGCATATTAACACATATACAGAGATTATCAACAGAATTTGGAGCTTGATCGATACGATTTAGACGAGTTGGATGATGATAACGAATTAGAAGAGCTTGACCTTGGTGATCGCAGAATTATAGATGAAAAAATACAGCGCCGCGATATGGAATTAGAGGCTGCCGCTGGTCGAACAAAGCCTGCAGCATTTCTTCAGGACGAAGATGATGATTTGGACTCCAATATAGGGCTTGGAATTCCAAGACATCGTCATCGTGTGTATGATGAGTTTGCACCTAATGCGGGAGCATTAGATGAAGCTGGCGAACTTCCACTAGAATCCATTGCAGATGTAAAAGCTGATAGTATCGCCGAATGGGTAACCCTGGACCCTGTACGTAGAACTATTGCCCGTGAATTCAAAAATTTTCTCTTGGAATATACTGACGAAAAAGGCACATCCGTTTATGGTAACAGAATTCGAACATTGGGTGAAGTAAATGCAGAGTCTTTGATGGTTAATTATGCTCATTTGGGAGAATCCAAACCCATCCTTGCCTATTTTCTAGCTAATGCACCTGCTCCTGTTTTGCGGATATTCGATCGAGTTGCATTGGAAGCTACCCTCCTGCATTATCCTGATTATGAACGAATTCATTCAGACATTCATGTTCGAATTACTAGCCTTCCGACATCTTTTACGCTGAGAGAGCTCCGTCAATCTCATTTAAACTGTTTAGTACGAGTTTCTGGTGTAGTAACTCGCAGGACAGGTCTTTTTCCTCAGTTAAAGCACATTCGGTTTACCTGCACAAAGTGTGGTGCTACTTTGGGACCTTTCTTTCAAGACTCAAGTGTTGAAGTGAAAATTTCTTTCTGTCACAATTGTTCTAGTCGTGGTCCTTTTGTCATCAATTCCGAAAGAACGGTTTATAATAATTATCAAAGACTCACTCTCCAAGAATCCCCTGGAACAGTTCCATCGGGCCGTTTGCCTCGCCATCGCGAAGTAGTTCTCCTGGCTGATTTGGTGGACAGTGCCAAACCGGGTGAAGAGATTGAAGTAACTGGTATTTATCGCAATAATTTTGATGCTAGTCTTAATACGAAAAATGGGTTCCCAGTTTTTGCTACAATTATTGAGGCTAATCACATTTCTCATGTTGATAACAACGGCAGTGCCGATGACGATTTTTCCCTTAACCGCCTAACCGATGATGAAGAACGTGAAATACGCGCCCTAGCTAGGAGTCCCGATATTCACGAAAGAATCATCGCCTCCGTCTCACCTTCCATTTATGGACATCGGTCTATTAAAGTTGCCATTGCTGCAGCGTTATTTGGTGGTGTCCCAAAAAATATTAGTGGAAAGCACAAAATCCGTGGTGATATTAATGTTCTACTTTTGGGAGATCCTGGTACCGCCAAATCACAATTTCTTAAGTATGTCGAAAAGACTGCCCATCGTGCTGTCTTTGCTACCGGTCAGGGTGCCAGTGCCGTTGGTTTAACGGCATCTGTCCGAAAGGATCCTATTACGAATGAATGGACTTTGGAAGGTGGTGCATTGGTTTTAGCTGATAAAGGCGTTTGCTTGATTGACGAATTTGATAAAATGAATGATCAGGATCGTACCTCTATTCACGAGGCGATGGAACAACAGAGTATTTCAATCTCCAAAGCAGGCATTGTGACAACCTTGCAGGCAAGGTGTACGATTATTGCAGCCGCTAATCCAATTGGAGGACGGTATAATACAACAATACCGTTTAGCCAGAATGTAGAATTAACAGAGCCGATTTTGTCTCGTTTTGATATATTGCAGGTCGTGAAAGATACCGTAAATCCTGAGATAGATGAACAACTTGCCAGCTTTGTGGTTTCAAGTCATATCCGATCTCATCCATCCTTTGATCCTGACCTTGATGTTTTGACAAAAGCACCTATTGATACAGGTATCGGAGCCAAACCAGTTCCTCAAGATTTGTTACGGAAATATATTCATTATGCAAGAGAGCGTGTGACACCTCGTCTACTACAAATGGATGAGGAGAAGATTTCTAGGCTATACAGTGATATGAGACGTCAATCTTTGGTTACAGGAAGCTATCCCATCACCGTTCGTCACCTTGAGTCTGCTATTCGTTTAAGTGAAGCTTTCGCCAAGATGGAGCTTAGTGAGTTCGTTCGACCTGTACACATAGACAAGGCCATTCATGTAACTGTTGATTCTTTCGTTAACGCCCAAAAAATGAGTATAAAACGCAGTCTTTCACGCACTTTTGCAAAATATTTACTGTGAGTTATATATTATTTACTCGGATTGTTTATCTATACCTTCGTTCAAGTTGATATTCAGCTTTCGTTTACCCTTTTCTTCTTTCTTTATATTGTCATTTAATTCCAATCTTTTGTGTTTTTATTAGAATTCCCCTGTCTTTCTCTCTGGTATAATAGTATTGCATTCATCAAAAATATGGCATGCATTTACCTATTGTGCGTATATATTCTATTATGACCTTTTAATTTATTGATGCAAGGTCAATATTTAATTATTCTTGCCTAAAATAAGATTAGATTTCGTATATCAAACAATAACAATATGTTTCTGCTGTGCCATATGAAAATCAAAAGTACTATTTAGTCTATTTAGCTTTTTTATTTTGTAAAAGCAAATTCAATCCAGCTATATTTTGGTACTCTACTGACTTATGTTCCGTACCCTTACTGCTTTCCTATTCTAAGTCTTCAATAACAAGAACTTAACGAAAACACCATGGCCTACAGCGGGCAGTATGGACAATATGGTTATCCTATGAATGTAGAAAGAAATGTTGAACAACAAAATAATGTAGTTTATACTGGCGAAACCCCAGATGCAGAATTGGTAGCACAGATGAATGCGCAAATGAATCTTGGGCCTCAAATACCAGTTTATCCTCATGAAAAAAGAAGGACACGCAGACACAGAGATGCGCATGCCTATGATATGTCTTTAATGGAGCCAGAAGCTAACGTTTTACCGCCGATGACACCTTCCACTCCTTTAACCCCGGCTACACAACCGCTTGATACGACTGGCTTAAGTTCAGAAGCTCTACATGAAGATACAAATCTTCTAGATCCAAAGTCATTACCTTCTGTTCCAGATGCTCGCTTTCATGATCAGCAAACATACAAAAACTACACTTTCAACTCAATGGACAAGACTAATCCACCTTTGTCAACAACCGACTTTGTTGGGTATGAACAGAATAACTCGTCGTCTAAATTTGTTCAAATGACCACTTATGCTATTCCTTCTTCGAATGATGTTCTTAACAGTTCAGGTGTACCATTGGGTATGATAGTCCAACCGTTTGCTGAACTTCGTCCTGATGAGGCCCCTGTTCCCGTGGTGGATTATACTACATCGAGTCCTCCTCGCTGTAAAAAATGCAGAGGCTATATCAATGCATTTGTCCAATTTACTTTGTCACAGAGTGGTTGGACCTGTAATCTTTGCGGTACCGAAAATAGTCTCAGCAATGAAGTTTACAACCCTATGCTTTTTACAAACCAACAAAATGCTCTTAATTCACAACCTGAATTTAACGTGGGTACTGTTGATTTCGAGGTCGGAAAGGATTACTGGGCTTCCGAAGAAACACCACAACCTGCTCAATATGTCTTTGTAATAGACGTCTCATATGAAGCTATCTCAAAGGGTATCCCCAAAATAGCTGCTGAGGCCATCCGAAATATACTATATGGTCCAACCCCATTACATCCGTCTATTAGAGTTACCATTGTTGCTTTTGATCGAAATGTACACTTTTTTTATCTAACTCCTAACTTGGAACAGCCTCGTATGATTTCTGTTGCTGACTTGGAGCATCCTTTTGTCCCTTTTAAAAATGGTTTATCAGTTGATCCAATGGAATCAAGAACTGTAATTGAACGTCTTTTGGATACCCTTCCTATAATAGTAGAAGACATAAAAGTGCCAGAACCTGCCGTTGGTAATGCAATGGAATGTATCAAGCACCTTCTTAAGGAAACTGGTGGTAAAGCATGCTTGTTTGTTAGTGCACTTCCTACAATGGGACTTGGACGACTCAGATATCGCGAAGATCAGAGACTTTACGGAAGCCCTGAAGAGAAAAACCTCTGGAATACTCAGGAGAAGTGGTACTCTCTCTTAGCGGACGAGTTAGTAACCTCAGGTATCTCTATTGATATATTCTTCACTCCTGCTGCTTACGTTGATATCGCTACTGTTGGTAGTGTCGCAACATTAACTGGCGGACAAGTATGGTACTATGGAAATTTTGTACCAGAAAGGGACGGACCGCGTCTTAAACAAGACTTATATCGAAGTGTTACTCGTGAGCAAGGTTTTCGCGTAATGCTTAAGACCCGTTGCTCAAACGGTCTACGAGTCGCTAGATATCTTGGTAACTTTTTACAAAGAACTCCAAAAGATATTGAATTTGGTGGATTGGATGCTGACAAAAGTATTGGAATGCTATTTAACTTGGAAGGAAAATTGAATAATGCGTTGGACGCTCACTTCCAAACGGCAATTCTCTATACAACACCAATGGGATCTCGCAGGGTCCGTGTTATAAACTACTGCTGTGCTGTTACTTCACGCAACTACGACACTATATCCCTCGCTTCTGTTGAACCATTGGTGGGTATATTCTCAAAGATTGCTTCCATGAACATGGCAGTGGAGTCCTTAAAGACAATCGCGACTAAACTTGTCGAGGGTATTGTCAAGCTCTTATCTTGCTATAGAAAGGTTGCATCTAGTCGTTTAACACCAGGACAGTTAGTCCTCCCCAAGCATCTAATTCTCTTGCCAATATATATGTTGTCTGTGTTAAAGTCTTCTGCTTTTCGAAGTGGTAGTATTCACAGCGACATACGAGTATCACAATTTAGATTTTTTCGTGCATCTCCTTTATCTCAACTAATGCTTAACTTATATCCTCACATTTATGCTTTGCATTCCTTACAGCCGAATGAGTGCGTACCTAACACCGATAATCCAGGATGCACACCTATTGAATACCCATTGGGTGTCAGGGCATCTAGAAAATTTATTGAGGATGGGGGCGCTTTTCTGATTGTTACTGGTCAGAAAGTTTACTTGTGGTTGCACCAACGAACGTCTCCTTTATTGTTACAGGATCTATTTGGTGTTAATCAGTTAGAAGAAGTCGACGCAATGAAAGCTTGTGAATTACCTGAAATGGATAACTTACTTTCTATCCAGGTTCGAAACTTACTTTCAGCTTTGAAGCTGCAGTATCCTCAAATGTCAATGCAGCCACAAATTGTCCGCCAGGGTATGGATGGAAGTGAAGGTGAAATCTTTTCTATTTTAGTTGAAGATCCTTCAAGAGAAGGAGTTGGATATATTGAGTTTTTAACTATGATCCATGAAACCTTGCATAGCCAAGGTTATAAGTAGGTCTTCTACGGGATTTGCTTTGAATTGATAACTCTCAAAAGGAAGGAAATATGTCAAGGTTTGCTATGAAGGAATTTTAAGTTTTATTAAACCATATCAATGAATTTATAGATGTCTAGATACTGCAAGATATCACTGTAAAGTTGTTGTTTTTTATGAATGTGTGACATTGTATATAAGTTGGCTACGAAAATCAACCTATTGAACATTGACTTTACTTTTTGATAATTTATGAGCCAAATATACGGCTGAAACGCAATGTTTACTAATTGAAGTCAGATGCTACAAATTCAATTATAGCCAAATTCAAGTTTTCTATTTAGGGCTAAGAGAGTAACGAGCTTGTTTTCAATAAATAATGTCTATGTTATAAACTGAATTCAGCGAATTGTACTTAGGAAATTGAAATAATAAGAAAAAAGCAATCTTTAAGTTTGCAGTAGATTTTCAGATTGATTGATCTGTCTTGCTTTGACGAATACTTTAAATAAAAGAAAATGAAACAAGAAAAGAAAACGTTTGGACGAAATCTTTACAAACAAGGCCTATCATGTATACTAACGTAATTATTGTATAATATTTTACTAAAGAGGGTATCCATACATAATAGTCACGAATACATATCTCTTGGTTATACAACCAACTTTCCACCTTTTATGACTCTAATGAAATATATATATACATATATATATTATAAATAATAAAGTATAGTTATTCTCAATTCGTGGTAAAACAAAGGAAATTTATTTATTAAGGCACAGATTCATTGTGCAAAATTTTACAACATTAACTGCATTCCATGGGATCAATTTCGATTAAGGGCCTTGACGGTTTTGATTTTAGACCGTGGCGTAAACAAAATCGAGGAGATTACAAGGAGTTACATATTTATGATTTTGATAATGTATGAAGACATGGAGTTGATCAAGTATAGGAAGCTAATTTACGTTTCAGACATTATTTCAAACTCCTTTACCCAATGCGAACATCTGGAGTAATCAAGCGATTCGTGTTTTAATGGGATTTAATAGTATGTATTTATGTGAGCTTGCAAAATGGTTGAATAGACAGCGGTGGTAAGATTAAGCTTTCGTAACCCTAGGAAAAGGATTGCGTCCTTAAGAGTTTATAGAGGAGGAGTCTCATGGCTTTTTTGTTCCTTGTCAATTAGTACTCTTCTACATTCCTTGAAAGCTTATTACCACTGCTTTCCCAAGATTTATTTTACTCGGGTTTAAAAGTACCATTGAATGTTCTAAACTAACAGATATATAGTTCTAGCAAACGGAGGATGGTTCTTTGATCCTCGGGTGTTGGCGTCTACGGGGGAAGGCGTTGAAATAGAAGAGAAGCGTGCTTGGGCCGGATGGTGGAATGAAAGAATGTAAAGTCAACGCTTCTATTTCTTTAGATTGTTTACTAAATGTTTAGTGTTGCCCAAGCTAGGGAATCCATTCGTCGGCAGGATGTTTTGGCGGTCTTACTAACTGGTCGTAATGAACGGTTCAGGAAGATTACCGAAAAGATAGTTAAAAGCAAAGGTTTGCACTTTGATGGAGTTGTATTTAAGCTTCAATGTGCGACCGGTTCTTGGCCACAGACGTTGACTTTCAAACTTTGGTTTTTTGAACAAGTTTTTCTGCAGTTTCCCAATGTTCAGTCTCTACGAGTTTATGAAGATCGCCCTTCTCATATAGAATCATTTTCTGCTTGGCTAGCTAAACGAGCAGATGAAGTTGAAAACTTTAATTTTGAGATTATTGCAGTTGCCGAACCTCCTAAGTACTTAAAGTATACCACGGAGATAAAATTGGTACAAAACATGATAGCTTCTCACAATGTGAAGGCTCCTTCTCTTAGACTGCCAATGTACAAGTTTGTAAAAAATGTTACAAGCTCCGTTGTTACCGTTTCTACAACTGAGCTGCATCATCTTCGAAATGCGTTTTTCAATGTTCCCATTACAGACATTATGGAAAGTGTCAGCGTTAACTCTTCCAGGGTAAACTCTCCCGATAATGAGCCTCAAATTCCTGAACCCGATTTGCCTCCAGATACCCCGTATAGCTCTTTTCCTGGAGAAAATTGGATTGTAACGGCATTGGGCCGCTATCGTGATGAATATTGGGCAGTTCGTGCAGAAGCATGGGATCATCGCTCACAAGGAAGTATCCGTGATCCAAATACTGCAAATATTCCCTCACTTTATGGAACGATCCTGTACATTTCCATGTCAACAGGAATAGTGACATCCGAGATTTCTGATATTGGTGCTCAACAATGGAAGGTTCTTGACCCCAACGAACGATGGATTATGAAGACCAATATTAGACGAGAATGTACACATGATATCCGTTACAAGCGTCCGTATAAACCTGCTCGTAAATATACGGATATGATGGATTTGGAAAACCAGCGTGCTTCTCCGTTTACTGGTTCTATGCATCGACCAATCTAGTTTGGCAGCATTCAATGATTGTATTTATTTCCTTTGATAATGACTTTTTTGGTTCTCAATTCAGCCCATCCTTTAAGTTTGGCCAGGCGGTTTTTTATTTTTTTTTTTTTAAAAAAAAAAACAAAAAAGAGAAGTGTTTCGGATTTTTTATGAAGTTTTGGTTCAACCCTGTCTATGTCTACTCCTTACTAGTAATTAATTGTTCTCCATTTTTCAATAAGGATGAAATTGGAAATCCTAAGTATAGAATGAATACCGGTCTATTATTTCATTAAGCTTAGTTTGTTAGCAACTTTAAAAACACCCAATTGTAAAAAAATAAAAAATAAAAAATAAAAAAGAACAAGTCATAAAAGATTTGAATCATATCCAAAAGTATAATCGTCAGTCAACAGAAGAAAAGATAACATGAGAAATCATGAAAAGTCTATAAGAATAAGTTCAGAAGTTTCAGGATTTAAGTATACAAAGTCGTTTAAATGTTAAAGGTTTGCGCGGTTTCCTCCAGTAATTTTATCTTGTTTCTTTCGATTGTCCACAAACCAAGATGCAAAACAGAGAATAAAAAAAAGAAACCGCTAGATATCCAACCAAATACAGCACTAGGTACGCCGACTTTGGATACTGCTTGGTGTGTTAAGTTCAACCCAACGCTGTAGGAGTTTGCAGATATATTTGCTAAACCCATTTGAAGAGCAAGCATGAAACAAGCAGCTGCGCTGGTAAAAAGGCAGCTAATGGACCATTGTCGGATATTGGATGGAAAGACGTACTTGAAAATAGTAAGCACGATAGAAATGGTCCCTATAAAAACAACAATGCCTAACAGCACTGGATGTACTTGAAGCCATGTAAAGCGTGCCGCATGGTAGGCCATACCGCTTGAAGCGTCCCAATGACGGAGCTCATGACAAATGTTTTCGGTGGCATTGGAGGCTTTACTACAAACCCCAAAAAATCCAACATCTACTGTGGACTTGGGAGATTTAATTTGTAAGATCTTAGAGAAAGTAGATGGTTTAGAAAGGCAGCCACAACAGAGGAAAATGAGAAAAAGCCAGGCGATCCCTAAAATTATGTTCGACGTTAAATTAGGATTCGGAATATAATTATAGATTCTAGCTATAAATCCAATCCAAGTGAATTTCGGTCTTATTCTTTGATCCTGTTTCATTTGTTTCAAATTCTATAGAAGATTTCAAGACACAGAAGAAAGTACTGATATATTCCTTGAGACAACAGGTTTGATTTTTTCTCGTTTCGTTTAATGAAAAAGAAAGGAATGATGAAAGGAGCCATTAATGCGGATCTCTCATTTATATTATACCCAAGAACAAAGAAAAGGGGCAGGATTCCGTCATCTAACATTTTCTTTGTTCGAAAGTCTTTTGGAGTTTCATAGATATAGTAGTAATCTGACTGTAAAAAAATACAATGCTTATTAATGGTTGATTTTTATACGTATGCTCTTAAGTAAACAGAATCTCATATTCTTGTTAATGTAGTGCAATAACCCATTATAGCATGATTATGCTTACATTTAGCATATATTATGCCTATATGCTTATTAGTTTTAACATTCGACCATATCATGTATCTGGTTGGAAAAAAAAGTACTTTTGCATAGTGATTATTTATATTCGGAATAATGTGAGCAGTAAAGTAGAATAAATATGGTTGTATTTCATTTTTATTGAAAATCAATTTGAGGTTCCTATAATTTAAGTGAATTAGCCAACGCTTGACACATGCAATAGGTCTCCTAAGTTTCTCAAAGTAATTTGTTTATTTTGAAAACCTCGTACCCAACTCCAAAGACAACCAAATTGGAGCCTTGTGAAAACATGCCTCCCACATCAGCAACGAATGTATTATTCTCCGATTCGACTTTCCATAATCCCTCCCGTTTTGCCCAGGTCAATATTCTTTGATCAACGGATGCAGATAAAAATAAGTTTTCTTCGAGTTGAAGTATTCCTGTTACACTAGAAGCATGAGCCTCTGGAAGGGAGAACTTCTCAAGTTCTTCAACATAAACGGTTTTCATCTCTGTATCAATATTTAGTTTCAGTGCCATGTGACAAACGGCACCATCGTCACCTCCCGTGAAAAGAGATACTTTTCTGTTTTGATTGTTAAAACGAACATCTAAACTTTTTATACAGGATTGGTGTACCCTGCTAGACCAGACACACTGAGGGGTTTTCTCAACATCTTGTGAATGCAAATCCCATAACGTGATGAAACCATCCGTAGCAGTTATAACAGAGTATACACGATTTTTGAAAACAAATAGCTCAACGGAAACAAGACAACAGCTTTTGTAGTCCCAACCTTTCAGAAATTGGAAGTCACGCTTTCCCTCATCGTATAAATATATTCTTGAAGACGAATCCGAAAGAATAGCCGTGATTAACCAAATATCCTTTCCCCAGGATGTTGCCTTTATGGTAGAAACATCAGTGATCCGCAAATCCCCATCCATTTTGCTCTTTGTAAGCGTTTTCGCACAGGTAGCTTCATGTAAGATACGAGCTGCAGATGATTTTTTACCTGGTCCTTGTACTATCCTTAGCGCATTTAATTCTTCCAACCCTCCACTTGAAAACAAAAGCTCATCCTTTGCCCAGCAAAGTGCTTGAATCCCGGAATTGTGCACTTTCACGCTATTCAGTGTATTTATTTGACCTTCCTTCGTAAAAAGGGATAATATTATATTTGTATCCTCTGCACCAGATACAATAAGAGTACCCTCCGGGTTAAAACTCATCGCCCTAATTTCTCGACCATGACTCCCCTTTCTCAAAACCTTGTTACACTCTAGTAAATTTCGATAGGAATCGTTTACAAAAATTTGATTGGATTTATAGAATGCAAAAGCCTGCCTCGTTTGGTTCATAGAAAACGACCATGGCCTATGAGAACCACCACATTCTAAAGTGTACACATCGGTTCCCGTAGTTTCATTCCTTAAGAAGAAATTCGATGCATGGAAACCCCAAACCCACAAATTTTTATTGACTTCCGGATATCCAAATTGAATTCCCTATTTTGTTAGTAAAAGTTTATGATAAATGTAAAACATACCCCACTTAGGATTCCTTCAATTGCCTTCTCTGAAGCAATCTTTCTAAGCTCAACCGGATTCAATTTCAAAAGGAACATATTCACAAGTCCATCCCTGCCAACAGTTTTCAAATTCATAATGTTCTCTATATCAATTTCAATTATGATGGAGTATATGGTATCAAACTCGTGCAATCTTCTGAAGCAATACAAACAAGTTGGCTGCCCAATTTTATAAATAGCCAAAGAACCACTTCGAGATCCAATAAAAGCTAAATCATTGCTAATTGTGAGACAAGTTGGATCAAAGGTAGCAGGAAGGTTTAACATCAATGACATATTCATTATAATACTTCCGTTTTCTATAGACAACTGATGTAAGTAGACCTCGTAGGCATTCCTTCCGATAAAGGATTTAGAAACAAGGTAATAGAAACCTTTATGATAAGCTGTATATAAATGCTGTATTTTAGAGGTATGAACCTTTTTAGCAAAGCAAGCGGAAGGATTATCGTAATCAAATATTACTAGGGATCCAGTTTTGGTTCCTAAAGCTGCAAGCTTCATGTTTTCCCAAGAACATAACGCACTTGCTTCAGAATCCAAAGAAAAAGCAGGCATTGGTTTCCAAATCTTGTTATCGAGAAGACTGATTTCTCTAAAGACAAAGTTAGTCTATAACTAAAGTCGCATACAACTTACCCGTTTTTGGCGAGACATAGCAATTTATTGACACTTAAGAAACAGAAGGAAGACAGAGAAACATCACCGGTGAAAATAGATGAAATATAAAAGGAATAAGTGTCGGTGTCATTGTTAACTTGCCATTGGCGAATAGCGCCATCGTTTCCTCCAGTGAAAAGTAAATCATGTTTTTTGGATGTAGCTATAGACCATACGTGTTTTCCACGATGACCTGTAAATGTTTCTGTATTATCCAACTTCACACCGTCGTAAACCCATTTTCGTAAAGTGAGGTCCTCAGATATGGTAACTAAGGAAGAGTTAGACAAAAAGCGACATTTCCATACACGCGCTGTATGACCAAATCCAGTAGCAAGAAGACGATTTTGTTTCTTTAATTCCCATAATCTCACGGTTCTATCTTCGGAAACAGTGCTCAGATATTGTCCGTCATCAGAGAATCGTATATCGAAACACGCACCCTCATGTCCACTTAAAGAATCAAATGTAAAAACAACGTTTGGAGGATTATTGATAGAGAAAGACCACAAATTAATTTCACCAAAAGCTGATGCAGAAGCAACAGTAATGCAATCGTCTGCCAAGTGTAGGGCAGCAAAAAATAGAAGAGGACTATTTCGACAAGAAATAGTACAAGAAAGCTTCCAATTCTTATTTAATAAATACGAATATATTAGCACTTCATTTTTGGATGTCACAAAGGCAAAATCACGTTCGGTATTTAATTCAACTGCGTTAAAAATCCAGTCGGTAGTACGTATAAAAGAAATCTCCCATGTTTTCCAGTCTACTAGCCCTATATTGTAACCTCCCCAGATGAGCAACCCATCTCGACATGCCAGCATGCCATGAATTCGATTTCGAAAAGGTAATTTCAGTACTTTCCAGCAAATGTTGACATCGTTATGGGAATCTAAGTTGTATATTCGTAAAAATGATCCTTGAGCAGCACAGAGATACTTGTCATGGTCAAACAGAAGTAAGCTTGTTACTGGTCCTAAGAAGTTAACTGAATTCAAACAAACTTGCGTCGCGGTTTCTGCGCTAGGCATTGTAAAAACAAAATAATAATTTAAATATAGCAATACGACAGATAATTCTAGAAAAGAGCGTATTTAAAGCCAAATAAAACCGTTTACCTAATTTTCCCAGTATAATTTCTTTAATAATATCAACGAATTACAAAATAGTTTACCAAAACATATCAAAAATGGTATCTATAATTAAATAAGTCAAATGAGTAAACTTTGAGTTTTCTTGTAGTCTGCACCTGGAAGATTCGTTTACGGTACCCAACTGCAGTTTAATGGAGCAAGCCAAGATTTGCGGTTCTGTTTAGTTTAAAGCAAGTGAGCTTTTGCAAATTCGTCAAAACAACATTGGAAAAAGAATATGACTAAACAATTTTTTTATCTTGTTTCCTTTCAATGTTTACAATTTTTCGCAGAATAACAAGCAATAGAAACAACTAGGAACTTGCACATCATTTGAAGCACCACTTTCACCCAACCCTTCAACAGGTTTTTTGGTACACTGGAAAATCAGAATGGAAGCCCGTATTACTTTTGAATTATCTGTATTCTCAGATTTAGTTATCTGAAATATAGCTGGTTTGTTATATTTTGGAAATTCTATATTCGGCAAATATTGACATTATTATAAAGATTTAACATTAAGCGAACGTTGTGGGGACAGGGTAAGAAATTAACAGAAAGACGAAACTAAGAAAATTCTAAATTAGCAGTAGCGGCAGCGGTAAATATTGAAGCTAAATAAACAGAGAAACACCTCTGTTGGTTAACACAAATAGGCTGAATAGTACTTCCTTTTCAACGCTACTTCTGTCACTAAAATGAATAAAAACAAGGTAACTTATTATTATTGTTATTATTATTATTAATTATAATAATTATTATATTTATAAAGTTTTTTTTACCGATTGGATTTGAAAACCAATGCTCCCAAAGTATTTCATCCGCGTCGCGAAATTCAGCTACACCAATCATCCTTCCCCAAAACTCCCCCTCTTTTTCAGTCAAGCAGGATAAAAAGAAATTACTCTTTAACACCATTCTTGCATTTATGAATTGAATAAAAATGTTGAAGCTTCCGATTAGGCAGCTAGCAGGGCGTTTCCCGCAAATTCGTAGAAGCATTTTGGGATGTCGATTTGCTACCACCGATAGCTCAAAGCCAGCAGAATCAGAAGCATCTTTACAAAGTCAACTTAGTGAAAATGATATGAAAAGATTGAACCAGATTCGCAACATTGGTATTTCTGCTCATATTGACTCAGGAAAGACGACGTTTACTGAGCGCGTCCTGTATTATACTGGGCGAATTAAAGACATACACGAAGTTCGCGGCAAAGATAATGTCGGTGCTAAAATGGATTCGATGGAGTTGGAACGTGAAAAGGGTATTACTATTCAATCCGCCGCTACTCACTGTACTTGGAGTCGGACCCTCGACCAAATACAGAGTGAGAAACAAGAAAATAGTGTTCCCAAAGAGTTTAACGTTAATATCATTGATACCCCCGGCCATATTGATTTTACCATTGAAGTGGAACGTGCATTGCGTGTTTTGGACGGTGCTGTACTTGTTCTCTGTGCTGTTTCCGGTGTTCAATCCCAAACAATTACTGTGGATCGACAAATGAGAAGATATAATGTGCCTCGTGTTTCATTCATCAACAAGATGGACCGAATGGGTGCAGATCCTTGGAAGGTAATTCAACAAATCAATACAAAGTTGAAAATTCCTGCTGCTGCAGTACAAATCCCCATCGGTAGTGAAAGTGAAATGAAAGGTGTTGTGGATCTTATTCACATGCGCGCTATTTACAATCATGGTGAAAAAGGTGAAAAGGTTGAATTTACTGATACTATACCCGAAGATTTGCAAGGGCTTGCTCAAGAAAAACGGTCTTCTTTAATTGAAATGTTGGCTGATTTGGATGAACAGGTCGCAGACATGTATGTAATGGAAGAAACACCATCTTCGGAGCAATTGATGCAGGCCATTAGAAGAGTAACCCTTGCTCGCAAGTTTACTCCTGTTTTAATGGGATCGGCTTTGTCTAACATTGGCGTCCAGCCAGTGTTGGATGCTGTTTGTGACTACTTACCTGCTCCCTATGAAGTAGAAAATGTTGCATTAAATGCAGCTGAATCGGAAAAACCTGTTACCCTGGTTCCAAATAACACAAAGCCACTCGTCGCCCTGGCATTTAAACTTGAAGAGGGACGCTTTGGTCAATTGACCTATTTACGTGTTTATCAAGGTTCCTTAAAACGTGGTGGTTATGTGTACAACGTAAACTCAACCAAAAGAATCAAAGTCTCTCGTTTAGTTCGCATGCATTCAAACGATATGGAAGAAGTTGAAGAAACTGGTGCTGGTGGAATCTGCGCCATGTTCGGCATTGATTGTGCTTCTGGAGATACATTCACTGATGGTTCCGTTCATTATACCATGTCTTCCATGTTCGTTCCTGAACCGGTTATTTCGTTGTCTTTAAAACCCAAGAGTAAAGATACCTCCAACTTTTCAAAAGCTCTGAATCGTTTCCAACGTGAGGATCCAACTTTTAGAGTTAAACTTGATCAAGAGTCGAAAGAAACAATCATTAGCGGAATGGGTGAACTACATCTAGAAGTATACGTAGAGAGAATGCGTCGCGAATACAAGGTAGAATGCGATACAGGAAAGCCACGAGTCGCTTTCCGTGAAAGCTTAACCAAAAAGGTCCCGTTCAGTTATCTGCACAAAAAGCAATCTGGTGGTGCAGGTCAGTATGCCAAAGTGGAGGGATATATTGAATATATGGATGCTAAGGAAGATGAGGGTGGTAATGTGGTCGACTATGAATTCATTAATAAAGTTACCGGTGGTGCGGTCCCCTCTCAATATATTCCAGCTTGTGAAAAGGCATTTCGGGAAAGTCTTGAAAAGGGTTTTTTGATTGGACATCCCATAAAAAATTGTCGATTTGTTTTAGAAGATGGTGCATACCATCCGGTCGATTCTTCTGAGCTTGCTTTCCGTATGGCAACAATAACGGCATTCCGTGGTGCATTCTTGCAAGCAGATCCAATCATTTTAGAGCCGATAATGAACGTTAGCATTACTGCTCCTGTTGAACATCAAGGTGCTGTTATTGGCAACGTCGATAAAAGGAAAGGAACCATTGTTGACAGTGATATTGGAGAAGAGGAATTTAGTTTGTTGGCTGAGGTTCCATTAAACAACATGTTTTCTTATTCCTCTGATATTCGTGCATTGACCAAAGGAAAAGGTGAGTTTACTATGGAATTTTTGAAATACTTGCCTGCACCAAGATATGTTCAAAAGGATTTAATCTCTGAATACAATAAACAGCAGCAAAAGTGAATTTAAGTGTTTGTTGTTGAGCTTTCTTTTTAATATAAAATTACATCAAATAGGTTTTGATCATCGCATACCAAAATTATATAATTTCATTCTTCATTTGATAATTGATCTTCTCTAGTGTGAATAATATAAATTTTGCAATTTTGACTGGAATAAAAAATTAACTTTCATTAAGGATTTTGAGGAAACAATCGTCTATATAGTTTTCTTTTATTAGACCATAGTGTGGAATGCAAAGGATGAACAAGGCTGATAAAAAGGTTGAAAGGCTAAAAGGGAAGGACATAAAAAGTAGGTTGAGTCGGTGGTATATGCCATGATATATACGTTCATAGCGATGAACAAGTTCGCTAGACAAAATTTTGACAAATACGAGTCAAACGAAATTAAAAGTAAATCACGAAAGAAAGAAAGAAAGAAAGAAAGAAAGGAGGAGGATGGAACAGAAAAGGGAAAGCCATAATACATACGGACTTTGTCTAACAAAAAGAGTAGACGGAATTCAGACTATTTGTATGACAGAACACTCAAAGGACGCCCAAATCTTTTTGGGCTTCCAAACGGCGTTCATTTTCAGCATCTTCATAAAGTTGCTTCTCGCTGGACCAACGATTGGAGATTTTTTCCAAGTCCTTAGGGATTTCGTCGACTTGCTGAAGAATTTTTTCGTTTTCGATGATTTCACTGCAACTTTGGAAAATGAATTGATTCCAACCAGGTTGTAAAGAATTTGCAGTCCTTGCAATATCCATCAACTCCAACTCCGTTTCTTTTTCTAAACGGCTGAATTTGCGGACCAGATCATCGCCAACACCACCTCGATTCAGTAACACGTTGAGAGCCATTCTAGAGGATTTTAGCCTCATTAGCTGACGCAGAGCCTCCGTCGCACGCAAAACCAGTCCAGCTTTTATGATGGTATCAGAGACCGGAGGATTTTGCTGCAAGAGCTGAAAAAAGTAGCTTCTCGCGTAGTTTTTACCAAACCATTCTTCAGAAACAAATTCATTTGGGATGCTTCTTGACTTTCGAACAAAGACAGAAACGCCGTACATGGCGCCAATTAGCACCGCAACATATATCAATGGAGCATAAATAGACACCATTTTCCAGTAATATATTTCCTTTTTTTTCCAATAAAAATCACCCAAAGATCTCCTAGTTTTCCATATAAAACTTACCTTTGTTAGCAATGGATCTTGCAAAGGAATGGGTTCCTTGTAGAAAAGGATAGATGATAGCTCGTTAAAATGCGGTAAAGTGCATAACGCCCTAGAATGAGTACTTGTCAATGCGCATTAATAAACATAGAATCGATGATCGTAAGCGAAGCAAAAGAAAAGAAGAAAACCCTTGATGCATTCTCGGGTATCGTATGAAATAGAAATAGGCACTTCTACAGCGATCGTGATTGATTAGAGAAAAGAATGCTTCTATAATGCGACACCATTATTTTCGTTTGTTTTTGTTTGCGTTTCAAGAGCCTCCACCCTTACCAAAGATTGATAAAAAACTAAACCAATAAAGTTGAACAATAAATATGAATAAAAAAGAAAAACAAAGGATTGTTCTGTTCAATAAAATTTAACAGAAGTCAGTAGAAACCCCATCCTCACGAAATATGTCATTAATGTATTTACTTTGTATGATGTTACGAGATGTAAATATATGTATGATCAAGAATACGCAGTGAAGTACAAGGAGAACAAGAGTATAGAGCAGCCCTTGAGTTGAGTTGACGTGACCTGAACCACAAAGTTAAAAGAAAAACAAAAATTAGGAAAATTCGTCCCCTATGAAAAAGCCTGCTTTTCTTCGGTTTGTTAGCGTTGAAGGGTTGAAAAACCTTTCTCGGCTTGGTATTTTAATGACTACATCATTTTGCTTGGCCTTATTGTTTGTCAGTGTAAGTTTAGTTGGTTCTTTTTTTTTCTTGGGAGACACAAAAACGTTGGTAGCATGGATTGGAAACCATGAAAACTTTTATTGAAAAAAGGCGACTGGTTGTGCTTTTCATTTCAAACATCAATTGTAGTTACCTTCGGTTCCAAGAAATGGTGCTTGATGACTGTAACATAGACTATAAGAAGTGACCAACTCTCGTAATCTCATAAGAAAGGGCAGAGCAGGGATCGCAAAGTGTTCATAAATCAAACCCATGTCCTAGCCCATTCTATACGTCCTTTCAATACCCAACGATTTCTCCTTCCCTTCCTTCCTTCCTTCCTTCCTTCCATGAAAAAAAGAATTGTAGAAACTGAGCTAACTGGTATAGAGTATCGTGGATTACAACACACTATGGAAACCAGGACCAGAATCCGCGTTTACTGTGGCTGAAACATACTACACAATGCTAGCCAATGCAAGTGCTTATCATAAATATTTTTTCTACTTCGTTGTCGGTTTAGGCATGGTTTTCCACCTCATTCAGGCCAACAGGGTAACGGGTGATGACCGACTGTATTATTATTCCAGCACTCTTTTGTACATTGCGGCGTCTGTGATATTTATCGTGAATGTTTCCCCCGCTATCATCACTGCAAAATTACGTCGATATGTTCAATTCGACAGAAACATGCATTTTATGGTTCTCGGTGCCTCCCAAGTTTTGATTGCCTTTCTCTTGACCGGCGTCCTTATTCTCCAGCTTGGTCATCTATTTGCTCTTCACGTAAACAATATAGTTCAACTTGAGATTACCGAAGAACAGGCTAATGAGGCTGCCGAAGCTGAAATTTCTTCTACCGACAAAGAATACGTCTCTAAAAGAAACGCAAGCACCTCTAAATATTCCAATCAAGTAAGCCACAAAAAGGATAATTAGCCACCCATATAAAAAAAGTTTTGAACTACTTGTATTGATTATTATTTTTCTCCTTTTTTGGCTTCTATTTACTTTTCTGTCTTAGGTTTTTATGTATGAAAGAATGAACTCATCACATTACATTCCTTTTTTTCGTCCTTCATCTCATCACCTGTCCTAAAATTCCATTTTTGTTACAATCTCTCCTATAAAATCACTGTATTCCATTATACTATTTCATTTTCTTTTTACTCATCAACTGTGCTTTCTCATTATATCTAATTCTTTATAGCATTCCGGGTAACAGAGCATTGTTACTCATACCAAAGGACAAGGTAAGTTTCTTGCAAGATCGTGTTTCTTCCTGAATTGGTCTTGGTGTAGAAAGAATCGAAAAATTCCCATTCAGCATTCTATTTCTTCTACTAATATTCAGATTCATAACATCTGAATTTTCGGAGCGGTTCTGAAAGTAGAAACCTTCAAGTCGCTAACAATATGCTGCAGTTATTCGTTTATGGTCCGGGACTTGGCTTACCAAGTTTAGATCCAAGTTGCTTAGCAGCTATCTTGTACTGTTCACTTGCTGTTCCTAAAGATGAGTTTGTAATTTATCAAACCGCAAATGCCAGTATGAGTCCGACGCAAAAGCTCCCCGCCTTGTGGGACGGACATGCGTGGATAGGATCGTTAAAAAACGTTTTATTTTATTTGAAGCAGAAAGGATACGATCTGGACAACGACTTAGACAAAGAGGCCATCAGTAAAATTACCGCGTTTTCTTGTCTTTTGGAGAGAAATGCTTATGATTTATGGCTTTTCAAAGCCTATGTGTGCGAAGACAATTATGTTCGTGTCACGCGTCCCGAGTGGTCCAAGGTGCTTGGATTTCCTTATAACTATTTGACTCCGAATGCATTTCAAAAACACGCAAAAGAGCGCCTGACCTTGACACTAGGAATTAGTGATGATAAAACCTCTTACGAAGCTTCAAGAATGCCAATTTCCCATAGATGGACAAATGCCTCTCGCCAGAAACAAGCATTGTTACAAGCCCAGGCTTTTCGGATTAGAATGTCTTCTCTTGCTCGACAGCTGTACGGCTCATTGGAACTTTTGATTGGCGATTCTGAATTTTTATTTGGTGAAAATCCTACTTCTCTTGATTGTCTCCTCTATGCCTTCCTTTCTTTCCACACGCTTACCGAAAACTTTGACCAATTAACCTTACGAAGTACAATGCAATCGTCTGCCCCGAAGTTGTTTCATTTGCTCGAATCCTTAAAAGCAAGATGGTTCCCATCTTCTCCTTCAAATGGCTTACTCTCTAAAGTTTCCATCGAAAAGCAACCTCAAAACCTTCTAGCTCTAGCGCGACTTGCATGGAACAACGTGTCTACAAAAGTTGAAGAAGCCAAGGCTTCTTTCCGTAACGTTTCTATTTCTCCTCAAAAGCGGGTATCGTTGGCTAGAAATGGTTTTTTCATTCTCGCTTCCACTTTTGGCTTTGTTTGGTTCGTTTTAGCAAACGGCATAGTAGTCATTGAAAGCGAAGAAGATGCGGATTTGGATGACTTGAGAGAGGAACCATTCCCTACGCCAAAGACTGAATTTAGGTCCGAAAAAACAGATCAAGCTCTAGATGACGAAGTTAGAGGCGAAGCTTCTTCACAGCCAGAAGAAAAAGAGAATGATGGCTTGCAAACCCCTTCTATGTCAGCAGAAGATCTTTTATTCGGTTTTGAAGGTGAAGACGAAGACGGTTATGACGATTGGGAAGAAGAGGAAATGGATGATGAAGAGGAGCAGGATTTTGATGAAGCTGATGCTGAAATAGCTTAATTGAAAACTTACGGAATGGAAAAAGATCTCATTTTTGGGTAATGACACAGATTTCCAGGTTACTTCTATTTTATTTTCCATAAGAGTAGCTATGGAATTAATAACGCTTGTTAAGAGTCAAATCAAATATAAATAAATATATATATAAAATATAATCGTTAATAATACAAGGTAAAAAAGAGTGTACTTGACTATAAGAGAAAGAAGAACCGCTTTGTTGTAAAGTATGAAAGTATCATTCTAACTCACACCATTTCTTCTACCACTCTTCTGCTGTCCGAGTTACCCTCATCTATTTCAATTTGAGCGTACGGAATGTCAGCGGAAGCGTCATTTAACGGAGGGAATATTTGCCGATAACAAATATATGCAATGGTCATTCCCAGTAAACCACCAACCAAAATATCTTCTTGGTGATGACGGTAGTCTTCATTACGGCTGATACCTATCCAACATGCTAAAGTCAATGGAAGAAAAAACATAACGATCGCCCAGGAAGAAGTCTTTTTGCGAAACATTCTTAATTGAGAAGCAATACATAAGGAAAGATAACCAAGTCCTGAGAAAGAAAAAGACGTATGTCCGGAAGGAAAAGATCGTAATCCGTCTTGTAATGTACTACTCTTCCAAGGTGTAGTACAAACTTGAAGGTCTACCCACCCCGTCTTGGGAGATGAACTGAGAGGATTGCAGCGAGACAAAAAGTCTGGACGAGGTCTTCCCACCGTATTTTTGATGATGGTTACGATGAGACCACAAACCATGGTGGAGTAAAGTAAACCCGTCAAGCTTTTCCAGAACAAAAGAGGGCTTTTCCTGTATCTACCAATTCCATAAAGCGTAAAGCCAGGAAGGAGAAGGGAAATCAGCTAAGAAGCAATATCAGTTAGTAAGGAATAAATTAAGGAAGGAATAGAAAAATGAACTGTATATGGCTCTATGAAATGCAACTAGGATAAACATACCCCTAGGTACTTTGTAGGTACTCGTTCATGCTCGGCATGAGGATGAGAAATTGTTAAATCCTCTAAAGAAAATTGTCGCTGGAACGGAAGCATTGTAATGTCTAAAATGAAGTAACTCAACGAAACAAGAAGCAATACTGCATAATCTCCGTAAAGGATCCATAATTCTTTTATTCTTTCATAATTCACTCTATTTTCAGCAGACATCTTGGCAATGCAGTACTAATTGCCAAGTGTGTAAGTGGATAGGAAGTATGTCGAGTATGAAGTAAAGTCTAAAATGTATAAATAACAAGACAATCAAAACTCCTTTTGTAAAGATATTAAGAGCAATTGAAAAATTAAAACTTGGAAAGATCCTTTTTAAACGTTAAAGATTTTGAGTTGGGCCAGTATAGGTATGTCTATGATTTACAAGTTTTCCAGTATCAACTTAACATCATTTCCATCAGCATGTTTTCCTGTAAATTTCAATTTACATTTATATTATTCTTACTTGAAGCTATTTCTTAGAGTTCGTTTTCCTCTAACAAACTGATTCGATAAATATTTACACTCTCAAGTTGCTTCCTCACTTGGAATACGTGTAGAATGAATGCACGATTGAAAGAGCTTTGCTTCGCTAACGAACTCTATCCAAAAGAAAAGATAAAAAATATTGAATATCATGAAGTTTTGAAACACTTGCCAAGGTTTATTATCTTGACCATCTCATCAAGAATTCCCCAAATACTTCGAATAGATATTCTTTCACAAAAACCACAAATTGAAATGAGAGTCTTTATTCGTATTCCTGTTTTCTTCTTTCGTTGGAAAACATATTCAATGTCTTTCTGCCAACTTGTAAACATGTAGCTATTTAAGCTTATTGTAAGCGAGAGAAAGCTTAAAGGCAAATTTCGTCTGAATGTTTCCATAGTGACTGATGATCCAGAGAATGTAAACAAGCTCATCGTATATACTTGCAAAAATGACAACAAATAATGTAGCAAGTCCGAAGACCTCTAACGCTTTTGTATATACGTTAAAGATTTTTCAAAGAGTCGCTTAGCTCTATAGCTATTTCTTTTTGCAAGTATACATACGTATGTCGATGTTGTCATACAATCTCATGTCGCACTTCTTCTTGCTCAACGAAACATCCCCATCCCTATAGAAATTTTTCAAATTGAACAAGCTCTTCCAATCACTTTTTCGGCCTCTGCGTAGTAACATGAAATGCTTCTTGGTTGTTGGCTCACGTAAAGAGGCCATTGCGATTAATGGCCCCCCAAACGTTGTAAAGTCAAAACAGTTTGAGGGACAGATTAAAGTGCGACTTCGCGATTATGAAGTTCAAGATCATGAGTATTTTTCAAAGTCCAATGACACATGCTCTATCATGATAGCTGGACACTTTGTTCCTACAGAAAGTGTAATGACTGCCGACGATATTTTGTTTGGTAACCAATTTGATAAACCCTTACGAGATGTTCTTCCCGCTGGATCCTCTTACTTAATGAAATGTCTTAAGCTGGTGGACCCAGCGCTTGAGTATGATTTGTACAGTGACCAACCATGGGCTTTTTCTCCATTTTATTCGACCATGACCAAGATGAAAACGGCTAACACTCAGCTCCCTCTAGAGTATTTCGATGAAGGTTCATCCAATAGAAAGAAAGAAATGCTAGATCCTGAAAACCGACAAAAATTACCAATCAATCCAAGTCGATACTTCGTCGCTGACTTTTGTAATCCTTTTTTTGACCCTAGTTCCATGAGCATCTCCATTCCATATACCAAATTGAAGTTTTCCATCCAAAGCTATTATTCTGGGCAACCTTTACGATACGTCTGCAAAACTAGGACAGATGAACCAATCTTTGCTATAGAGTTTGATTTGTAAATCAAAACAAAGTCAATAAAAAGTTAATGTCACCATCTAGTGAACTGTTATCCGGTCATCAGTTATGTTTATAAGCACTTTCTGATTAATTAATTATTATGTTTACTTTGCTCCAATAGCCTCAGATTGTAAGTATACTGTGTACAGTAGAAAAACCAAGATTTAGATTCTGTCACTTCAAATGCTGAATGACTGTAAAAATACTACCATAGTCAAAGCAAAAATAAACTCTAGTTATTCATAACTGTAAAAGCTTAAATTATTCAAGGTCATAAGTGGCCTTAGTTCATCTTGTTGGAGAAGTTGACTTTCATCAAAGTCGGTTTTTAGTGTCAGATGTAGCTCTTCTTTTTTTTTCATTCAATATCAGTCTATTAAAGTTTTGACCTACTGATACAAGAATGAATTAAGTAGGTGTCAAATTTACCGGGCACGCGATTCATCAATCCATTTTCCATGAATACCACAGACAAAATTGTTAGGCTGCGACACAATTTGAAATGTCACGTTCGAATTCATTTTAACAAGAAATATCCTGTAAATATTAATGATTTGTTATTCTCCGTTCAGCGGGACTTGCACGCGGTTGCTTTTTTAAACCAAGGAAATATCCGTACCATCTATGGTAAAGAAATGAACGCATTTTGTGTTGGAATGTTGACTAATGAGACAGATGGAAAAGTAATAGATGTGTATTCTGAAGCCGTACAAGGACATGCATTGGTAGAAATAGGCCGAAAATTTGTTCAGCCAGAACAAGAAGGTGAAGAAGATAAAGACCTAAAGCCAAAGCTGGAGCTTCAGTATCAAGGGTCGATGTCAAATAAAATCGTTCACGTTATGATAAAGGGTTCTTTCTCTTAATGCGAACTAACATATACGTGGGTACTTTTTAAGGAAATAGGTAAACATAGCTATGAAAGAAAAAGAAAGAAGTAAAAATACATGCAGTGCAGTTGCTTTACTTTTCAATTTAACATAACCTACTTAATAAGAATTAACCAACATTTAGAATTTGACAGAATTAGCATTTTATTTCATTCCACCCCTATACCATTACTCCGTAAATCTTTTATTTTATAGACAAGAAGACACCAAAACATAGCAAAAAATTTTCTAACATTGTATCCGCCCCTAACCCATAAATATCCTGTAGTAAGATATGATACCTTAAAAGCATCGTTTCAAGCACAAGCAAGTCTTTTCTTTAACGACGCTTACGTTGAACAACAGTGAAGCCATCGTCGTCGACAACAGGAGCCTTTGATTCTTCTTGTGCGGGTTCAGTAGCATCTTCATGCATGGATTGTTCTCCTTCGACAAGTTCAGGAACAGAAGATGCTGAAGGCTTCGCAGCTCTATTTTCTTCTCTCTCTTGTTTCTCAATCATGGGTTTTCCTAAGCGTTCATGGATGTCACGAATAGGGTCAAAATTGTCTTCCAAGGCCGCTTGCCATACACGATGTAGATCTTGAGCCAACTAAATTATTAGTGTTAGTGTACAAATTAGGAACAATCGTGAGAAAATGGAAGAAAAGGTCGTCATCCATTCATATCGTTCATAAATATCAATGATCGTTTGTCATTCGCACCGATTATTTAATAATCACCTAGGACTTCTACAAACGATGTTTAAATCCCATTATCATGTCCAATTTCTGCTAGCTAGTTAACTAGCTACTTACAATGTAAGGTGAGTCATCTTCTACAGAACCCACATTAAATTCATCTTGGAGAATCTGCAAAATGAGCTCTTCGATATCCCATGCATCAACGTCTTTTGCTGAACAGATGTAGTCTACTAGCGCACCTGCCATCCAGTCTCGTTTGTCAGCTGTATCGACATCTGCCCATTCTTCAGCGACAGCTTGCCTCATGATGGGCCAACAGCAGACTAAAACACCAGCAGCATATTCAAAATAGGTTAGCTTCTTGGAAGGATCGTCAAACATGGTGAAGGATGCACTGAAATTTCGATTTTGGTCACTTTCTATTTTCAGAGAATACGCTAAACTCGTTAATGTCGTTTAAATAATTATAATGATATGTTTGACATTCTTATCGTATAATTCGATAGCAAAACGAGGCATTATACCAAGCGTAGTGCAGTACGCTTGGTTACGCTAACCTACAATGGACTTAGTTGAGAACTCTGGAACAGAGTTGGCATTAATTGTTTCTTCCTGAATCTCAGAAATTGCAATCTTTCTTGGTAGAAGAATGAAGTTGAATTACTTTGGAATCGTCGTCTCAAATTTTATGCCAAAAACCGCCAAGGTGCGCGTTGCAAAGGAAAAGTTTCACCCGGTTATCAAGAAATATGTAACAAATTACCAAAATTACATGGTACAGGATGATCATGGATGTGGAGTTGGTGATGCTGTAGTTATTCAGCCATGCAGACCACGTTCTGCAACAAAGAGATTCGAAATTATAAAGATCCTACAAGAAGCTAACCGCGTTTCTTCAAATGCCCTCTCAAGCTCAGAAGGGACCGCAGCCGACTCAAAATCATAATAAAGCGGAGTTAAATGGCTTCTAAAAGATCTGCATCACCAAAACTTACATGTCAATTGTTATGCCTTTCAAAAATTATGGGAAAAGGGGTTTTGTAGCATTGAGCAAGAAAATGTGGCATGTGAGTCATTTATCTTATAGGTGAATCATTAAATTATAGATGGCGGAAAGCATTCTTGCCGTCTTTTGCACCTTGCTCTTGACTCTGAAAACTAATCATTACTCCACTCCACGATTACAGTATATTGTAATTCTTCTACTCTTGCATATTCAGGATAATTACGCAACCTTTTCGTACTTTATACCTATTCTCTGTGATATAGATTTGATTTCTAATGAAGTATGTTAATCAACTCGAGTGTTTCTTATGGACATAAGTTCAAACAACCAACAACAACAATGAAGCTGAATGAATATGAATTTGGAAGGTTAAACTTAAAAGATGAAAGAAAAGTGAAATGCTATCCAAGGAAGCTACTTTGTATGTATAATTAAAACATCAACGTTTCATTGGATCTAGATAGAAGGCTTATAATTAACTGAAAGAAATACAAGAATCTGTTGCTCTTAACTTAATTATTGAGACTTTTAAGACCCATTTCAACGGCTGCGGAACCCCAGTCATCACCATGGTTGTGGCCGCCGTTAAGTCCGGCACGATGCAAGGCTTGTTCTTCATTTAAAACCGTCAAAAGTCCCAAAATCACGGGAACGCCAGTGTCAAGGCCTATTCGCATGAGACCGTGCACAACAGCTTCAGATATGTATTCAAAATGCATCGTGGAACCCTTGATTAAGACACCGATGCCAATTACGGCATCATAACGGTTGCTTGCCATGAAAGAACGAATACCGACGGGCAATTCCCAGCTCCCGGGAACGCTCCTGATGTCAATATTCTCTGGTTTCACTGCATGATGATTGATCATTTTGTCAACGGCACCCTTTACGAGAGGCTCGATAGCTTGCAAGTTCCAGCGAGCATGGACAACGAGAACTCGAAGATCGGGACCCTAAGTATGTTAGTACTTGTTTTTCTTGCTATGGATTTTAGAACAGCGTTCTTTTGACCGATTTCAAGATTTTTTCTCGGCGCTCATTTTCTAAGGCACAGCTCTCTTTCATATAAAGATAAAGATGTTTTATATTCAAGAAGAATTGACTTGGTTTTTCCGTTCAAGTGAACCCACAGAAGATGCCTTCAAATGTACCTATAACTTACTTGAATATCAGATGGATTCGGTCCTTTAATTCCTTCAAACATTTTTAAATACAACAAAAAAGGTGGTTAAAGCTGCGTGAATATGGTAAAATTGGAAACACTTTGTCTTTAAAATTGTGCTGAAAGTGAAGTTGATCTGTTAATAAGGACAAAGCGGTCTCCAAACCAGGATGATTTAATATGTGTTAAAAATGGATTGGTTCATAAAACCGAAAAAAAAGAAAAAAGAAAAAAAAAGATGGTTTTGATTATAAAGACTGAATTTACAAAAGGGATTAGTCATCATTGTGAATTTACAGGATTAGGATGCCTTTGTACATGTGTATAGGAGAATACAAGAAGAGTTTTTTTTCGATGAAAAAAAAAAAGCAAATAATAGAAACAGTAAGAAAAAAAGATCCATATTAAGCATAAAACAATCAGTAAGTGAATTACCAAGAGTTCGACCCTATGCAAGAATAACAGTAGCAAGCCTTAAAACATACTCGAAATGTATCTGTAGACTTGAGTGTATTGGGTTCGTTAACTAATAAAAGGAAAAAAAAAGTTATAAATAATTGAAGATTAAAGAACCAATATCAACACTTTTGGTTCCCTGTAAGAAATTCCATAAAGCAAGTGATTAGGCGAAAGAAAGTCATTCTTAAGTCTGTGGTGAAAATATCAATCAGTTCTGATCGGTAAGACATTCATAAACATACTTTGACATAAAGTGATTTCAGATTAATGCAGGTGTATGTTGTCAAATCGCACCCTGTAGGCACGAAAATAAGTCTTTGCCATGAAAGACAAGTGAAACAACCTCCTATCCTTTGATTCCCTAAACCGTCCAGAATACAAAGGAAATAATTAAACAATTCGTCGTCGATCAAGCCACCGGGCCCAAACTATGAAAGCATGTTAGTATATTGAACTTGTTTATGGGAGTCGAAATAGAGACAATCTCTCGAGATACGTCAAAGTATTGACCAAAGATTTTTTCTCTATTTACGCACAAATAGAAAGTGATTTTTACGTACCGTGAAAAGCGAATTTTCTTCCTAGAAACTTGCCAGCAATGGGAAATATGACTAAACACAATAATTGTTCCAATTGCTCTATAGATTCTTTCAAATCATCATCTAGCTCGCTAGAATAGTCATCATCCTCAACATCTGATGCTGCAGGAGAGTTCAAATGAAGCAAATCGGCCATTCTAAGAAAATCAACAACAAAAGTTGGTTTTCAAGATCAATCAAGCATAAAAACAAAAAAACCCTTTAGAAAATATATATCTTCGTTAATAGAAACGATGATGAATGAATTACTGACGATAGAGGAAAATGTCTTCAACAAAAGAGGTGAGTTGTTTTGAAAGCAGGATCAGGTTAAGAGAGGAATGCTTCTTCTACTGGACGCATAAAACCATCTGGCTTTAATGAAATGAAAAGAAAGATAGGATTTATAGATTTTTTACAGAAGCTCTGACACGCTTAACCATGCGAAAAATATTAATGCAAGATGCATCATGTATGAGATGGAATGCTTCAAGATTGTAATGTCTATGAAAGAAAAATAGCAAAATTTTTAAGCTACATCCTTGCAAAAACACGTTCCAGAAAATCTTTTCTTTTGTTCGAAAGTAACTACAAAACCTTTGTTTCTTAAAGCTCATAATTTTCCATGGTAAAAAAAAAATATATATAAATATATAAATACATGCTTGTAAAGCAGTTGAGAGAATGAACTTACTTTGCATCTCTTTCTCTGTCTCTTTACTTTTTTCCTTTGTTTCAAGTGTAAACACACTCTCTTTGTTTACATGACCCTGGAAACATCATTCCCTTACAGCTAGTTAATACATTTAGAACGCGACACGAAACCTATTATTTCTTTATTTCCGTTATCACATCCATAGACATCTTCTTAAATCTATTTCTTTTAAAGAAGATTATTCTTATTCTTAATTTTATCGTTTCTATTGAAGCTTTGTCTGACCTTTGCTGCTTTTTACGACGCGAACGTGGTTGACGTACAAATTTTTATTTTTCTTCCAAGAGGATTCTTTTCTTTATTTGGATATTTGGAAAAGAAAAAGAAACAGACATAACTTACAGTATATGTTTCGGAATGCTGGATCTAAATGCCATTAGAAGATGAAGACATAAACAAGCAATGCACTACTTTGACAAGATGGAATCCTATGTTTATTAACGATGTGTACTCTATCGTCTTTTCTGATTCTATATCTAGTACGTCTACAACCACATCTACAGGTGTTAGGATTGGTGACATGTTTTATTAACATTTGCTAGAAGAGATAGGTTTCTGGTTTGGACATCCCATTTGCTGGATACAGGTTGTAGGATACGTGGTTTCACTGGATTTCTACGAAGATAAATACGTTTGTACAGGTAGGTATACAGGGTATAGGAAGGTAGACAGAGGTTTTGCTGCCCAACAGGGACTCCCATGTTGAGCGTTTCGTAATAAGCATAAAGTATTTTTCAGGATCTTGAAAAACAGAGTACTTTATTTACTAACTTTTCTTTTTAGTGGATGATTGCACTAGTCAGAATATACGCACAGTCTTTTCACTGAAGGAGAGACGTTCCTTGGCGCAAAAAGCAAAAAGATTAAATCCAGGGTCAATTGTTCGCGTCGGTGGAAAAATCCAACGAGTTCATTCGTTTCACCTTCTAGCATATACGTTAGATCTACTTGAGGATCCGAATGCTGAATGGAAGGAGTGGCTTAAAAGGATTCATTATAGACAAAAACTACAGAGAAAACAATCGATCCTAAAAGAAAAGCCCGTAAATGAAAAATTAGGTTTTCCTTGTAAATCGTCCCATTCCAGTAATCACGCCAAGGTCCTCCTTCATCACTTGCGACGTTTATGCAAGGCGAATCCAGAGGCAGGCTTCACAATTGAAGAAGTGATTGGGTTTTTTAAAATCAACAACCTAAGTCTTCCTTCCGTCTCAGTTATAAACGTGGAGAGTCAAAGGATAGATACGTTACCAGGAATTAATGATGAAGCTATACGCCTTTCGCTTTTGTCCCTTCTCCGACATGGACGAGTTATTTACAAAAAGCCAGACAGTGTATATCGCCTGTTCTTCGGCAAAGATGTTATCAAATATGTGATGCCCATGATGTCCAGTGGACGTGTTGAGGCCCATCGTGTTTTAGATGTGCTTCGTCAAGCAGATGTCAGTTTCCAAACGGTCCCCATCTACGCCATAGCCAAACATATTCGAAAATTTCTTCGATCTGCTAGAAGTAGCTGGGACGAGACAGAAAAATATGTTTGGGAACTAAACAACCGTAAACATGGTTTTTTACCAATATAGTGTAATTAATATAACTTAGTTTCCGTAAGATAAATAAAAAATAAAAACTCAATGGGAAAACTTTCTTAGTAACATTATAGACAAGCAACTTCCTTAACACCTTTGTAAGAAAATTCTCCTAATCAATCATAAAATCATTGGTTTTGCAGTGTTAATGAAAAGAAAAGAAAACAATAAAATGAAACATATAAGACACCTATTCCTCTGCACCTATCTTCATCTTCACCTAATCCTTCCTGATATTTACTATAGATTCCATTTATTTCTTTCACAGTCAAGCAAGTTACGCGTGGCGCAATGGTAGCGCACCTCATTCCTAATCGGTATAGAAGCTGACCAGGAATCTTGAATCATGAGGAGGCTGCGGGTTCGAGTCCCGTCGTGTAAGTTCATTTTTGCTCTTTTTTATAAACATTTACATGAATGATTTGACTAAAAAACTAAATATTTTTTCATTGTAAAGAAGTTTTTATAATTATACGGTCCCCATGGTTGATTAATTCAAATTTAATTTCATTAGTAAACTATAGCCAAAAACACTATCTCATACAAACTAAAGTCTCACAGCAAAATTATGTTTAAAGTTTCTTCCTCTATTAGTTATTCTTTCAATTAATTGCATTGGGATTCGTTTCGTAATAAATCGTGATCCCCTGAGTGAAAAATTAACATTTTAATCCATCTTACTTGAGTTTTATTGCCTGCATTCTGCTTCTTTGTCATCATAAGGAATATCTGTTTCGGTTTGATAGGGTTGAAGAAATCGTTCAGTTAAAAAACTCATGCACAACTGCATTTTCAATGTTTTATTTTTCTCTTCATCCATAAACTGAAGATTGTCTATCTCCATTCCTTTCCTTAATGGCTTTTCTGTTTCATTATATGATTCCCTTTCGCCAGAATAATGCTCGGTTTGCTCGAGATAGAATCCATTATCATCATCAAAGGGCTCATAAAGTAGCTTTTCGAATTTCATAACTCCGTTATCATCATCATCATCATCTTCTTCTTCTTCTGTACTGTCCCAATTAGGATTTAGAGGTCGAATATTCTCGCTGTCACTGAAATCAGCAATCACTTCTTTGGCGGTATTTACTCCGTTCGAACCTGGTTGTTGTACATTGTCATTTCTCTTTTCTAGTCTTATTTCGTTTAAACTGTTATCTTCCTCCTTGTGTTCCTTATCATCAAGTCCCCAGTTCACTTTCATATAGTCTAGGCATTCAAGAATCAACTTGTTCGTGGAAGGAAACATGTCTTTCTCGTCGCTTTTTTCTTCCTCAATGGTGGCACCTTGTGTAGACTCTGACGTTGAAATGTCAATTTGGTTATCGCTTTCATTTGTCTTGCCTTGTGTTTCTCCGAAGATCGAAATTATTGGCAGCATACATGGATCGTTCTCTTCTTCACAGCTTAATTCATAATTTTCATAAAAGTCTCTCTGATTGTAATTAGCTTCCTTTTTTTCTGCCTTGCTTTCTGCTGCTCCATAGATCGGTATTATTGGAAGTAAACATGAATCTTCCTCTTCTTCACACTGTGTTGCATGATTTTGAAAATCGTGTGTCTGTTTATAGTCAGTTTCCCTCTCTAATGTTTTGTTTTGTGCTTCTTCATAGATTGGTAATATAGGCAACAAATTTGGATCGTAGTCTTTTTCACATTGTGTTTCATATTTACCATAATCTTCTTCAAGTTCATATCCAAGGTTAAAGGTGCAGTCTTGCGTATCCGATTGTTTTACAAAGCTTGTCGCTTCAATTACTAAGTCCCTTTCTTTTGTTGAGTCTTCTGAAAAAAGTAGAGCTGGCAAAAGATTTCTATTCAACCCTTCGTCTTCGGAAGATATCTTTGCAATCGTGTCTTGACTTTGATCTTTATAATTTTCCTCTTCATTTTTCTCACTATTGTTTAGTTCTGCATCATTCTCCGTTTCATCATCCCATTCAAATAATATCCTTGATTCTTCTTCTTCAAAAATTGATTTCCAATAATCTGTATCTGCATAAGTATCGTTTATTTCGCTTTCACTTATCACTTGATCACTAGATCGTTCTATAGTTTCTTTCTGAGCAATGTTAAGTTTGCCTGTTGATGTTTCGTACTCGAGAAGTCCTGGAAAAAAATCTGTTTTGATGCCACTCAGACAGTACAGCTTAAAAATTTGATTACAGCGAAATAAATGAGTGGTTGAGCTATATTCATTATGAAAATACTCACGTACAATCTGTTGCATTTTCGCATTCTTTCCATTCACATTAAAAGATATTTTTTCACCATCTGCCTCAACGTATGGGCCATCAATGATCGGGGTTAAGTGCTCGAGTTGTCCATAACGCCAAATTAATTGCACTTTTCCATCTAGGCAATAGATATAGGCGGTAACTGAGGGGAATTTTCTAAAACAGCTTTCAAGTTTATAAAACTTTGAATCGTACAGTGAGCTTTCTTTAAATTGAGACCAAACTTGAAGCGTTTCTTGGTAGCCTAAGATCCAGGATGCATATATAATAAACTTCTGAACAGCAACAATTGATGCGTTCACTGATAAGCTTCCAATTTTATAGAGTAGCTTGAACGGAAAAAGAACAGTGATTATAATTGTTTCTAAAAAAGTAGCCACGGTCAAGTATGTAAAGATAGTTATAGTAGAGCAAGCATAAGCGATCCAAAGAAGAACATCTTGAGAGAAATAAAAAATGCTTTCAAGATTTTGGAAGAAGCAAAGAACGGCAAAGATACACACTGAACTAGCTAGTGGTTTCAGAAAGATCTTGCCTATATCCAAATAAGAGTAAACCAGTGGAAAGTTAATGTAAATCATTTTTATCTCTTAATGATATTAAGAAAGAGAAATAATATGAATGAGCTATATATATATATATACTACATTATTGAATGTAAACAAATAGTGAAATAAGCCCAATCAAAACAATGACCATATAAACAATGGTATATTTGCATATGAGTAGCAAGCAACAAACAAACAAACGATAGAGATCTCAATAGAGAATGTAGAGGTCACATTATACAAAAACCGATGAAAGATCAATAGTTGAAAGTCATCCATTAAGATACGTACATTAAAACTTTAAGCGATGAAGGTCGGTTCATGTCTTTTCAGCGACATTTTTTGAGAGCAGCTAAGGGTATAAGATTAATTAATGCATAGTCCAAATCTTGTTAATAGGAAAAGCTATGGGAATAAAATGTTATAAGCTAATAGGACCACTTCTTTCCAGTAATCATTTCATAGGCATCCATATATTTTTTACCAGTAGCATGAACGATATTTTCAGGAAGAGAGACCCCGGGCTTGCCATTTAGTTTGTTAGAGGTAAGCCAATTGCGCAAAAACTGCTTATCGAAGCTGTCTGGCGATGTTCCAACTTTGTAGTCAGCAGCAAGCCAAAATCGAGAAGAATCTGGAGTCAACACTTCATCCACAAGAACAACTTTGTTTGTAGTTTCATCGACACCAAATTCAAATTTAGTATCTGCGATAATGATTCCCTTTTGCAATGCAGCTTCTCTGGCAATTTTGTAAAGTTCAACAGAAGCTTGAGAAACTTGTTTAGCCAAGTCTTCGCCAACGATGCTAGTCACAGTATCGGGATGGATATTCTCATCGTGTCCCTCAGCAGCTTTTGTACTCGGGGTGAAAAGAGGTTCAGGAAAAGCCTCTCCTTCTTGCATATTAGCGGGAACTTGAATTCCATGAACGGTTCCATGAGCCTGGTATTCCTTCCACGCACTTCCAGTTAGGTAGCCACGAACAATGGCTTCAATAGGAAGGATTTTGAATTTTTTAACAAGCATGCATCGATCCTTCAACTCTGGATGCTGTTGGATGATCCAAGGCATTTCGTTCCATTTAGAGGTAATTAAGTGGGTTTGAATTTTACCTTTAAAGAGCGAAAACCAAAACTCTGAGATTTTTGTAAGGATCTTACCCTTTTCAGGTATTCCGTTATTCATAATCACATCGTATGCGCTGATACGGTCTGTTGCAACAAACAGCAGGGAAGAAGGAAATTCTTCACAATCATAAAGATCTCTCACTTTTCCAGACGCAACTTTTTTGAATGGCATAGGCAAAGACGTCTCTAAAACGGTCATGGTTGTAATTATTCAAAGATTATCTTGTTCTCTCCTTAAACCCGCACAGGTGAAGTAGAAGTCTATGTACTTTTAAATTTCAAGCAGGAATGACTTTATTTCAAAAAAAAAAGGAAAAAAAAGATGCTCAATTCAATAAATGCAGTTTCGCTGTCTGCAAACCAAAATTAGAGGGTTGTGTGTAAAAGATTAAAGATTGATGAACAAGATATAAGATGTAGAAAAGCGAAGGACTTTAAATACCGTACAAGGAAAGCACTTCTAGTTTGTTTTTAAAAATAACATTAAATATAGCTTGTTTTTCAAACTAAGGAATTTCATTGCAAAGATGAAGAAGAAAAAGCTTATGATAAATCATTGTAAGGATCCAAAATTTTGCGAATGGATATCAAGACAAACAGATAAGTATGATTGAATTCTTCCATCTTTATTACTTAATAATTCCTTTAGCACTTGCCGTGCTATTACAAGGAAGAATTGGTGATAGAAGTCGAGTTCTACGAAACGAATGTTTTTAAACCGCTTTTTCTGAAAACTCATTTCTCTAGTTATATTCAATTTAGGATCAACAGTAAGGAACCTCTAAAAGTAAAAATGAACCTATTTTCGATGAATTCTAGTCATACTTTGTAATTAAAGAATTCGCATTTCCGGTAACAATATCGATTCAAATATCATATTATGAGTGGTAACGTGGGTAGCAACTGTCAACAAAAGTATAACAAAACGGTTTATGGTTGATTATATCTCCGGGAAAGCATAATCCTAAAGAGTATAGTACAGTGAGTTACTACCTATCGGGAAAAAAAAAGAAAGTTTAATTAACGAATGTATAAACATTTAAATTAGAAGTTGTAATGCTTTATATTAAAAGATTGTTCGACAAGAGGGTCATATTCCATAAAGATATATTTGTATAGTCGAGCTTACTCGTGTACTAAGGTATGGATTTAATATTCTCCTTCGATGGTTTTCGCTCATGGGATCCATTTTCATTTACTGAAATTTAACTTTCATGTATAAAGAAAAGGTTTTATATTTGTACGAAAATTACTTCTTTCAGCTTTTCTTTGATTGTACCTGTTGCTACTTCCTATAAATTGAAACACTACGAACGAAGATGATGTCCTATGTTTGTTCCTTCTTATAGTTTTAAATACGTCTTACTACAATTAAGAATATATTTAATCATCCCTTATGATTGCTATTCTGATAAAAATGTCGCTTGTTTGTTTACCAAGGAAGTATCTTGATATTCGGTATTTGAGTTGTAAATAACAGACATCGCAAAACGCGCACTGGTAGAAACAGTGTGCAATGAAACGAAAGCAAGAAGTGCAGGAAGGGTTTACTTTTGTTAGGAAAGGAAAAGAAACGACATCGGTGAAACATGGCAAATCGGATACTTCTCAGAATGAAGAATCACCTAAATCCGAAAAAATGATTGCACTGCCTGTGTCAGATACCCCAATAATTAAGAAAAACCAGAAACTGAGAAAATCCAAGGGAAGGAGAAGTAGCCTTGACCAACGAGGAAAGCGTGCCAGTAGCATTGGAACGGGGTTTGAAGCTCTTCCTCATGCGGACGTTCCTACTGACGAATATTATCGACACATTTCAAAAGATTTATCTGAACCTCTTCGAATGAAACAGCTGCTTCTGTGGGCTTCCTATAAGCGATTGGATGAGCAACGGGAAAAATACAAGGAAACAAAAGAATCCAGCGAAGCTGCAATCGCTAGGTCTATCATTCAAGAAGTTCTTAATGAGTTATTGTCCAACCAATTTTCTATTAGTTGGTACCAAAGATCCCCGAATGAGATTATTCCAAATAAGCCTCACCCTCAGAATTTAAAAAATATACAGCTTTTGGACGAGTTAACGGCTAAGTTGGCTCAGCTACAAGATGAAGAAGCTGCTTGGAGGGCGGTTGCTGCAGGATCAGTAGAAAATGAAAAGACACTTCACGCATGTCGAGATTTATCCAACCGGCTCAGCTCTTCAACCGACTCAACCAGTAACGATCAGGAAACATCCAAAGAAATGAACAACTATAATCAAAGTTATGTTAAAGATTTAAAGATGAGTCTCAACCCTTTGCTTGACTCTTTATCTCAGCATATACATGCTCTCCATTCTTTAACTCGCATTAGCCCAAGTGTTCGCTCAGCATTCGGCGAAAGGGCAGCTCATAATTATCTTCTTCACAAACAAAAATTCTCCAAGACAGCAAATCATTCTGATACAATGAATCTCCTGCGAATTTTATCCAAGAGTGTATACCAGTCTCAACGAAATAACGAACCATAGTTATGTCTTTCGACCCATCCCTATAGAAAAAGTCCTCTCATTTTTATTCCATAGCCTATTTTCCGCGTTCTACGATTCCTTGTTATAGAGTACACAAACATGATTTTTGCTGATTTCTTTACGTCGTATACTTGTATATTAATGTTTAATTTATGTATAAATGAGATAACGTCGACTATTACTCCCGATATATATATACAATTTTAAAAAATAAATGCTCACCCTGCACAATGCAACTTTTGTTTACCGAGATGTAGAAAAAGAAAAACAGTTAATTTTTTCATTAACTTCCAGTATGAAAGTTCTAATTATAGAAGTAAAGAAGGCGAAATGACTCTTCATATCCAAGATGCTCAATGATTTTCTTTTCTTTTTTCTTTTCTAAACCCAAAATATTCATAACAAAATCAGCTTAATAACGATAAAGTTTGTGTTTTTTATTATGTGAATTAAAATAGTGGTAAAACACAAAGATAGCAAAGAAGCAAATTAACATTTTTGGTTAATAAACACCGGCAAATATATAAACCCAATAAGTTTTATATAACAAGCCAAGGAAGGATATTTCATGATTTTAAGAAAAAAAGGCCCAGAACGTATACCTTAAACCTTTGATCATGTAAAAGCAAAATTGATAACTTCTATGATGGCGCGTGTAATCGCAATTCGTGATAAAAGATCGTCGAATGAAGTACAAGAATAATATTATACGATGGCTGCCTTTGATTTTGCACGAATCTTTGCACCATAAATGTAAAAGATGAAGGGTATGGGGATTGCAGCAACAGCTATCATACCTAAAAGGAAGAAAGCCCATTGTCGGGTCATACCATCCATCATATAGTCAATAAATAAAGGGAAGGCAGCACCACCTCCTGAACGTACCATTGTCTTAGCAGCTAGAGCAGAGGCACAATAATTTTGATAGACATCGATTAGGTAATTATTTGCACTGAAATAAAACAGCACCATTCCGTAACCAAACGGAACTCCACTGAAAGCAGGACCGATCCAAATTAATCTGGGAAAACTTGTCCATCCGAAAATTAATAGACCAGCAGGGATGAAAGGAGCTGCAATCATCATACCGATCAAACGCCATTCAGGAATTCCTTTACCACCGTTAGCATCTATGCGATTCATATATTGTCTTTCCAAAAAGGGAGTAGTCGCTAAAGCAAAGACGACACCTACTAAAACGGGAATAAACATGAGACCAGTAATACCTTCGTTATAGCCCTTTCCTTTGACGAAAACGTTGGGATACGCAAAGAAATAGCCATAAAGCAAAGCATAAATAAGAGCAATATAGCAGGAAATACTCATCAAAATAGGTTCCGTCATCAACAAACTTATGGGACGAAGCAAATTGACTTGGACAATTTCCATAAAGGATAACATCTGCTTTTCTTGTGCTGTGTAAACCTTTCGACCAGTCTGCTTTCGGATTTTTTGGGCGCGCCAACGCAAAAGGACAGGGGCATAAGTTTCGGGAATGGGAAGCATAGTGAGATACATAACAAACATGTAAATCATATTGACCCAAAATATCCAACGAAAGTCACCAGTACCAACATTGATCCAGCCGCCGACCAATGGACCAATAGTGGGACCAGCATAAGGACCAGCAGCGAAGAAGGCAATGGCAAGACCACGTTCGCGGGTTTCCCAAACATCGGATAAAACACCACCGGCAAGAGTAAGCGGCGAGCAACCAAAACAGCCAGCGAAGAAACGACAAATTAGAAGACATGCGATATTAGGAGCCAAAGCACAGGGAATTTGAAGGATAATATAGATAGCTAAAGTGACCAAGTAAACGATACGACGACCAAACATTTCACTCAAGGGACTGATGACTAAAGGACCGACACCGAATCCAACTACCATAAGAGAACAAGACAAAGCAGCGACTTCAGGACCAACCTTTAAGTCGCGGCTCACATGTTCCAAATCACCAGCAATGACGGATGAACCAAACGCACTACAAATTACGAGCAAGGAATTAATAGCCGTAATGTACCATTTCCAAAGTTTGGACCAATTTTTAGGGTTTGAAGGATCGTTCATTTCCCAGGTTACAAGCTCTTCGCCCTCTTTATTAATGGTAGGATCACGGTAGAGACCCCCTTCAGTCTCCAAATTGTACTCTGCTACATCAGGGAGGCCGCGAGTGGTGGTAAAGGGATAATTAAGATCGACACCATTAGGAAAAAGAGTCTCAGATTGGCGGGAGGTAGTACGATTTAAAGGGTTTCCGGACATATCCAACATACGCGATTGCGTTAACTGGACAGGATTTTCAGCGGCTTCTAGCGCGTCTAAATCTATCGTATTTGCATCATGGGCAGCAGGATTTTCTCTAGACATTTTCAGGACGGAAGCGACAGGCAAAATCAGGCCCAAGGAAAAGAATTCAAGGAACTTTTGTGAAAAGAAAATAAAGACGATTTAACAACAACTAGATAAGACCAATGATGTAAGGGGTAGAATGTATCAATTGGAATTAAAATGCAAGAAAAAAGACGGAAGGAGTAATTGCAACCAAATAGTATAGCTATAGTAATCGACAAGCCTTTTTTTATGAGAAGATAAATTAAATAAAGTTGAACCACCTTAAAGGCATTCAAAAAAGTACACACTGGAAAGGGGATAAGCTGTGTAGGATCTAATTAATTCTCGTAATTAAACAAAGTTCCAACAAAACAGCTTCCAAATTTACTAGAAAGTGAAGAACTAAAGAACCAGATATTTCCCTAAAAGTATATGCTCAATACAACGACAAAACAAAGTTCATGCGCACATATATATATGTACGCATTTATATCATCCTTGTTCAATTCACAACAACCGAAGCGAAATTAAATTTGCCGTAAATCATCTCATTGGCTTATATTCGGCATTGAGTATGGAGTTATTTTAGGGAGAAACAGCGTGTTGGGAAACGTTACCGGAAGTATGGTAACTAATAAGCACAAGGAAAACGAACATGGTAGTTTCATCTTTAGATGGAGATTCTACACTCCCGGAGAAGCAAAACCGCTTCATTCAAGCGAAAGAGAAACTTCGTCATATCGAACAACAGCTACCTAAGTACCTATCTCATGCCACTTTAAAAAACTTTTGAAAGGACAGTTGTAAGCTTTTTCTGTTATCCCCTTTGTAGGATGAGTTCAAAATAAAAGCCTACTGCAAAAAAAGGGGGGATTATCATTGTGTGCATTCAAAATGATCTCAAGTGATGGAAACAATCATCATTTTCATACACAAATGCACCCAACGATCGGCAATCGAAATGACAACCTCTTCTTTTTGATGCTTCCTTGCGAAGGACGTAACATAAATGATTTGCTTACTTTTTTATAAGCCCTTTCCGTAGAGATTGGTCGGCGTCCCGGCAATCTAAAAAATCGGCAAATTTGCCGATTTTCGGCAATGAATATGAATTTGTACGATAGCACTCAGTGCTCATAAAAATCAAACGAGGTAAAGCTGCCGATAGAACGAATAACTTTCCTTAAGCGACTAAGGGATTGAAATAAAAAGACTATGAAAGCCAAAGTAAATAATAGAGGAACAACGGTTGATTAAAAGATTTTAATACGATTTCAATCCTCATAAAGGATAACAAATATGTTCAAGATGAAGTTCGCACATTTCAGTCGGTTTTACTGTCATTTGTAAACTCTGTCAGAATAGCAATCTTCATCTCTGAGAGTCTTTTAGCTTTCGTATCTTTTTCGCAATTGCTCTCTTTTTTCAACATACCAGCTCGAGTTTTGAATTATGATTATTTTCAACTACTGATAAAATCTGCTAAAAGGATCTAAATGACTCGACATCACGGCTTCCAGTCAGCTAAAAAAAGAATCTTCTATACGTTTGTATGTGGAAGAAAAGAAATTTTCTATTTTCCTTTTTTTTTTAGGCATTCCCTATACTTGCCGTTGCATCTATTGTCCTGCCTGTCTGTTTATTTTATTTTATCATTATTTTTTTTTTACATTCATTTCTTCTCTAGAAAAAGCCATCGTTGCTAACCTTGCCTTGCCGGTATGCTGTTTCTTTTCTCTTGGAATGTGCAAACTTGCAGCTAGGGAGTAGTACATTACACTTTGTTAAGGAATATGGAAGAAGTTTCAAGTAAACTCGATATCCCCTTTTATCGAGTTTATTTTTTGCCCTGCAGTGCAGTATTTCAAATAAACGAATTTTTGTCTCCTTAGCGTTCCTTAAAGTTCCACTACGCTCCAGCTATCACCCAGTGGGGTTTTCCTCCACAAACCTCAACAAACTTCTTCGAAAATTCCTACGTTCCATTTGAGATAGCTTGGCATTTGCTAAGCTTGTTTCAAATTCATATATTAATTCCCTGGATCATTCACCACTCTTCCTGAGTTCTTTATCCGATATCCCTTGACCTTGAAAGGCAAACAAACTTTATTTGTTTTACCAATCCCTGGGTTATTATCTCTCTAAAAAATTCAACGCGAATTTTTTGTTGTATCTTTAGTCATAAAATCTTCTAATCACTGATTTTTTTTTTTTTTTCACTGACTGACTGATTACTTCGTTTTTACATTTTGCTTTTTGTTTTTGTGTTCCTGTTCAACAACCTTTTGAAAAAAAGGTATATTAGCAATCAGAAAACCGTTATAAAAACGTTAAAAGTGAGAAATTGCTTTTTTTAGCGTCTAATTACCGCTCACGTTTTTTTTGGTCATCTCCCAGTCCATTCCATTCTTTTTTTTATTTCTTTTCTGGTGTGCATGTAAAATAGCACTCCTATTTAACGGTAATATCTATTGTAGACCTTTGCCAACATTGGTCTATTTGAATTTGAACAGGATTAGGTTCCCGTTGATCAAAACCTATTATTTCAATCAGAAACTTGCCCTTTTCTTTTACAGTCCCTTCGTTACCTTTTTTTCTTGAGCTTGTCACGGCATACGCAAGTGATCCTTTGATATTCCCCTCTTCTCTCAATTCTAATTCTAGTTTTGTTTATACCCTTATTCTTTGATCGATCGTTTACTATATATAACCTTTTATTTTAAGCTTCGTTCTTCCGCTTAATTTATTTTCTTAAACTTTTGGTCAATGTCGTCGTCTGATAGAATTTCTTTACCGAATGCAGTAGAACAGCTATCCTTATCATCGGATACTGCTGCGTCTTCGCATCATCAATCGTCTCTTAATGCGAATAACTCCGAACACAACTTAGATCCTCAATCGTCTTTAATCTCTTCTTTTTCTTCTTCATCCTCGTCCTCTAATTCAGATTTTAACGATACTAATTCTTTATCGACGTCCTCCGACTCTTCCGATGATAATAACAACACTGTAAACGGCGATAATGATACAATTTCTCGATCTTCCTCTACTAGGTCGTCTGATCAATTAACATCTCGACCTGTTCCGCCAGTAAGATTAGGACGTCGTTCTTCCAGTAAGAATCGGGCATCTCTTGCGATAAACTGCAATCAACCAGCTGAAAAAGCTGGCAGTGCCCTTTCTTCACCCACATCCGTCGGTTCTCCCCCCTCTTCTTCTATGCAATATCCTGGTGGCTTATCCTCTGATATCCAAGAGAAAGTGAAAGCTTTCCATGCCGCTCGTTCTAGGTCTTACCCTGATGGTGGTAATAGCACAACATCTAGTCCTGCCTCACCTATGGTCGGTAATCGATCAAGTATTTCCATCCCCATCGCTCCTATTCCCCCAAAAACTCCTCCTATTTCTGGACAAAAAGGTACCAATGGTACTGACTCGACTTTAGCCCGCTCGCTTGCTGCCGCTAGAATTCCAGCTCAGCGTTCTGCTTCAATGCCCAAGCAAAATAAAATGCGACGTGCTCCTCCCGGAAAAATTGACCTATCCAATAACAGTACCACTCCATCAAGCTCCAATGCGGATTCAAAAGGCAGTATGGCTTCACGACGCGGTTTAAAAATTCCTCCTAGTCTCCGACAGTTTGCTTCTGAAACGCCGTTTTCCACGTTTTCTGATATTTTGGATGCCAAATCTGGGAGCTTGAATTTTAAAAATAAAGCCATTCTCAATGCTGATGGTGTCAATTTTTCTTCTGGCTCTTCATTTAGAATTAATATGTCTGAAATTATAAAACTTGCTGAGTTAGGTAAGGGCAATTATGGAGTTGTATATAAAGCGTTACACCGACCGAGTGGTGTTACAATGGCAGTGAAAGAAATTCGTCTTTCTTTAGAGGAAGCCACATTTAACCAAATTCTAATGGAACTTGATATTTTACATAAAGCTACAAGCCCTTATATTGTAGACTTTTATGGCGCGTTTTTTGTTGAGGGTTCTGTTTTCATTTGCATGGAGTACATGGACGTTGGAAGCATGGATAAATTATATATAGGTGGGATTACTGATGAGGGTGTCTTGGCTCGTATTGCTTACGCTGTTTTACAAGGCCTAAAAACACTTAAAGAAGAACACAACATTATTCATCGTGATGTTAAGCCAACGAATGTACTCGTTAACTCCTCTGGACAAATCAAGTTGTGTGATTTTGGAGTTAGTGGAAATTTGGTAGCTTCAATCTCGAAGACTAATATCGGCTGTCAATCTTACATGGCACCCGAAAGGATTCGTGTAGGTGGCGGTGGTAACGGTGTATTAACTTACACTGTGCAAGCTGATATTTGGTCTTTGGGTTTAACCATACTAGAAATGGCAATTGGTTGTTACCCATATCCTCCTGATTCTTATACATCCATTTTTGCTCAGCTTTCTGCAATTTGTGATGGGGAACCTCCAAAATTGCCAAATTCATTTTCTCCGGAAGCTCATGATTTTGTAAATAGATGTCTTCGGAAAAATCCTTCTTTGCGTCCCGGCTATCAAGAGTTGAGCAATCATCCTTGGATTCTCAAGTATCAAAATATGGAAGTGGATATGAGTGCCTGGGCTAAAACTAATTTAGAACATCAAGTTGCAGGAGAGGCCGAGAGGTAATCTAGTATGTTAAGTATAGTGTTTTAACGAAACGATGTTTTGGAAATCCATACAAACTAGAAAGAACGAGCTTCCTCATTATTTGTTTAATACACTATACTAGACATACTGATTAATAAGGTCATTTAAATTAGTCACTGAGGAAAGCCATCGAAAGATGACTTCGAATGGGTAATATATCGCGATTTTCTTTGCGAAGTTCTGTTGCAAAATTGCTTTTCTAATATACCATGAAAACATAGAGCAATGTAATTTGCATAGGCGGTGCAAATGTGAAGTCAAGAACTCGAGAGTGCTATGAATTTATTTATATTGCGACGAATTATCTTTGTCAGTAATTAATTGTAATAATAAGTATTTATAAGCTTTTCAGTTATAAGGAGAAATGAGTAGTAGCTTATTCTATATGTAAACAAAAAGTTGAAGAAATCATCTTGTTTTGAGTTAGTATACTGGCAATCATACAACGTAGTACGTTATGTCATTTCTAGTTGGGTTTCGAGATATATGCGATTTAACATAAATGTATGTTATCCTATCGGGGACGAAAAGGTAGTCAATATGACACTATTTTCCGACAGAGTACTTATTCTTAGCTTCTTCTAAGGTGGTGTCCCATGTATTTCTGGTAATCCGATCCTTAGCCAACAACTTAGATAATTCAACGATTAGTCCCAAAAAGTTATGTCGACGAAGTTGATTTTCACGTTTCCATCGTGCACGTTTTTCATCTTCAACAGCAATAGAGGCCGCCTTTTCTTCATCCGTTAAATCAGGATTGTTTAAAATAGTGAGACGCTTATCCTTGGAGATGACCATCAGATTGAACCGGATTTCACTGGCGTCGTACTTGCCAATTCTTGATTGTATAGTAGAAACAGCACGTCTAGGGAACTCTTCCTTTGTACACGTGCCGTGATTAATGGGTGCAGGTTGTAATCCATCTAGTTCGTAAAAGATATCGTTAATGTTCGTATATGCAATAAAGTGGTAGACATCATCATCTTCTGTCGCAACCTTAGTTTCATCACTCACAAAAGGGTCCGATCGAGCGAAAGAATTATGGGCACAGCGAATATCCTCAGAATTGCCCAGTGCTTCTCCTTTGAGATCGGGAGGTAAGAGTTTTGTGAATTCTCGAAATTCTGTTAACTTGGATCCCAAGTCAATTTCCTCATTGTGATTCAGCAAAACGGATAAAAGAGCTTGAGTAGCACATGCATTATTTATGACTTGTTGACCAAAGAAAATACGATCTATTGATTCATAGTCGAGTTCACCATCAGGTTTTCCATCAGGCTTCTTCCATTTGAACAAGAAAATAATCCCATAGATATCTCTGACGTAAAGGAAGTTAGTAAATATTCACCTCAGAAAGTCAACTGTCATGTATTGTACGTACGAAAAGTTGCGCAAAGTCTCTTCATCCAACGTGTATAGTTCTTCAACTTCAACACCTGAGACTCCAAGATTCTCAATCAAATCAGTAAACACTCCAGCATCTGATTCTAAGGTGGTCCAACTCATTTTTTAAGGTTTAAAAAGAAAAGAAAAGGGCAAGAACAGGTTTCAACCTGTGGAAATTCTGCTAGGTTTCACGTCAATTAACACATAATTACACTTCGTAAATTTTGCATAATGATACAAGGTTCAAGCTCCTTATTGTGTTTTATATGTTCGGATCTCTCGTTAATAAACAATCCCTCATAGATGGAAAGATCCAAAGAATAAATATTGTAGATAGAATGCTATGTAACAATGAATATCATCATGAATGATTCAATTCAGTTGAATTGAGTTGATAGAGTTCTTCTTAACACTCTTCTCTCATTGTAGGACTTGAGCTTTTTCGTTCTCAAACTGCTTTTGTGACATGGGTGCTTCTCATGAGAACATCAGAAGGATATTTACAGATTTACGGTATATTTATATATCATATTTTCTCAACGCCAAGCTAATACAGTACTTGGATCATGTATTAAGCTATATAAGCTATCGATTTGGACAGCTAAGGAAAATATAGAGATATGATCAATATATTGTAAAGAAGAGCCTATTCGCCTTTTGCTCGATTCAGATAAAACGAATCCTACAGTAAAGACATTAAATAAAATATATGAAACTTAAACGGATGCATTTATAGCAATTACTCGGTTGCAAAAGGACTATGAAGGTCATAAATCCTTAAAGAAAACTATCGCTTATGAAACCTGCCAGAGTAGCGTTTGCAAATGGAGAATGCATATTTAGAGAAAAAAATCATACACATAAAAACAATGAAAAAATAAACGCCCGTTACCTATCCTCGGCCCATTCGTTTTCTTTACGGATTTGCTCCTCTTCTTCAGGTGTAAAGTCATTGGGGATATTAAAGGTCTTACGAATGTCTTCAGGGCTTTTTCCACGGATCATATTTGCTACTGTTTTACAGCCAGTGTCGAGTAGCGGTTTGATATCAAGATAATTGCTAGCCAAAATAATTTCAAAAAGCATTTCCTGGTCAACCGACATAAACTTCTTGTCCCAATCATCGATATCGGTTGATTTTTTAAGCCGAATATCGCTTTCTTCCTCAGTATTGGAGTACAAGTCATTCTTATGGTGTTCACACCATTCTAGCACTTTTCTTAAAACATTCGAGGAAACGTTTGGCAAGGGAATTGGAACATTCAGTTCACCAACATCTAAAAGAAACGGTCAACGAAAGCAATTCCTTTTACAATTCACATACCTTCCAGCATATTGTTGATCAACATGCTTTTTTCAGCAACAGGTCGATCTAAACCTCACATTAGTAAAGATGATTTTTCTTGGTTTCCAATTAAAATGAACCTACCAACAGTAAACTCTTCATTATCAGATGAAATAAGTTTGATTTTTGACATTCTTTCTTCTTGGGAGTAACTAGAAGAAATTCTGGCTCCACTTGGTCTTCTTCTGTCAAAAATCAAATACAGTAGTGCACCTTATAGTACAGTAAACGATTTCGGTACTGTTCCGAGATACCATAAATGAAATTGTGATGCTGTACGCGCAAAGTAAATCAAAAGCAAAACAAACAAAATAAAAGAGAAGAAATTTTCTTTGTGTTTCTTATAGAGAAATTAACGGTTTATTCTTATTTTTGTTTTACTTTCTAATAACTTTGATTTTCTTTTATTGGAACTCTTACTTGATCTTGCCTTGTAACAAGATAGTACCTAGTACCAACCTGGCATATTTACTCGACTTGAATAACTTCGATAGGCATTCATCTTTATAGAAAGGAAAAAAATACAAAAAAACAATAAAAGGACTGCCCATTGTCATGGGCCAACGATTAAATCATCAAGGAATCTTTGTAACATACGCTTTGAAATCCAGCTTTTCATACAAAATTTTGGTTTCCTGAAATCATTCAGAAGCTCACGGTTGTAAAGATTCATTGTCAAAAAGGACTACTGGAATTGTTTGAAGATGTTGGTTCAGCTGTTTGAATTCACGCCTCTTTCTTTCATAGACGATGTAATTAACATTACCAATCAGCTGTTGTACAAGACTGTCAATGGTGTTGATCGAGCGTTTTCCTCGCTCTCGAGCACAAGAAAGTCCCCGAAAGAAATTGAAGAAGGATTACACAAGTTTGAAATCTTATTTGAGAGTATCGTTGATCGATATTACGATAGGTTTGAAATATATGTTTTAAGAAACATTTTCCATTATCCCCCAGAACTGAAGGGTTACCTCCGCCTAGAAGGGCAAACAGCGGACTACACAGTGACAGCGGAAAAGGATGCTACCATTGACCAAGAAATAGAAGAGGCTGCTCAAGTACTCACAGAGAAACTCAAAGCTCGTCACTCCCTAAGAATGCGGCTACGAACAAGTGAGGAACGGCGGCAACAATTGGAACGACAGTTAGAAACACTTTCTTTTCTTTCCAACATCCCAAAAGAGCAACGAATTACTTTACCAGAAACAACCGACTTTTTGTTGGACCAATTGGCCGGACTACAAACTTCCCTTCATTCCGTCACGCAGGCATCACCTATTCTACCTTCACGCGAAGTAGATGAACGCGTTATGTATCTCGAAAAACGATACGAAAAACTAGCTGGCCCGATCGAGCAGCATCGAGATTTTTGGTCGCATCAACTGATCAAGTTAGAATCTATCGCGAACACAGAGGACGTTTCGCACATGAGTAAACTTTTATCTTCTTCTGATGACTCCAGTAGCGGTTAGATTATTTGTGTAATGTATAATATATAAGATATGACAAGACTCGAAGATCATTCCATGAAAGTGAAAAGAGAGAAAAAGAAAGGAAACAAATAGCTTCCATTACGAAAAGAGAGAGAATGTGTAGAGAGAAAATGAACGAATTGAAGAGTTTGCATATGAAAAACAAAAGAAGAAATCGAGCAGTCGCTCATAGTCATTGATTTGTCTTCATCTCAAAAGCCGCAAACCCTCTACTCGGCCCCGTCCACGCCAAATCTCTCAAACAACTCAATACTTGTACATTTTTCTTGTTCGGCAACCTTGCCAATCATTTCCAGAGCTACATCTCGGATTTCATTGTAAGTGTGCAATAAATCTATATGCCTTTGAACTGTGTACTTGGCGTCAGGATTTCTGATGGCGTTAGTATCAATTCAGAAACAAAAAACAATCCAATATTCGAAAAAGTTTCAGTCTATCGTTTCACATGATTCAAAATAGACGCGTTGGAAATCCATCCAACATGACAGGCTTACATACTTGAGTTTTGACACCGCCTCTTGCAGATTCTTTTCCAATTGCTGCTTTTGCTGCTCCAACAACTGGACGCGAGCTTCCAATTGAGGCTAACATGGTTAATTCATATACGACATGGACGCTACTTAAAAATAACACGACGATATTACCTTTTCCATCCGATTTAAGCAAAGTTTTCGAAGAGAAATGATGACTAGATTATTAAAAATAAAAGAATATCCGCGATTTCTATGAGAATGATGCTTTTTGCTTTCACCAGTGTTATGCGCGCGCGTCAAAACAGGAATTTAGCGACTTCAACCTTTACACATTTCCATTTTTGCGCTCTCTACTGTGCTACTCTTTATTACCTTAACAAAGTCTGCAATTATTTGCAAACTCTGTTAGTGAATACATTACGAATCGCTATTATGAATGCTCTAAAGCAAGAGAAGGTTATTTGCCAATAGCCATCTTCAAATATAAACGGATTGCTTGTTTAATAATTGGCGAAAACAAACCATCATTATAACATAGGAACGCTTGGATTTTATTGAAAGGTCTCACGCATTACAATTTCAATTAGAAGCCACTTTGTTTTTTTTTTAGGGGAATTAACAGCGAGGTTTTTAGGAAAAGGCTGCTGAATTAAGAAGCAATTAAGGAATTGATTATGTTTGCTTTAAAAAGTTTACGTTTTTCACTCCCAAGAAGCTCCTTACAAACAGGTAAATTTGGTCCGAGACTTTTGCGACGCAATGCGTTTCCTCTAGCCTTTCAAATGCCCTCATCGCGGAGTATATGGATAAGATCAGAAGAAACGCCGAATGAGAATGCCATCAAGTTTTTACCTGGACTCGATATACTTCCTCCCACTATTGGCACTTTAGAATATATAAGAAGCCAAGAAATCAATAACTCCCCTCTTGCGGAAAAGCTATTCGAGATACATGGAGTGAAAAGCATATTTTTTGGAAAAGATTTTATTACAGTTTCCAAAGATGAATCTCAATCTTGGTCACAATTAAAGCCAGATGTTTTTAGCACCATCATGGAGTACCTGAGCAATGGAAACCCTGTATTGTCGGGTGAACCATTGAATGGTCCTACCGACACGCAAATTTTGGAATCTGATTCACAAACCGTTGCTATGATTAAAGAGCTTCTTGAAACAAGTATTCGACCATCGATTCAGGAAGATGGTGGCGATGTGGAATTTCGAGGATTTGATGAAAAGACGGGCACAGTCTCTTTAAAACTACGCGGTGCTTGTCGCTCATGTTCTTCGTCCGCGGTCACTCTAAAAAGTGGCATTCAGCAAATGCTGAATCACTATATCCCAGAAGTACAAGAAGTTAATCAGGTCTTGGACCCTGAAGAAGAAATTGCGATATCTGAATTTGAAAAATTCGAGAGCCGGATTCATCAAAATCAGCAAAAAGAAGAAAATTAAAGGAATCATTTGCTAAGGCATGCATTTGACAATATTGAATATGATTTACAAAGCAAACCAAAAAGAATTAAATAGATTATGATTAATGAATTAATTTTTACATTTTCCTTGTAATTCATTTTAAGACAAAAATGATTGATAAACACATACTCTAGACAGAAAAGGAAGAAATAATAACACACCCATACAATTCGATTCGTAAAATACAAAAATACATTTTTCAAGAAAGAAACAAACATCACTATCCACGTCATTTACAAACTCATACGGGTTTTTGCGCGCATACTGCCCGCTTTTGAAGAGTCTTCATGAGCACTATATTCTATAGTTTCTTTCTCAGAGATGCCCAAAATCTCTTTGAAACGAAGACTAGATACATTAGTAATGCGTCGTAAACAAAATTCAATCTAGACGGTTCATCGTACCCAATTCTTTCCAAAACTTCTCTGTCATTACAATTACGTGTCCACACAGCAATCCTGTAAAAACCTCTTCTCATGTTACAAACAACACCGGTGACTTCCTTCCCGGTGGGATCCAACGTTTCACCTATCGCTGCAAGAACCTATGCGGCCTTGTTAGTCAATCGATCACAGGGAAAACCCCATTCCATAGTTAAGGTGGTCCACTTACCATATATAGCCATAGCTCGTCCAAGTTTGATCCTTTGTGCTTGCTTTGATAAGCCCATTTTCCTCCATTCATATTGTGAGGATCTTCCCATTCTGGGCGTATACCTTTAAGAAAGAATGAATAGTCTGATTTCGCAGGAAGCATAGATGCTTTTGCAATCGTTTTGAAAATACCCCAAAATTCTTCCACATCCTTAAATGAAATAATTTCCTTTAACAAATCGCCCCATTCCAAACCCTGCGTAGGAGGCTTCAGGAACCATAATGTCCATTCGTGTTGAAGAGAATGCGTTTGTATAAAAGCTGTTTCAGCATTTACGGATTGTAATCCTTCTAGTAAGCGAGCAGGTCTCCCTTCTCTTTCAGTTCTCACTTTTGGAGAATCAAATAAATCCAATGAAGCAAACTTTTGGTTCATCGCTGAAATATCATTATGTCCTTCTCCAGAACCTGTCATATCCTTTGAAGAAAGTTGAATAAACTGATATAAATGTGAATTCTTATTAAAAAATTTTGTACAATTTCACAGAAAAGGAAGGTGTAACTTAATGTTGTGGTGATGCGAGTCAGAGCGATAGCTTTTACACCAAAAGACTAATATAGCGAAGCTTTTAAAAATGCAATATTACATTAGTAAACAAGTTATCCTGCTTATAATTTTACTAGAATGTAGATTAAAACATTGTTTTTGATGGTTTTATATTTTCTCTGCGATTCACCAATAATCCAAATGTCAAAAAAGAAATGAACAATTTCCTAGAAGAGAGATATGCAAATTGGTATTAGCCCTTATTTAGTGGATAAGTAATCTATCGAAACATTAAACGGTATCTATAACATTGAATAAGCTGTTCAAATCATAAAAAATTTCAACAAGATGGGATATCCGGCATTTGATAGCCCTTGTTCTCATATAGATATAATTACTCAGACAAAGTAAAGTCCAAAGCCGTTTTTGTAAACTAGCAAACACTATAAAATTTTATTCAAAGGCAGCCTTATCCAAAACGACAAAGACACCGCCTGTGAGATGGAGACTTCCGGTCACACAAACAAACGTGCTTTGCGATTCTTCTTTAATATTGTGCACCATTTCAATGGCTTCTTCGACAGTAGGAGCTACCTTTGTAGTATCGTTTAAACTGGAACGATTCTTGTTCCACCAAGTTGCCAAGGCTTCTTGCACGTGCAACGCTGGGCGATTATCCGTGACAGTATTAACGCTCAGCAATTCGGGATTGTAAGTTGCGTTCTTCCAAGTAATATTTGTCGAAAAAATAGCATGCGTAAATGGTATATCTTTCCCTGAAGATTCATAGCCCTTTAGGAAAGCTTGAATCAAAGCGATTGGGTCATCTCTACTCTGCTGGTTGAATACCAACACTCTTGCTTTGGCGTCCTGAAAATGTTGTCTCCTGGAAGCTAACCAAGCACCCGTTGCTTCCAAACTCTCCTGTGTGTGTGCACCATCGAAGCACCACTGTATTCCGTGTATAGTCTCTAGCTGGCATCTACCTGGCCATTTTACATCCCTTAAGCCATTAAGGACGCAAGGATCTTTAAGAAGGTTGGCGGGACCGGAATGTCCAGTTTTGTGAATGTACTCACCTACCATTGCTATTGCGAGTGCGGCATTGCTCAACTGATGCGCTCCAGAAAGACCAATCATTTCTTCCTTCAACTCTAAAGGTGCTTTAATGACCCTTAAGCTAGTATGTCGTTCGTTGGCACGCTGCTCTAACACGGGAAGAGCTTCAGGAACTTGGTTACAGGTTAAAGCAGTTGCTGAACTCTTGTAGATTCCTGCCTTTTGCCAAGCGATCTCTGCAATCGAGCTTCCTAATAAAGCAGTATGATCTAATCCTAAGCTAGTAACAGCTGTGGCAATGGGTTGCTCAATCAAGTTGGTAGAATCATATTCACCTCCAATACCGACTTCAATAATAGCAGCATCGACACCTTCTGATAGGAAAATGTGCCAAGCTAGTAGTGTCAAAAAACGAAAGTACATTGGTTTTTCTGGATTACTTGATTCAGAAGCAGTAGCTTCTAGGCGATCCCACATTTGAAAGAAATATTTAGTAAATAATTCTTTAGAAACAGGTTTCCCATTAAGTTGAATACGCTCACACACTGACCGCAGATGAGGGGACGTATACATTCCAATACATTTGGGAGCAATATCAGGATACTTCTTTTGAATTTCTAAAAGAATAGAGGATGTAAACGCACAAGTAGAGCCCTTTCCTTTCGTTCCGGCAACGTGAATAACATTCAAGCGATTCAAGTCTGATGTCTAATAATAATCGTGTCAGAAAATCGTTTTCTAAAATGTATAATAAATGCAAAACTCAACTATGCCAAGTTCTCAGAAAATAAGTTTCATGTGATTCAAAGAAACCCAAGAAACCCTTCGGCTATATGAAGGCAACTTTACAACGTCAGGATGCTTTTGTATCATAGATTCCGTTTCAGGATGTGAGAAGCATTTTATAAATTCTAGTCCTCCATCTCGTTGCTTACTCAGAGGTTTCACAATTTAAACCTTGGTGATATATCCATTTGCATTTGCTTACCTGGTACCCGATCCTATTGAGATATTCTTTCATTTCAATCATCGACTGATCGTTAGGAACTTTTCCTCTGTTGCGAAGCATCTCCAACACTTTTGCATTTGACTGTAAAGAATTGAGACGTTCAATAGCATCCTGACATAAGTTAGCAATTACAACTGTTTTGGATGATTTTTTAGACTTACATCAAAGGTTCGCTGGTTTGTACTCATATTGGACTGCCCTAGCCTAAAATTCAGGTATTTTCTAGCGGTTCTTGTGGTGAGCTTAGCCATAACCTAGAGGAGCAAAGGTATGATAGAAATTCTTGCAGATTACTTGAAACGTATCAAATTCAGTTACTTTTTTAGTCGTCAGGTTTTTCAAAAATGAGTGATCCTGCATTCGATAAATGGTATGCATGACTACAGTCAATTCTCGATGAAGAACATACACCTTCTGGTTTTCGATCATAGTTGTAAGCAAAGACTTAAAAAAAGAGTTTCATTTGATACTAGGATTTTCTCTTATTTCCGTTCACATGTTAGTGCTATATGAGATTCATCCATTGTTATTCAAAAGTGCAAAGATCGTCAAGAATGCCTTTTCAATGTTTCTTAAATATATTTATTCTCCTTGGGGAATTCCTTCTGAGTATGACTCCTACATTTATTCTGTCTTAAGGCTCGAAGGATAAGCTTTTAGGGAACTAAGCTAAATGAAATGCCCTTCCTTGTCAAGTTTAAGAGCTCTGAGCTCGTTGGAGATTCATTATTCCTAAAAGCTTCTTCTAAACCTTTCTATACTTTATGAAATAAACAAGGTACAAATACTCATGCGACAATGGAAACCAGCTATTGTATGATTACCATGGTTTCCCTAATGAATTTTATCAATTTGAGTTTCATTTGAATGGATCTAAAACAGTGGAAAAAAACTGTTAGAGAAGGAGATTTGATAAAGTCTAAAACCTTCTCGGAGAATGTGAATTATTTCAAACAAGGGTAAACAGGATTAAGACAAGAACAGCCACAGGAGATAGAGCTTTAAAATGGAGTTTTATTCCTTGTCGCAGTATGTTTCTAAAGATGTTGGAAGGTTCCAATCATCGAGTTAAGGAACCATCCCTCCGTAACAAAAAACATTCACCTGGGGAACCTATTGTAAAGGCTTTGAGTGGAATACTTAATCTTATGCGATGTCTTACAATATACACTTTCGACGATTTGTATGCCTTCAATGAAAGCTTGTTGCTCAGGATAGAAAGATATCCAGCAGCCAATTTTGCAGCCATAGAAGAGCAAGATTTGTGCTTTATTTTATTTAACGGTTAACGCACAAATCGAAGATTACTCTGAAAAAAAAAAAAATTAATGTTTTCCCCAACTCTAACCTTACTTAAGCACATTTACGAGAGAGCATCTGTGCCTATATTATAGCAGCTGGATTATGATTGCTAGATCTTTGAAAGTTGCTTGCCTACGGCCTTTTACTCGCAAGCGATTACACACTGTCGATTCTTTGTTGTTTAAGAAAGAACATCTAAAGAAGTCTTGATTTATTAGTTGAATAAATATAAAATAAGAAAAAGAAACTTCATAAGAGCACCTCACCTCAAGTTCTAAGAAATCACAAACCCTTAGCGCTACCACCAAGGTTTTCCAAGACAGATCAAGTCTGGCGTAGATTTGAGCAAAACATGCTCAACTACCAATGTTTAGAAACAAAATCTCTTTGTGGAACATCTCATATTGAATTGGATGGGATTCACATTTATATTGACCCGGGAAGTGATGATAGTTTGGAGCACCCACCTGTATCTGAACAACCGGATTTAATTTTATTGTCTCATTCAGATTTATCTCATTTAGGAGGACTAGTATATGCATATCATAAATATGACTGGAAAAATGCTCATATGTATGCAACCTTGCCTGTTATTAACATGGGTCGTATGACCATGTTGGATGCTATTAAGAGTAACTTTATAAACGATATAACAAAAGAACAAGTCAATCAAGTTTTTGATAGTATTATTGCTCTGCGTTATTCTCAGCCAACTTCTTTGTTAGGTAAGTCTGCCTTCAAAATACCAGTATGTCTCAGTCAGTAATAATACTAACGATGTAACTTTAGGAAAATGCAATGGCCTAACGATCACTGCTTATAACGCAGGCCATTCTTTGGGTGGTACCTTATGGAGCCTCATAAAAGAGTCAGAGAGTATTCTCTATGCTGTTGATTGGAACCACTCAAAGGACAAGCACCTGAACGGAGCTGCTTTGTACACAAATGGTCATATCTTAGAAGCTTTAAATCGCCCCAACACGCTGATCACAGATGCAAATAATGCTTTAGTTTCCATCCCTTCACGAAAAAAGCGAGATGAAGCATTAATTGAGTCTATAATGTCTTCCCTTTATAAAGGCGGTACAGTTCTACTTCCTGTAGATGCTGCTTCTCGAGTTTTGGAATTAGGTTGCTTTTTAGATAGTCACTGGTCTTCAACACAACCTCCGTTACCTTTTCCCATCTTCTTTTTGTCGCCTACTTCTACTAAAACTATCGATTACGCAAGGAGTATGATTGAGTGGATGGGAGATAACATCGTTCGAGACTTTGGTATCGATGAGAGCCTCTTGGAATTTCGAAACATACATACAATTACTGATTATTCTCAGCTTTCCAGCATTGGACCTGGACCTAAAGTGATCCTTGCTACTTCCTCAACATTGGAATGTGGCTTTTCTCAGCAAATATTGCTTAATTTTATGTCTCAAAACGCAAATGATTTAATATTATTTACACAAAAATCCAGGTGTCAGCCTTCTTTAGCCAAACAATTTATACGATATTGGGAACAGGCATGCAAGAAATCAATGGAAATTCCTTCCCCAGTCGGTTTATATGCCGAACATAATATTAAAGTTAAACGTACAGAGCCTTTAATGGGTGAGGAATTGCAAGAATATCAAGAAAAACAGCTTCAAAAAATTAGTCGGACCGCTGAAGATAGCGCTTTGGAACTCCGCAATAAAACAATTTTAGATGAAGATTTGTCGTCCTCTTCTGATGAAGAAGACGATGAAATGGGATTGGCTCCTGAAGTTCCGGGAGCTGCCCTTGGATCAGCTTTATTTTTATCTGGGAAGTCTTTTGATTTAAACCTTCGTGATCCGTCTGTACAGAGTTTGCAGATCAAGTATAAAATGTTTCCTTATGTTGAAAAAAGAAGAAGAATAGATGAATTTGGTGAAGTGGTTAAGCCAGAAGATTTTGCGACCATAAATGAACCAATGAATAATTTCGAAGTAGAAGCCTCACCTTCTGATAGTACTACTTTGGATCCTACAGGAAAAAGAAAATGGTCAGAAATTAACGATGGAATACATAACCAAAATGAGGATGAACAACAAGAAGATTTTCCCTCGAAGATTGTGACAGAAGAATTAATGATAAGGATATCATGCCAAGTACAGTTTATTGATATTGAGGGATTGCACGACGGTCGTTCATTAAAAACTATTATACCCCAAGTGAATCCTCGAAAATTAGTCCTTATCCATGCTACGGACGAAGAAAGAGAGGACATGAAACGTACATGTAGTGCTCTTAGTGCATTTACTAAGGACGTGTACCTCCCGAAGTACGGCGAGGACATTAATGTTAGTATAGATGTTAATGCCTTTAGTCTCAAGCTTTCAGATGATTTGATAAGGAATTTAATCTGGACAAAAGTAGGAAACTGTGAGGTTTCCCACATGCTGGCAAAAATTGAAAACCCTGATGAATCAGAAACTCAAGATTTAGAACAAAATGAAGAGGATGTGAAACAGCAGAATACGGAAAAAGAAGTAGATCATCTTCCGGTTCTTAATCCTGTTACGCTGCGGTCGGATTTGGCTAGGGCACCGCGTGCCGCTCCTCTTTTGGTGGGAAATACCAGGTTGGCTGAACTTCGGAAAGCCCTTATAGATCAAGGAGTATCTGCAGAACTAAAAGGTGAAGGTGTTTTACTATGTGGTGGAGTTGTTGCTGTACGAAAACTTAGCGGAGGTAAAATATCCATCGAAGGAGGTTTGAGCAATCAATTTTTTGAAGTTCGAAAGATGATATACAATATGCTGGCTATCGTTTAATTCTAAACAGTGCATTATATAAAAGCATTACTAGATAATCATTTTTCTATAGGATTTTCCACATTTTCTATGATTTTTTATGTGATTTTATTAAGATATTACTACAATAAATACTAAATACCAAGGATTAATTACCGGCTTCTCCTCTTTCATGTTTCCAACCCTCGCTACCAGTTTGGCGAGCAGGTAAAGCAGAAGAAGGAACATCTCCTTTCGTTCTGTAACTCAATAATTCTTCCTCTTCTCTCTTGTCTTCGTCTAAAAGTTTGGATCGATCCTTTTCACTTAAAGAAGAACGAAATTCCTCGTTTAATAATTTTATAGCATGCCCAATTACAGATTCTGGACAACGGTTTCTAGGGTTGCCATTCTCTGGATTGCGAATATATCTATTAGAGACATCACGAACACTATCAACTAAAAATTGGTAAGCATACTTTCACATTAGCGGTGTGTTTGGCTTACTTGAAAACCCAATGCAATATGACATTTTTTTCCCCCATCCTAGATTTTAAGTTAGCGGTAATAAGAAAAAAGAAAAAAGAAAAAAAAATAAAATAGATTGTTACCCTGCTCATAAATCAATGGCTGATCAAACGATTCTTCACAAGAATCCACGTGCACCCATCTGTTTTGCTTATAACTATAAATTTCAGTCCAAACATGGTCTTCTGCATTCCAAACCCAGCGAGTTCTGGTACCAAGTGCACGACATAAAAAGGTAAAGCACTATAAAGTTAGACAACATTCTCTCATGTCAGTAGATACATACACAAGCCCATTCTCCACATCTCCCCTTCCTTGAAAAAAGAAGAGGACGAACCTTATTATACCGAGGAAACCTCTGTTGATGAGAACAAGAATTGCATTGATATATTTCAACGTTATTACAGCCTTGGAAGCTCTCCTCTAAATTTGGTCCGCAAGCACCTACCAAATTTGTATCTGACTATAACAATGTTAGTAATTAATTGCTTTTTTACTCTAATCAGATATGAACATTACCTGGCATCTTTCACATTTGGGAGAGTTTACCCATGAAAAAAATTCCCGTTTAAACCAGGTAAGAAGAGATTGAATTAAATAATCTTGATAATTCCATGATCCATCACCTTCCTTCTCTCTTTTCGTAGCTTCTTCAAATAGCCTTTCTAATGGGAGGATGGACATGGCCAAATCTTGCAATTCCGAATCTTCATAAGTCCATGGCTCTTGGGACAATTGTCTGATCTGATGATAGAATGCAAAGCTTTCTGGAGGTCGGGATGCATCTGATGGCTGTGCAGCCTTTTGGCGCATAATATTCACAAATCGCTCAGTGATCGCTTGAAAATTCATTGTGCAAGTTTTACGTCCAACTGTTCAGTTTTTTTTGGAAAAAGAATTTAACTGTATATTTAAAAGAAAAGGATAGAAAATGAGCGGATTTGCAAAGCAAAGTCTGGAATAAAGAAGTACGACTGACAAGTTTTAACGACCAATTTTTTTTTTACGGAGGACACATATATTAAGTTAGTCTTTATGGTATTCAACAATCTAATTTCAAATTGTTGTTAAAACTTTGATGTTGGTTAAATTGGCGGTGTTTAGCTCAAATACAGCTTGTACTCCACATACTACGAGGAGTGCAAGTGGTTTGAATCAGCTACAACATTTCAATCACTTTTTTTTTGGAATTTAAGTACTTGCACGAAATTTTTGGCTTGCAGCAGGCTTCCTTATTATAATTATTTTTTTGGTTAGTAGTCCAACTTTGAAGTCATCCTAAAATTAACGTAGGAGAGCATATGGATAAACTATTAGCGGAAGCCGCAAAAAACGGGTGCAAGCTACATAGTCAAGTAGAGTTTGTTTCTGCCGACGATGAGCTTTCTACTTACGGTGAATATGTAGCTACCGCAAAGGCTGATATTGAACCAAATGAAGTCCTTATTTCCTGCCCATTTGAATATGCCATCACTTATGAAATAGCTTTAACTTCTCTACAATCCATAAATCCCAATTTTATTTCCTTGTCTCGAGAAGTAGTTCTATATACCTTTTTGGCTTTGGAAAGCTTGAAAGCATCGGAAAGCAAATGGGCTGCATATATTGAGTATCTTCCCAAAAGATTTAATACCCCCATATATTTCGACGATGCGGATAAGCAATACCTAAAAGCTACGAATATCGAGTTTGCTATGCAAGATCGATTGCACAATTGGCGACATGCTTACGAAGACGTTTTGAAATTGGGATCATTCTCTACAAATCTATTCACATTTGATCTTTTCATTTGGGCTGCAACTGTGTTTACATCCAGATGTTTTTCTTCTGGCTTAATTAATTCGAAAATCAGCAAGGAAGATGCAAGTCCTATTCTTCTTCCTCTGATTGATAGCTTAAATCATAAACCTAGACAGCCAATCCTTTGGAAAACAGATGTTCGAGATACTATGTCAATCCAGTTGGTATCTCAAAACGCTACTTCTAAAGGTCAGCAGATTTTCAATAATTATGGTCCTAAGGGGAATGAAGAATTACTTTTGGGGTATGGATTTTGCATAGAGGATAATGCGTTTGATAATGTTGCTCTTAGGGTATCTGTTCATCCTGATTTACCGTATAGAAAGCAAAAAACATCTGTCTTGCAACAGGACAGCACTTTTAACTTGAATAATCTGATATTTTTCTTCCCTAAAAATGCGGATTTTTCGGCGTTTGAAAAAGTCTTGCAATGCCTTACTGTTGTTAGTGCGTCGTCTTTGGAATTAAAGCGTATTCTGGCCCATCAAGCTATGTTTGGGTTATCTTCCTATAACTCGTCTCTGCGCGGTAAAATCAAGTCATTTGAGATTTTACTCATGTACATAAATTCGCGCCTGCAGCTCCTTTTGAACAATAACCCGAAGCAGAGTCCTACAAACATACGCCAACAATGGGCTAACATATATAGAAAAAGTCAAATAAGTATCTTGGAACGATCTTTAGAAAAAGTGAAAGATTTCATGGAAAGTGAACTGAAAAAGGTATACCTTCCGCTCCCTAACCTTTTGCAATACCTTGTCCTGAACTCCATTTCTGTTTTTCTACTTCAGCATCCCAACTTTTCTCCTCTTTCAAAAGTAATTACAGAACTCTACGGAACTACAGATGCCGAGAGCATTGCTGCTAGTGAAGAACAAGATAACGTTGTACTTTTAATGTGTTTATATTGCTTATCTGCTCAAGAAACACTTCCCTTTTCAATAAAGATGCTTCAAGAAGGATATCCTGCCTCAAGCACGGAAGAGGGAGACGAGGTCTTTGAAATTTTTGATGAAATGGTTTTTCAACATTATCCAGATGTTTTCGGCAATAAAAAATTTTTTAACAAGGAAAATATGTCATGGGCATTACAATTGATAAATGAAGAATCTATAGATTTTTCTGGATTTACATTTGTCATTGCACATACTTGAGACTTTCAGTAAAATTAAAGTAATGTCGCTTGGCTTAACCGGGCTTTAAAAGAGGAAGGATTTTTTTAGGAGAAAACAAAGAAAAAAGAAAATGTACAGAATGCATTAATGTGCAACCTTCAAATATATATGCATAGAATCATTACAGCTTAATAAATAAAAAAATTAGACTGTCTTAGGTAGAACCCATTTGGACGAATTTAAACGGCCATTTATCAGCCCGGGCCGCTTTAACCCACTCACGTAAAGAATCATGAAGTTTTTTATGAAATTTTTGACTTAAAAGTAAGTTAGCAATTTCGAAAGGGTCAAGTTTCTCGAAACATACCTGCTTTTTCGGAATCTCAATGCCATAATTCTCTCTAATCCACTGAATTGTAATTCAAGTCGCTTACGCATTCGATCCCTTTTGTTCAATGAAGCTAATAATTCATTAGCTAGTTGTATATGGGAGGCAACATAACTAGTTGCTTCCGTTTCAATGCCTTCAATAAATCCTAGCGGAGGATCATAAAGTTCGTCTAGATTAGGTTCCAATTCAACGATATTCTTATCATGATTCCAAACCCAAAATACGTTCTTTGCAACGTATTCTAGTTCGATTATCCATCTTCGATATGGTCGTTTTACTCGAGCCTCCTTCATAAAATCAACTTCCTCAAGTTCTTCTTCAGAATCCTCAAGAAATGAAAATACCTTTTTAGCGCCAACCTCTTTATTGGAATGAGCTTTGAGGTATAGGATAATTATTTGGATGATAACTTCTCGAGTAGCAAAGTCAGAGGGCTGCTTTTTTGAGAACAATAGTTGCACGAGTTCTTGAACGCGGTAGGAAGATCGTAACAAGCACTCTAACCCCAACTAAGACAAATTGTTAGTATACGAAACATCCTTAGTTCTCAATAAATAATTAAATATGTTTGCCCTTCACAAAGTGTAGAACTCTTACCTGAACTGTACACATGGCCTTAAGACAGAGAAGAAATTGATCCAAGAGAGCATCATGTAAGCTTTCTCTCCATTCAATTCTTGAAATTTTTTCAACGGTACAAAAAATTACACCGAATCCCCCATCGTGGATGAAACATGCGACCCACCTATATAAGTCAGCAATAACGAATTTACAGAGAAAGAATAATTGAATGACAGTATGAGAAAAGAGAAGCAATGAACTTTAATCTGCTAAACTGCTTCTTGTGTTTGAAATGATTCACCACATTAAACTTACAGAATCTGCTCTTTACGAAGTAAAAGGGCCAGTTTGTGTATTATAGTCTCATCCATAGATTCAATTCTGGTATTCACGATATAGGAAATAAAGTCAATTGGTTCGCTGTAGGACGGTTTTTTCTTTTTCCATGACAATATCCGGCTTCGTTTTTTTTTGTTTGATTGATTCAAACTATTCAGAATTTCTAGTTTTAAGTTATCGTTCAATGATAGCAGGCTTCTGGATGCTTCAGTAGAAAGTACTTGGGCTTTAATTAGATCTTCAAAGCATTGAGGGCTTGATTCTTCAGAGGTCGTTAAAGACATTTGTGATAACGACTCTGATTCTCGCTCAAGCGTTAATGTGCTATTTGAATTTCTATCAGAGCCTTCAGAACTAGAGCCTAGAAATCTTCGAAATGAGCGTAGGGTATTCATTGTCTAACTGCTCTATCAATCTAACTATAGAGCTTTGTTCCAAATTCACAAAACAAAAAGAGCGATCCTATAACTCAACAACAATGTGTTCATTCACCTAAACATTAAAAGTGCAGACAAAGGAATAAGTAAAAATCAACGTTGATCAACACATTTACATCTGTCACATTTGTAAGAGTGGGCTGGTATAGGAACTATGCACAGATTCACCAATTCTAGTTCGCTAAAGTTGAAGCTGAAGAAAACAATACCAGTCTTAAGAATTATATAGAAACATATTAATTGTTTATTTAGAAAAAATCGTTTCATCGGAGCATCTTGAAAATAGTAGCATATCCTAGTTCCCATGCTTCACATGTTTGAAGCAATACTAAAAAGGAAATCTGAAAGACAGTAGCTAACTGACTCAATCTTTAAATGAATCAAGTTGTACTTATGGCTCCAAGAAAGATAAAGGATCGAACATGATCTCTTTTCATGCAATCTCTATGTCGAACCAAGGAAACAGGCGAAAGAAGGCTAAAAGCATCAAATGAGTGCTATCTGAAACTTCGAAAAAGAGAAGGCTTCTTAGAAACCTATGGATAGTCGTTCACAGGCACTAGTCGAGCAGGCTCTTAGCGATCGACATGACCAATTTGAAGAGACAATATCTTGAGCAGGATGCCATATTTGAGCTCTGTTCGTTTCAATTCCTGTGAGCTAGGAACGAGTGTAACGAATTCATTATTCATAGTTCATAGAAAAGAGAATCGATTCCTCAAACATGAATCCCATCAACATGCGAATTCGAAGCGATGTCAGAAAATCTAAGGGATCATTCCAATGGAGTAAAACGATAATTACGGAAAAGCTATATAATTTAGCCTATCTTTAGAAATTATGGAAAGGTTTGTACGAGAAAAGTCTGATACAAGCTTCATCCTTATATAAACCAAAATAATAGGAAATAAAGAATTTATATTATTTTAGAAACTTCATTAGTCTATTCCAACAATTTTTTTAATAGAATTGAACAATCGAGGATAGCCTTCTATCATTATATGTGCGTGTTTTCGTCTGCGTGAACTTGCATACTGTCTACAACATGGGGACGACTGGCATTGAGGTTTTTGCCGCTCTAAATGATTTTACAGATGGTAAGAAATAAATATTGGAACTATTGGATTACTAATTTTAGCCATTGTTTCCATTCCAGAGTCAGTATGCAGTAACTTTACGTATTTAAAAGAAGTTGATGCCCAGTCTCGAGGTACGTGTCTGTTATGGAAAAAGATTATAATGAACTAACCGAAAACAAGAATTAAAATCAAAAGTAACAGATGAAATTGAATCAATTTTGAGGAACGAAAGAACAGGAAGTCTTCCATTAAGTGATCGCTGTTTACAGCTAGAAAACCATATCAAAGAAATGCTCCCCTTTTCAGATTCCAAGATTTGTTTGGCAACAGAAGCGATGGGAAATATAAACCAGTGCATTGATCGACTGGATGCCGATTTTGAATACGTGGAGCTGGAGATTCCACAACAATTACGTTTAGGATATCCCGACCGGCGTGCTTTATTCAACCATCCTAATTCCGGTAATCAAAGGATAGAAGGAAAGAGAGAAACTCGAAGAAATCAACCTCAACAGCAGCACACTGATAATCAACAGCAGCATCAGCATACTTCTTACCCAGGACACCCCAATGAAGAGCGATCCTCTGTACTCCATGGAGACGAAAACGTGGACGTTCCCCATACTACTTATAGCACTCCTAGCAAGCGGCGAAAAGCAACTGCACACCAGAAATTATCTTCTCCCTCTCATAGAACAAAACCCAATGTGATGAATGTTACAGAACGAAGGCCGGGACGACGTGGAACTAGGTATGTATTTATTAATGGTGTAGACAGCCAGTAAAATTCATGCAAACCAGCTTTACTAACGAAAATTTAGACAAGCAACAGACGATCTTTCGGCAAAACCAGACATAGTGGAGCCGGAGGAATTGAACGAAGGCGAGCAACTGTATTGTTACTGTCAGCAGGTTTCCTACGGCCAGATGATTGGTTGTGATAACGAAAACTGTAAGCGCGAATGGTTCCATTTACCTTGCGTTGGTCTGGTAGAGCCGCCAAAAGGCATTTGGTATTGTAGAGAGTGTCGAGAAAGCATGAAGCATGAAGCTTGATGAAGTTTGGAGGAATATTTGATTTATTTATTAATTGCTGTCTGTTGTTTCTATTTTATTGTATTTTGTTCTTTTTGTTTTTGTGTAGAAAGTTTTCCTACGTCTACAAGACTCCATGATATAGGATTAATGGAAAAGATTCCCTGATGGACTATTACACTTTGCGATTTTCGATTGGTATTATGTTTCTTCTTTTTCATAACGATTAGACTGATCGGTGAATGTTGCAGACCTCAAAACTAAGGTCATAATATGATAGTCTCTCGTTTGAAAGCCAATACACGAATTAATGAGATAGTTGGCAATAGTAACTTGCAAGTGCTTGAGATTTAATATTATACAATGAACATGAGTTTGTTGATGTAAACCAAAGCCTTTTCAAGTCTTGATAAAATTGCATCACGTTGAAAGGACACATACAGAGGGAAGAAAAAATATGAATTATATACAAGCGAAAAAGTCATAAAAGAAAACAATACTACATTTTAAATAAACTGTGCCATGCTGCATGGTTGCCCGTTTTAATATGAGTTAAAATTGCCTTTTTCACTGTTCCAAAACATTAGGTATCTTGAGAATTTCAGTACCTCGTTTATATTGAGCTACAAACAAAACCTGTTCTGCGCCTAACTTTGTAATCTTCTTCATCGTTCGTATTCTAAAAACAAACATATTCGTAAGTTTGAATGCAACTTGGAGAGACTAAGCATTTAGAAAAATATGAAGTACTCATTCAATGTTGTGATGACTTGTGATGGATGCAAAAATGCCATCGATCGAGTTCTAAACCGTTTAGGTAAGTGAATTATCTGGAGTATATCAAAGGAATGACTATCATGCAGCAATATATTGAAGTCCTAAGTGCTGGCATGAAAAGAGTTTCTTGTACTAAATCAGATTCGTACGGTTTCACTAATGAACAAACATAGGAGTTGAGGAAAAGACTATTTCTTTAGAATCCCAGGAAGTTTTTGTTATTACTGACAAACCGTACGATGCAGTATTGGAAACAATCAAGAAAACAGGAAAAGAAGTTCGTTCTGGAAAAACTATCGAGTAAAATATACTGGTGTAATGGCTTTTATTTTCAATTGTCTTGCCTTTATATTTTAAATCAATAACTTTAAACCAACTAGGAATGAATTAGAATTTGGTTACGGTACTACTCTTCCAATCTTCTTTTTTCTCTTCGGTCTTTTCTTAGCCGTGCTTTTATAATTAATTCATACAACTGACTATCTTTGCTGCTCAAATGAAAGAACCCCCTTTCTCAATTTTTTCTCCTCTAAGCTTTAATTCCTGCCTGAATGTGTTTTAACTTTTGCTTGCAAATGTCACTAAAGAGCTGCAACCTTCAAACAAGGGCTCGCGAAAATACCATATTGATTGCACAGCACAAAACTTTTGATAAAGGCAATAAGAATCCATCCGTATGCAAATGGTGTTCTCTACCGTATTGGTCAATGCCATCTTTTTTTAAGCATTGGTAGAGCGTGTAGATTCTAAATGAGAGCTACTTCTGTAAAACATTATACGTACACGAGTAGAAAAGGAAGACATAGAATGGAGTGAGTAGAATCTGAAAAACCTAGTCAAGTTATGGATTCAAGACTTTCTTTTGTACGTTGCTAAGAACGGTATCTAATGCTGACACAGACTTCTTGTAAAGTACTTGCATATGGTTTTCAGCGTCATAGCAATCATCTGTTGTCCATACCCGATCCTTCTTATATTTAGCAATCGCCTTTTTTACATCATTTCTGATAGAAGACAGCGCATCTTTGCTTTTCTTTGCATGGTTTTCAAGTTCTTTAGCTAACCGCTGTCTGCTTTCTTGTGTTGTCTTTTGAGGAACAACCATGATAGTTGATGAATCTGTTTTAGAAGCCTTAATCGGAAATGTAGATTCGTCCAATGCTTTTAATACATGCTTCATGTAAGATTCCTCGTATGGATGAATCATGAGCTGCTGGGCACTTTTTTTAGTAAGGGAAGCAACGTCGCGGAGCAATTGACTTCCACTTGAGCTTTTCTTAGAGGTAGATGATCCAAAATGAACAGAAAGCTTTTCTAATTGATTGAAAACTCCTTGATTCGGAGATAAAGCCATTTCCTTAAATCCCGCCTCTAATTTCTTGTGAATCTGAGACATATCATTTTCCATCTTCTTTAAGACATCGCTGTACGCTTCTGAATCTTTAACCTTCTCAGAAGATACCTTTTTACTTTTTTTTTCCTTCCATTGCGCGCTACTTATATGAAAATTCCGCACGTAATTTGGACGAATCCAAAAATTGCTAGAGAACTTATGCCATTGAGAAGCCCGTGAAATCATATTTAAATTTTTCATTTTCTTAACTTATAATTAAATTTACCTTTCAAAGTTTTCGCAAGTTTGTGATAGTCGTGGCCTATCTAGTAAGGACCAAAATTGTCGACATTCAAAGTTGTAGTTAGGTAAACATTCATATCGAGGTTACTCGCTTCATTTTCCTTAACACTTGCCTTATTACTTTTAATCTTTTTTCTTTTGAGTTAATAATTTTTATTACCATAGTTAATAGTAAATCTTGCTTTTCGATACGAGAAAGTTTCTTACCAATGTGAAAGTATTTACTAGAATACAGTCTAATATATGGGCAAACGCAAAGACATATAAGTAGAAATAACTCTCAGCATTCGCCTTTGAGCCTTTTATATTTTAAAGCGTCGCTATCTATACAATACAATCACGTAAAAACAAAAAATTACAGGTAGTTTAGTGATTCATCCAGCTCTACCAAATCATTCATAATTGTAGAGATCGGTACTCCACATTTGTGAGCCATTTCATGTCTATGAGCGACAGACATGTATGTAAACCGCTCAATTAACGTACCATCAAGTATCCGATGAGCAGCATTGCTCAAATTCGAAGCTGTGGAAATTAATCGATGCGACCGGGGATTCAATCCACCGACTGAATCCACTCTATTAGCTAAGTAATTTTGGATAATATTGAGACGACGATACACTCTTTCAGATACAGGACTTATCATCTGTAAACCTCCATCAGCGTTTACCATGACGCAAGAGAAATCATTTCCTGTATCGTACTCATAGTCATCTTGTCTTGACTTCTTCTCCTTTGGTACAATTTTCATAGCTGTAATTATATGACCAATATGAAAGTCACCTCTGGTAACCAATCGTTCACCTGAATGAGATTCTGGATTCTCAGGATCGTAGGCTAATAATCTCAAATTGCCCTTAGTATCAGCAACTACAAAATAAAGGTTTTCTCCTTGGACTAAAAAGTCCGCTGCTGTAACTGAGAATGCATCTTGACCCTTAGCAAAAAGAGTCATTCGATAAGGCTCTTCCGAAAAGCCAACGAACGAAACACTTTGTCGAATATCTCCAAAAAGAAGTAAATTTCTCAGACATTTTGCAGTAACGGTATAGCTTCCCAAATCTATAAAAGCTACGCCAACCAGATGGTCTTCATCCTCCAACGCCCGAATAATTATTTTTTGACCCTGCCCACTCAATAAATAGCCGTCCACTTCGCAGACAACAGCTACGGTACCTTTAATCTCTTCTCTTGTAACCAACTTCAGTTTATGTCGAGTTTCAGGTTGGCCTGGTTGAGGGACAACGTCAATAACTTCAAAAAGATAAGTAGCACCGCGAACAGCAACATCTTCACCTTTTGTAATAGAAGTTCCAACAGCGATATATGGTTTTCTAAGTTTTGTCGTCTCTGAGACTTCCAAATTTACAACAGACACAGACAAAGGGATCTCATATGGCAGGAATCCATAGCTATCAATAACGGTCCAGGTTAACGGTGAAATTAAATCCAAAGAGCCGGTATTAGCATAAGGTAGGTAATCCTTATCATCGTTTAACAGATATAATTCATTCCCATCCTCATCAGTGACAGTAAATTCAGACGGTACACAGCTTCCCACAGCATATATCATTTTAGTGGGATGATAAGCAATACCATTAATTTGCTTATCTAGTTGAATCTTTTTATATGCCCAACGAGAATCATAATTGAAATCATCCTGAAATTTACAGATGCGAATAAAAGAATTTTCATCCACATATATGTACCCATGTGGAGTATGCTCAGAATTAAAAGGCGCAATTGAAAGAATAGAACTTTCGGAAGTAACAGGATAAAATTTAGCATTTGAATGCTTAGTACTGAGTATATAAAAGGGCTTACTACCAGTAACAAACACAGCTGAGCGACTTCCCACCCTCTCAATGGCCACCATTTTTGAATGATCTATTGAACTAGTTGACTTTTCATACGAAGTAGACCCAGCATCACGAGGTAGTGCCCCTCCCACTTGGTATTCTCGAGTCATTCCTTCTTGGGGCACTTTTGCAAAAGAAAGTAGATTTCTCTGTAGGGTCTCGTCATAAAAAACGAATGCTTTATATACCGTTATCTCATTCATTCTCGAACGCAGGAATAAATGGGGTTCCTTAAAATCATCGCCCAAATCAGCTACCAATAATTCAACTAATTCTTGACTAGATTCGGAATTGAAGTAAGTAGTTTCTGACTTTAGCCCATTGCATAAAGTTGGGGGGAGATCAAAGACATCACACTCCATCAAAATAGAGAAATCGATAAGGTTAAACACTTTTAGTACACCTTCTGCGGTCAAAGCAAATAAAATTGGATGCTTTTCTAGTAATTGCTGATCAAGATTACTGACATTCTTTTCAGTGACTACGTTGGCATCTGCTTCAGAAACGCTCTTGGTTTGGGTATTTTCATTTTGACCATCATCATTCAAAGCACCATATATTCCTGAGGTTTCGTTAAAACCCGCTTGATTTCGCTCAGAATCATTCAAAGTCCGAAAAAGTCTAGAAAATATCGTTGAATTTCCAGGCGCAATCAACGAAGCGGTTTTAACGCTCGAAAGTTGGCTATGTAAATCGGTCCTCGTAAGCAACTGTGATCTCAAATCCATCCGATACAAGGAGATATCACCACCTAAAAATACAATAACTATGCAAGGATCACAAATACTGGTTGACACCACAACCTGGTTTTTTCCAAAATTGAAAAGTTGGGTCCTTTTCAAGGTAGAGTCATAAACGTGTATGCTTGTGGGACATATCTGTACCATTCTCATTCCAGACATTAGTGAGCCTACATTGATCGTTTTCGAATGTTTGTTGAAATCCGAATTCTCTACTTCGTCAAAAGTTTCACCTGCAGAAAACATAAAAGATTCATCGTTTACAGATAAGACTAAATAGGCGTCTGGTTCCATATTCATGTAAGACGTTTGTACTCTTCGACGCGAACGCCTTTGTCTCCCTGTAAGGCTCACAGACCATAAAGCTTCACAGCCTTGGAAAACAAACTCACCAGCGACAAGAGGAAAAATACTTCTACGAAAAACGACAAGCCCGCCAGCTCCACCAGCTCCACTAGTTCCAACCAGCTCAAGAGGTCCATGGTTATCTTGTGGATAGTACGCTAAAGAGCCAGCTTTACCAATAGCAAAGTCTGTTATAGGTCCAATATTGAGCAAGACGTCAAAAATACTAATTCGAAGAGGTCCGTTTTCAAAAAGCACTTTACCTTCAGTATCGTTACGATCGTTGGTATCATATATGTCGAGCATTTCTTCCATTTCAGCATCATTAGTAGAGTAAAAGTCCTCATTTTCATTATCTTCTGTGCTTTTTGATAAGTTTGAGTGACGATTCCAATGAACTAAATAGCTATCCGTCACCTGGCTTCCTAAAAATATCATGTTTTCTCCAATTGGTAAAGCTGTAGTCACACCAGCTCTCAAGAAGTCATCGTTTAAATCCAAGTTTAGGTTTTGTAGAGAGAGACCTTTTACTGTCTTTCCATCCAAAATAAAATCAACGTAAAAAAATTGACCGGAAGTAAGGATTAATAGTACAAACGGATTTTCCACTTTTGAATTAACTAGAGGTACCGCCATAGTTCCCTCTAGTTCCATATTAAAGTTCGATTGATCTTGAAGAGGAAAGTTCGTACACTTAGGATAAAACGTATTAACGCCTACACCAACAGTACGTCCTGCTGAGTCCACATATATAAGTTCATTACCACCAATCAATAAAGAACCACCTAGAGGCATTGGTATTGGGACTAACTGGAAAATATCATACGGAAGGTTTTGTATTGTGGTGATCACGGCACTAGCACCCTGATCCAAATCTAAAGTAACGAGAGAGAAACAAACATTGTCTTTCACAATCGGAAGGGTAACTGTGGTTGTTTGCTGAGGGCTGTATAAGATAGCCAGAGTTGGTTCTCGGTACCCATGTAGAAATTTAACATCTAGTATTCGTGCAATTGTGGACTCTAACTGAGAGGAATCTAAAACAAAAGAAGGTTTATAAGGAGTTATAGAGTTCAAAATGCTTTTAGGACCGTCTATGGTTGCTTCCTCCATTTCAAGGTCGTCAAGTTTGGGGAAAGGAATAATCGCCATCATGTCTGTGTGGAACCTCAGCAAACAACAATTAGAATCTGGATCAACAATCAATTGTGTTGGGCTATGATTTGTGCATGGCATTGTTGGTTTAACTACCTCGTAATAATGAAGACTAGTAGTAACCAGGCTTTGAGTTTTCATGTCCCACTCCAAAATAGATATTTTGGCGTAATCTGTCAACATAACTAACAGATCGCATCCCTTATTTCCTTTTCCCTCTAGAATGGAAAGAGCGGTAACTGTTCCAAAAACTTGAAATTGACTTACGAGACGTAAAACGTAACTAGTATGTTCATGAGTACGAATCAAATGCATATTCGTCTCCATAAACGCTTGACTATCGTCAATTAAGTTATTTGTATAGTCATTTTGTGTAGAAGCTTCAGATTCATCCTTTTGAACTTTCTCAATCTCAAAAACATAAAGGGAGTCGACTTTACCAACAATCAAATTATTGGAAGAAGGTGAAGATAATTTTCCTTGAACAGCATTTTTAACGGCTGTAGAATCCGTCAAACTTTGAAATATAGTTGACATAAAGCCGAAAACATATATGTTGTGTTCTAACCACACGAAGAGGTTGAGAAATAATGGTAGTGGATGTACGCCCGTGTTTGCTATTTAAGGTAAATTAATTTAGTAGCTTGCTCAAAAAGAAAAATGAAATGACTTTAAAGTAATAATTTAGTAAAATGAAATCGGTTTGGGTCCAATTTTAAACAAAAAATTTGATGCATGTAATACTTGAAAACGGACTTGCTCTGGCTCTCGAATATAAGAACCAAGGGCTAATAAAAGTTTCTCAGAGTCACTAGAAATGTTAGCCTGAGATATGATTCATCAAAACGCGTTCAATGTATAACGTACTTGATGTGACACCTGAGATACAAAAGCGACGCGTCCCTGTGAATTATATCCACGGAAATAGCTGATCCAAAGATCCCGAAAGATTGAGAAAGAGCTAAAGTAATGAAATGCCTTAAGGTTAGTTCTTCTAGTTCAATCTCCATCGAAGAATTTTGGAGTCTGCAATGGTTAGCAAGGAGTCTTGGCACTGAAGGAAACCTTACATTTTCACTAGTATATAATAATTTTCACTTTTTATACGTTGATGCAAAACCATGATCTGTTCAAAAAAACCAAGAATGGATCAAGTAAGTTCTAATAATTGGTAGTGAGAAGTTTCAAGCTGTCATTTTTACTGTGCGAAAAGAATGTTTTCAATCCTTATAAGCTCTTTTTATTGTTTTTTTACAAAATCATTAAAAAAAGAAATAAATTGGCCTATGAATGAATTTTTGATATGCCGTTCTCTGTCTATAGAGGATCCTCAAGTTTATATAACATTATTAAAGCGGAAGTCAATCTTGAATTTATGTGGCTTAAAAGTTATGAGTAATAATAATGAGAGGAAAGCTTTCAGTGATATTCCAAATATATCTGTTCATAAAGTGTATCTAGCATATGAGATGAAGAAAATCACCGCACATTGAGTTTATGCTTCCATTCTCGGTATAAGTTTTGCATATAAGTCATGCATTTTTCTTTATCGGAAGGAAGTACTAATTCAACGGACGTAGGAAGAATCTTTTCCTTCCCAAACATAGTAGTGGCACTTCCCCATTTTATATTTTCGTCTTCTTTGTGAGAATGAATAGCTATCCATAGGTAAGAAAAAGCTGCTATGTAAGGAGAAACGGTATGCCACGGACTACCCAACAAACGACAGAACCAGAAAGCGAGCTTGGCAAAGACCACAATAAAACCAAGAAAAGTTTCATACATATTAGTTGTGCACAATCCTGGGTGAACGACATATTGCTGGTACGGTAGACCACTTTCAATTTCAGCAAAATGCAAAATGTCTAATAAACGCTTCGACGACTGATAGGGTCTTTCGCCGTGAAGGCATTGTATATCGTCAAAGTTAAGAGATTCTTTTTTAGCAACAAGACTTCCAGTTAAAACTATTTTGGTAGAAGATCCCAGAACACGAAGTTCATTAAGACGTGTTTTCTAACTCATTAGCATTCAACACTAAACTTGATCTGACAAACAAATAATAATTTCTTACAAGATAATAATGGCCAAATACATTACTTTGAAAAATATAGCCCATGGAATCCTTGCTTGTTCGTCCCATAGCTTCCTTGTAGTAAGTTGGATAAGTAAGTGCCTTCACAGGATTCATTAGTGTAGCGAATATAGCTTGTATCCAATGAATACCTTGTAAATCCCATGTTCCTGCATTAAGATAAACGTAGTCCAATTTAGGGTACCGACTTTTGATTTCTAAGGCAGCCGCTTCAACCGATTCCATATCTGACAAGTCCAAAAGAACGTATTCCAGCCTAATTTTCCTTTCCGGAAATAACTCCTTTAATCGTTTACAGGCATCTTCAGCTTTTGCACGACTCCTGCACGTTAAAACGATGGTAAACGTTTCTGGTTCATCTTCTATTCTAGGTTTATAGAATTCTAATAAACGAGCGGCGATACCAAATCCTAAACCGCTAAAAAAAAACATTAGTTAATGATGTATTTTATTCTCAATTTACCTGTTAGAACCAGTAATTAACGCATATTTTCGAAAGCTCATGCTTAGGTTGGTTAAAGAAAGGCGGATGAAATCAAACGACTTTTATGTGTGTGCCCTATTGTTTGAAAAATATCAGGACGAGTCAACTTACATTGATTTTGACTATTACTGTATAGTATCGCCCAGGTATATTATGAAATGATCAAGATTTTGTTTAGACAAACATGCTACGACATACAAGTATTAACGCTTCCATTAAAAACGAAATATATATATATATATCATACTTAAAAAAGAATGTACCTGAAACAAAATATTACAAAAAGATAAAGAGATACTCAGATTTCCATTGAAGTAAGTTAACCTGCTTCCAGGAAATCTTCTAAAAATTTAGGGTGAGGATATCGTAAAATAAATAGCAAGTCTGCGATTAAAAGAAAAAGGAGTGATGTTTAGGTAGCGACTTCTTTATTAGTGTTAGAGCTTTGTATTTTTCTGAAAAGGATATCGTAGATAGAATGGGACTGGACGTTTGGAGACTCGTCGTCTTTGCTAGATTCCTGTTGTGGAATACATAAAGACTCGATTTCAGCTGCAGAAAATTGTAGAATCTGCTTATGGGCATTTAAGGCCTCGAAAGATATAGACTGTTTTTCTTTAGAACAGACGATCAAATCAGACTGACTAATTTTGGAGGCTAAATCATCAGTGGAGACTATGACCAAATTAATTCCATGACTCCTATATTTCTCATCATAACCTTGATATTCTTCAGATCTTTCATTGTCTGATTTGTAAACAATCACTTTGGTGAATGAAGCAGCAGCTAACTGCTTTATGGCATTTTCCGTCGAAAATGCTTTCAGAAGCTTAGAACCGTTTTCAAAAGCGAACAGAATTGACTTTTCATGCTTAGAAACAGAAACAGTTCCAGAAGCATCAGAGTGCTTTTGCTCTAATGCGAAAATTTTTTTTAAATCGTCATAGCTCTTTGCACATTGGGCAGCTTGTCTAACGTCTTTTCTGAATGCTCCTTGCATGATTTGGGTTAGACAATACTTCGTGTTCCCAAAGTTGTTTTCAACCTCCAATGCCTATATTTGTTAGGAATAAAATATAAAACAAGTAAAAAATCTAAAATTTTTAGAAACACACCATTTTAAGGTAGTCCAAAGCCAAATCATGATTAGACAAAGGACCTTCTGAACGTAAACAAGAAACATTTTTTTCTGCTGCTCGAGCAATCAATACACCATCCAGATTGTACTTTTCTATAAGCTTTTTACCGTCTTCATGACCAGACACGTCTCCATTAGCAAGAATGGAAACACCATATTTTCTACAGACGTTGACAATATCATGAAGATAATCTCGCTTTGCTGGTTCGGTATTCCGCATTGGCGCTGTACGGCAATGAACAGTAATTGCACGAATCCCAGTAGAACAAAGACGCTCTATTAATGCAAGTGTTTTCTCTTTTGTTTCTAAAAGACGGATTTTGCAACTAATCGAAATGTTGTACGGGACTCCTACCTCCTTTACCAAAGCCTGCAAAATTGATATAAGGCGATCTGGTTCTTTTAAAAGACCCGCACCCATACCAGCATGAACAGAGAAGTGCTTAGGACATCCACAGTTCAAATCAATACCAGCAACATCGTTAGCAACAAGCTTTGCTGATTCCACAGCTAGATCTGGAGAAGCAGAACCTAGTTGGAAAACCAATCGATTAGCCTCTAAAGGATGCACACGAAAGAGAACTTTGTTTGTAGGAGGCTTAACAAAATCGATACAATTCACTCGATCTAAAGCATAATTAGTTTCTTTTCACTAGAAAAATAAATTTTAAAGAGAGAAGATGATGTAAACATTGCTAGTTGAAAAAAGGCGCACTACTTTGCGTACACAATTGGATCAATCGCAATAGGAGGGACCTCAAATATAACAATGCATTCTCAAAAGACTTACCATTTACTACTCTCTGGACAGGAGTCCCGCCAACCAAAGCTTTGTCTACAATTTCCGGCCCCCAAACCAAGTTTGCTCCATAACGAAGAGCTAATAATCTCGTTGGAAGCTCTCCAATTCTTACCATGGGAGCTAAGCAAATCTTATTACTGTAATTCAGTAGTCCCATTTTGTAGCATACAGCGTCGGAATGAAAACGAGTGCAACCCGTATGTACTAAAGGCAATTCCTCGAACTGTCAGTAGTATAAATTTTCAGTAGTGGCCAATTATAGTGGTCACTACCATTCTTATATATTTATGTTAGCAAGCAACTTTTATTCGTATTTAAAATAATTTTCTTTCGAATTTTTTTTTTATCTTTACTTAACACAGAACTGTAATTGTCTTAATCGTTTTGTAAAAATAGTCGAACTCTCATTTTATTCTTGCGATTTATTAATCAAATAGGGTTCGATACTTGCTTCTGCAAACGAAATACTAACGAAAGTCGCGGTGGTGTAGTTGGGAGCATGACAGACTGAAGATCTGTTGGTCACCGGTTCGATCCCGGTTCGCGACACTTTTTTGTTTCTTGTGAATTGAGAAAAGTTGTCAAAGAGAATATAGGTGTCAACCGTCTCTTCTAATGCACAGTACACATAAAGAAAATAAAATTTAATAATAATACCACATACATGTATAGTTTATAAACCAATAAATCCTCTATAATTACTTTTAATAATATTCATGCATCCTTACCGTACAAGGTCATCATAAATGCTTAATGAAGTACATTGCTTTCTTTATTGAAACTCCTAATTACAGCTGCTACAAAGCCGATAAATAAATCCCAACAATAACATAGATCCTAGTAATTATTATATTTTGTTTAACCCTAGACAATATTTAGTGGTATCAAAATATGTCTTCTAAATCAATTCCTCCAAAACTATGATATATACGTTGTATATCCTTTTTAACGGAGAGAGGCGAAGGCCTTTTGAACGGTACGCTTAAGACGAAGCTCAGACTTACGGAGAGCATCAGTGTTAGAGTCTTCAAGCTCCAATTGAGACATACATTCAGCCAATTGTTGTTCAATCTTAGACTTGTCACCACGCTTCAACTTCATCATAACATTAGGCTCGGAAATGGTGGTTTCAATGTTAGAAATGTAGGCCTCAAGTTGGCTCTTAGCTTCCAACTTCTTGGCGAAGTCCTTGTCTTGTTGCTTGAACTTGTCGGCATTCTCAATCATTTCTTGAATCTTAGCAGAGGAGAGGTGACCAACGGAGTTGGTGATCTCAATGTGAGCAGTGCGACCAGTAGTCTTCTCAAGGGCAGTAACCTTCAAGATACCGTTAACATCCAATTCAAAGGTAGCTTCCAATTCAGCTTGGCCACGAGGCATAGGGGGGATGCCAGTAAGTTGGAATTCACCAAGGGGCTCGTTCTCAGAGCAGTTGACACGCTCACCTTGGTAAACAGGGAAAGTGACAGTGGTTTGGTTGTCAGCGACGGTAGTGAAAGTACGCTTCTTGATGGTGGGGATAGCAGTGTTACGAGGGCAGACAACACCGAAAACGTTACCTTCCATGGCAACACCCAAAGAAAGAGGAACAACATCCAACAAAAGCAAGTCAGCAGTCTTGTCAGAGTCAGCCTTGTTGGTAAGGACGGCGGCTTGGACGGCGGCACCATAAGCAACGGCTTCGTCAGGGTTGATGGACTTGTTAAGAGGGCGACCTTGGAAGAAGTCAGAAACGAGTCTTTGGACCTTGGGGATACGGGTAGAACCACCAACAAGGACAATATCGTGAACATCACCCTTGGCGACCTTGGAGTCCTTCAAAACCTTGTCAACGGGGTCGATGGTCTTCTTGAAGGTAGTGGCGTTAATGTCCTCGAAACGAGCACGAGTGATGCTAGAAGAGAAGTCAACACCGTTAGAAAGAGAGTCAACTTCGAGGGTGGTTTGAGTGACAGAGGACAAGGCACGCTTAGCACGTTCGCAAGCGGAGCGAAGACGACGGAGAGCACGAGGATCTTCGGAGATGTCAATCTTTTGCTTACGCTTGAATTCTTGGATGAAGTGTTCAACCAAAGCAGCGTCAAAGTCTTCACCACCCAAGTGAGTATCACCAGCAGTAGCCAAAACTTCGAAAACACCACCTTGAATCTTCAAGAGGGAAACATCGAAGGTACCACCACCAAGGTCGAAAATGAGGACGTTCTTGGCAGCGTCGGTCTTGGAGTCGAGGCCATAAGCAATGGCAGCGGCGGTAGGCTCGTTAATGATACGGAGGACATTGAGACCAGCGATGGCACCAGCGTCCTTAGTAGCAGCACGTTGAGAGTCAGAGAAGTAAGCGGGAACAGTGACAACAGCCTTTTCGACACGCTTGTTCAACTTAGCCTCGGAGATTTCCTTCATCTTTGTCAAAACCATGGCGGAGACTTCTTGAGCAGTGAATTGCTTCTTTTCACCCAAGTAGTCGACTTCAATAGTGGGGATACCATTGTTATCAATAACCTTGAAGGGCCAGTGCTTAATGTCCTTTTGGGTCTCAGGATCTTCGTAACGACGACCGATAAGACGCTTGGCGTCGAAAACGGTGTTACGAGGGTTCATGGCAGCTTGGTTCTTGGCGGCATCACCGACCAAGCGTTCAGTGTCGGTGAAAGCAACAAAAGAAGGGGTGGTACGAGCACCTTGGTCGTTAGGGATAATTTCAACATTGGCGGTTTCCCAAACAGCAACGCAAGAGTAGGTAGTACCCAAGTCAATACCAATAGCACCTTCGTAAACTTCACTCATTTTCTGGCAACAAAAGTTAAAACTGACCCTCGATTTTTTGAGAGAAGTAGGTTATTGTAAAGTTGCACTTGCGGTGAACTTACAATATATGAGAACTCGCAGTCACACAAATTTTATACAATAAAATTTTATGAGCAAGTAGTCACTAATGTACTTCATTGTATTTCGTTATTATTTGCCCATCTCATGTTTATTTTTTTGCTTTTTCTTTTACCGGTAAAATTTTTTTTATTGTGCCACTAAAGGCCCTAAATTTTTTCGACTTTAATTTGCTTAGTGGTACAAATAATAATAGTTTATAAATGCCACCGCAGTAATCTTTTTTAACATATTTTACGCAACCGGCATAAAAATTTCAATGCATTTAACCGTAACATCCTTAAAGCCATACAACACAATAGAATATGCTTAAATGTTAAAATACTTTAACGCATTAACTGAATGAAATCGATATTTCCACCAGTTTCTGGAGAGAATGAATGACACTCTTGGTAAGTGGGTCAATCATGCATAGGAAAACGAAATACCCATCAAGTCATGGATATACATTCCTGAACCATAAAGTAATAATATAATACTAAAGCGAAAATTACACTCTTGAAGAGTGTACGCTATAGTTCGCTTTTGAAGATATAGGCATGATTTGTTTACAAGAAAATGTAAATAAATATATTACATGGATAATATTCACTCATCGACTTGAAATGAAACCAATAACTCTTTTGCATGGATGATGAAGACATTAAAAAAATACAGATAAAATAAAGCTTCAATTAACTAACTGTGTGTAACGTAGCTGATAATTGAGACTATAGATACATTAGAGCGAGTTTCTAATTTGGCACATATTTATATAAAACGATATCTTAATTAAAAGGTATATTTATTAAAAGGCCGTAAAGATCCTGAATATCTTGACTTAAGTAAACGAGTTGAAAGAAGTAAATACGATGCCCTTCCTGTTTGTTTTACCAGCATTCATCACAAATTATTTCAAGTGCAACCGTTTGTTAGAAACTCAACTGGAGCTGCTATTCTGTCTATAAGAATTTCTTCTTCATAGATCTGGGTATTTGGATTTTGAAATCCGTCTATTTTGAAATTTGAAATTTATTTTTTTCGTCCTTAATGAATTATATTTTATTTATTTGTCTTGGAGTATTTACTTTCTCTCAATGTTCGCCTTCTTCCACCTTTATTTTTTATAGGTTTCGTACACTTAGAAACGCAAATCAAATTACCTTTCATACTACAAACCAAAAAGCTACACTTCTACCATTTACGAATTTTGATATACTGCATTGTATTTTCTCTTTTTAAATTGAACTTCTATTTAGTTGTAGTTAGACTGAAAGTTTTCCATTTGTCGAGTTACATATTATGAGCGCTGAACCTGTGGTTTTTTTTGATGTATGTTTAAATGTAACTGTTGTTGATCTAATTTATTTTTCTAGATTGCGATTGGCGGTAATTATGTTGGAAGAATCAAAATTAGATTGTTTTCAAATACCGTACCCAAGTAAGATCATACATGTTTTTGTATCTCTTTACTTTAACTAATTATTTGCAAAAAGGACCGCGGAGAATTTCAGGTAGGATCTCGTTAACCTACATATGATGAACGTGAACTAAAACTTACATGATAGACAATTTTGTACTGGAGAAGCAAAAGGACCAAATCGAAATCCAATCGGTATGACAATTATTTTTTTCGTCTCAGTCCCTTGATACTATATACTAATCATAGGTTACAAAAATGCAAGTTTTCATAGAATTATCCCGGATTTCATGATCCAAGGAGGTGACTTTGTTAGTGTATGATTCTTCATTCAGGTTTTCCATATCCTTTGTACAAGGGATTTAGTTCCATTTACTACTTCTCTCGATTTATTATATACGCCTCACTAATACTTGTTTTTTAGGGTGATGGTACCGGCAGCACTAGCATTTATGGTACTCGGACTTTCCCTGATGAAAACTTCCTTTTAAAGCACGAAAAGCCTGGTCTACTAAGTATGGCTAATGCTGGAAAAGACTCAAATGGGTGTCAGTTTTTTATTACCACTGTCCCATGTGACTTTTTGGACGGAAAGCACGTTGTTTTTGGTGAAGTGATCGAAGGATTTGACGTTGTAAAGCAAATCGAATCAACACCGGTTGGAACTAGCTCCCGCCCAAAGCTGAATGTGGTTATTATGGAGTGTGGTGAAATGTAATTTCTATTGCAAATATGCAAAATTAAAAAAAATCATTTCAAAGCTTCTATGGATTCATTTATGCATAGATTTTTGTTTTCGAAAATTAATTAGACATTCTTCTTCGTTATAGGCGTCGTAGATGTAAGAACATTTGCGAGTTCCTCTTGTCCAACACTAAAGAGCAACTTAATGCAGAATATGAGTAAGCCAAAGCCAACAATAGCAAACCAAAAGAAAAATTGAAATTCTATTGATATGTCGTGCTTTGCACAGCTTTCTCCAGCCCATTGGATCGTTCTGTTTCCACCATTACCAGCAGGAACGATCGTCGAGGCACACTGACAAACAAAACAAGACTCTTTATTCGCATATTTCACGCATTCACCTCTACCAGAGCAAGAGTTCGTTGCCTTTCTGCAGGCCGCTTCTGTGATGAAACAGCGTCCATCGGCATTTCGGTCATTGCTGGCCACTACTTGGTCGACCTCTTCACCAAATGCTTCCAAATCAAGTTGACGCTTTTGATATCTAGTATTTCGGTCCTTAAACTCAGAAGGGGGGAGAAAAACATAACTAAAAGATGAGAGCTGTTTCAGTTGCAATAAAAGCGAAATTATATTTTCTTGTGCAATCCTGTACTTTTCAGAAGTTCCTCCATCAGCATGATATATTATCTGTGATGTTAGTCTTAATTAATAACCTCTCAAAATAACTTACCTCTAAAGAAACAATTTGACCGAGACCTATAGAGGGATCTGCAACGTTTCCACTCACTGATTTCATCTTTAGATACTCGATGTACTCATGCAGAGCAGCAATTTCCGACAAGAAGATTCGGTCCTGCTTTTCGCTAATATCGAAGAATGAGGCGGAAACTTTTCCAAAGAGTTTTTCATAAAGACGTAGATAACCCAAATCATCCTCCTTGGTAGCATGCAGTTGAAAAAGGGCATGAACGGATAGGGAACCGCCTAAATCGTTCATGTAGAATGTTCTATCTTCCTTCCCATCTGCGGCACTCAATTGTCTTTGAAATCTTCGAGTTAAAGCTCCAAAAGAGTTAGTGGACGGAGTGTCTTTTATAATAAATGTTGGGTGCATCTCCTTTACAGGTTCGTCCAAGTACAAGCCGGAAACTGTAAGAAACGTTTTGAATTTGAAGTCAAAAAAAGAAGAAAGAGAGTTTTCTTGTTGTAATAGTTCCTGAAGAAGCTGATCAGCCTTAGGATTTCCCTTTAGATTATGAAACTGAGAAATGCCCAACATGTGAGCAAAGATGAGTCGCGCTTCAGAAGGATTCAGTGAAGGAACATGTGTAACGTCTTTTTTGTTTGATGAAGACATGTAAACTACTGCGTTCGAATCCCAAGTACCTAGGTCAACTGTTAATATACCAATTCCTGCTTCGTAGCTCTTTTACAAACCTGAAACGCATGCTACAATTATTCCGAGCAGCAATGAAAACAAAAACTTAGAAAACCTCATCTTTATTTGTGTAGAAACGAATAAAGACGACGACTTTCTACTAGAGGTGTTGGCTTTATGCGGTGATGTGTTACTGTATCAGTAGGTCTGAGCAATGCCTAGTAGTAGCGCAAGCTGTTTGTCAAGTTGTAGTGAGATGAAGGATAACTTTTTAAAATTTCTTAATATTATAACGAAAAAATAATATGTCACGTGCATCTTATTGATTTCTTTTTGAGTTTTTTCTTGCTAAACTTATGAAACAGAAGGCGTACTTTTTTAATGGGCAAATGCTTCTAGTACTGAATTTAACTGTTCTTTATAATTTATATCTACCGACATATAACGTTGTTTAACTGAAATGGGAAGCTGAAGATGAATCGAGTCAAATTCTATTTTTGACTTTGCTACATGAACCATAGAAAAATAACATCGCAGTTTTGTTAAAAGCTAAAGATATTACCAGAAGAATTAAATGAATATGTTTTACAATTATGTTCATCTTTTACACTCAAGTCCATCTGATTACACAGACAGAATTACTCCAAAAAAAAAAGTGTAAATAATAACCTGAAAACAACAGAGAAAGCCAAATTATATAGGAGAATTTTATTCATTTTTTAGAAAATACAATCAGCTAGTTAAGGATCTATAAAAAACTAGTAAATAGATTTTTATGGGCACATTTGTTTTGTTTGTTTACATCCTGTTACCTAATTCGCTGATACCTGATGTGTTTTAGTGCTGTTCGTTCATCATCCTAAAAGGTTTTAAGAGATTGCGCAGTGGAACGTATGTCACCGGATCAAAGTTTTGCAACGAAAATTTACGATTTTTTATTAACCCACACTGTGTCTGTTGTTACTACAACACAATTCCTCAATGGCAGACAAAAGTACTGAAGCTGCTCAGTCCAAGGAGGTTCAGGTACGGGCTACTTTGCTGTTATGTTCTCCTTCACTAACAATAGCTTAGAATTCACCAAATTCTCAGGAGCCTCCAAGACCTAAAACTGAGAAAGAACGTACGTGACGAGAGAGGTTAACGGACTGAATGGATGCTGACTATTGTTGAATTTAGTGGAACGTGAACGTCAAAAAGCTGCTAAGCTTGAGAAGTATCAGGCCAAATTAGCTGCAAAAAAGGCTAAGGAGGAGTCTAGAAAGCCAAAGATTGAGAAGAAGTCCAAGATTGCTGAACCTGTAGCTGAATATGTTGAAGAAACAAAACCCGGTGAAAAGAAGGTCTTACAAGACTTGGAATCTCCCTCTTTGAAGTCATATAATCCCAAGGCTGTTGAATCTGCTTGGTATGACTGGTGGGTTAAGTCTGGATTTTTTGAACCTGAATTCGGCCCCGACGGTAAAGTGAAAGAGGAGGGTAAGTTTGTTATCACCTCTCCTCCTCCTAATGTCACTGGTGCTCTCCACATTGGTCATGCCCTCACTATTGCAATTCAGGATTCTTTGGCCCGTTGGAACCGTATGAAGGGTAAGACTGTACTTTTCTTGGGAGGTTTTGATCATGCAGGTCTTAGTACCCAGTCTGTCGTTGAGAAGAAGCTTTGGGCTGAAAAAAAGCAAACTCGCCACGACTATGCCAGAAATGATTTTGTCGACATTGTCTGGAAGTGGAAAGAGGAATATCACGAGCGAATTAAGAAACAAATGTCCCGTCTTGGTGGCTCTTTTGACTGGACTCGTGAAGCTTTTACTATGGATGAGAACCTTACTCGTGCTGTCGTCGAGACCTTTGTCCGCTTGCATGAGGATAAGATTATCTACCGTGCCAACCGCCTTGTAAACTGGTGTACTGCTTTACAGACTACTTTGTCTAACTTGGAAGTTGAGAATATTGAAGTGACCGGACGTACTGAAATCAAGGTTCCTGGTTATGATCACCTTGTGGAAGTCGGTGTCTTGACCTCAATTGCTTATGAAGTGGAAGGCTCTGATGATAGAATAATCATTGCAACTACTCGTCCTGAGACTTTGCTTGGTGATACTGCCATTGCAGTTCATCCTCAAGACCCTCGTTACAAGCATCTTCACGGAAAATCTGTCAAGCACCCCTTCTGCAACCGAAGCCTTCCCATCGTTTGCGACGATATCGCTGTTGATATGGAATTTGGTACTGGTGCAGTTAAAATTACTCCTGCTCATGATCTTAACGATTATGAGGTTGGTAAACGTCACAATCTTGCTTTCATCAACATTCTGAACGACGATGGTACCATGAACGAAAATTGCGGTGAATTTTCCGGAATGAAGCGTTTCGATGTCCGTATAAAGATTGTTGAGCGCCTTAATGAACTTGGCTTGTTTGTGGGTACCCAAGATAACCCAATGGTTATTCCTGTTTGCGGCAAAACTTCCGATATTATCGAACCCATCATGAAACCTCAATGGTGGGTTAACCAAAAGGAAATGGCTTCTGCTGCCGCTGAAGCTGTACGTTCTGGCGAAATTGATATCGCCCCCGATGTCTCTCGTAAAGAATTTATTCGCTGGATGGAAAACATTCAGGATTGGTGTATCTCTCGTCAATTGTGGTGGGGCCACCGTATTCCTGCCTACTTCGTTAAGCTCAGCAATGAAAAGAACCAAGACAGGAGCGATGATCGTTTCTGGGTTAGTGGTAGGTCCATCGAAGAAGTCGAAGAAAAAGCCAAAGCTGCTTTTCCCGGTAAATCCTTTACCTTAGAACAAGACGAAGATGTACTCGATACTTGGTTCTCTTCAGGCTTGTGGCCTTTCTCTACCTTGGGCTGGCCCAACGAGACTGTTGACTTAAAAACATTTTACCCAACCGTTTTGATGGAAACCGGATGGGATATTTTGTTTTTCTGGATCGCTCGTATGGTTATGTTGGGTATCAAACTCACAGGTCAGGTTCCCTTTAAGCGCGTCTTTTGCCATGCTCTTGTTCGTGATGCTCAAGGACGTAAGATGTCCAAGTCTTTGGGTAATGTCGTTGACCCCATTGACGTGATTGAGGGCATTACTCTTCAAGCTTTGCATGATAAACTTTCGGTCGGTAATTTGGACAGCCGTGAAGTTGAGAAGGCCAAGAAGGGACAAAAGATGAGTTATCCCAAGGGCATTCCTCAATGCGGTACCGATGCTTTACGTTTCACCCTCTGTTCGTTAACTAGTGGTGGACGTGATCTTAACCTGGATATTCTCCGTGTTGAAGGTTATCGTAAATTTTGCAATAAACTTTACAATGCCACAAAGTTTGCTTTGGGACGTCTTGGACCTTCTTTCATACCTAACGCGACCGATAAGCCCACTGGCAAAGAGTCACTTGTCGAAAAGTGGATTTTCCATCGTTTGAATGTTGCTGTGGATGCTATGAACAAGTACATGGAAGAGATGAACTTTTTGCAAGCAACTTCTGCCGTCTACCAGTTCTGGCTTTATGAACTGTGTGACGTTTACATCGAAACCTCTAAGTACTTGATTAGTGATGGAACCCCCGTCCAGCAAGAATCTGCCAAGCAAACTCTATACACTGTTCTAGACACTTCTTTAAGATTAATGCATCCTTTTATGCCTTATGTTACTGAAGAAATGTGGCAACGTCTTCCCCGTCGTCCTAGCGATACTACTCCCAGTATTGTGAAGGCTAAGTTCCCTATAACCAGAGAAGACTATGCCTATGAACAAGCCGCTAAAGATTATGAGTCTATCATCACAGTTGTTCACTCCAGCCGCTCCATGATGGCTGATAACGGTGTTAAATCTGATGCTGTCTTATACATTCATCCTGGGCAGAAACAGCAAGAGTTAATTAATGCTGAAATTGCCAGTATTCAATCTTTGATCAAGAAATGCAAGTCGCTTAAAATCGTTGATACTGATTTCGATGGTGAGAAGTGTGCAAAATCCGAAATTCTAGAGGGTTGTACCGTCTTTTTGGAAAAGAGGGAGTAAATTATCATAAATGAACTAAGTAGAATAGAAGGTATCTATAAATAAAAATAATTGGCATTTCATTACATATTAACAATAAATATTTGAGTATACACAGTTCCCCAATTCATCAATCATCAGTCAAATTTTCGTTGAAGATATGCACCAAACGAAGCAAGGTTAACAATTGCCGAAAAGCAAGTAGAACCGACTGTTTTGAGACAAATAAAAGCCGTAAAAGTCCAAAATACAAATTTTAAGTAGCCATTATTCACGGAGGCTTCACCTTTAAAGACTTGAAGCAAGATAATTGCAAGGATGAGATTACTCAAAGCCCAAACGAGAACATATCTTGTTCGCATATCCTGATAGTAGTCTTGACTGGTACGTGAAACAGAATTAGCGTTAATCCTGTTTAAAGACGAACCACTCTCACAATCGCTGTCTTCACTAAAGTTTCTTAAGGTTGAATTGTAGATTGAGTTCAACATATCAGCGTTTGGTATGGCTATCATAGCGAACTTCTTTTTCTTTTCATTTCGATAAGTATCAGTTAGATCATTGCTTGTAGCAACATCTAAATCATTAAGTGTCGAAGCATCATGAAGATGGCATAACGCATAGACTTGCTCCATATAAATGCGAGCCGGCAATATCAAAACATATTGCCATAAACATGTAAGAAGAAATAATGGATCCAATGAAATTATTGAAACAAAAATGTAACACGCAAGAACTATTAAGCATGGCAACATCACATTTGTAAAATAATTATCGCCAAAAATATCATATCCATGAGATGAATGTATGAAGATTGGAACTAGAGAAACGTAAAATATGCAAAATAAGTAATAAATCATCACTGAAGTGAATATAAGCAGACTAATTAAAGAAAGCGTTTTAGAGCTAGAAGATTGTTAGAAAATTGCTTGATAGATAAAATTACTTACCCTTTTGAACGGTTTCCCATTGCCAAAACAAATTGTGAGAATATAGCACACAGAAATATATATTCAAAAATCAGGAACAAGACCTGACCCCATGACCCATAGGGATTAAAATATTTATATGAAGTACTATTGCATATAAAATGGAAAGACAAAAAGAAGTTTGCCAAGCTAAAAAATCCAAACAATCTCTCTAATCCAAATATGAAAACCTGCATAGCTATCATAAGGAACCTAAAAAAGCTATGTCTTGTTTTCCACAGAGAGAAAAAGTCCGAAAGAATATAAATAGCAAGGCTAAAACGGCTATTAATATCACCTCTTCTGCCTTCTAAGATTTTTGCCATAGATTCAGGAGCCTTCACTTCGACTTGAGCTTGAGGAACATAATTCAGGTACCATCTTGCTTCCTTTTTAGTAACAACCTTCCAAAATAACAATTGTTCTTGGGCCACATAAGCATTTGCTTTTAATATCCCCTTTCTTTGTCCTTCTGTTTCCTTTCGGGCAAAGTATTGAGTTAATGGACCAGGATAAGGAAATTCATCTAATAAAGCAACATATCGAAAACCGTAGAGAGCATTAGACGTATTAGAAATGTAACCCAGACAGCTATCATAGGGAAGCCTAAGGTTATTATAAATCATTTGATCACAATGCTGAGATGCTATTAAGGGAGAAAGAAGCTTCTTTCCCCATTTTCCAGTTTTAATGACCGTTTTGCCGCATATTCCGCCAAGTTTGGAATTAACATCAAAGCTTTTCCAAGCATGATATACGGATGTTGTTTGTAATTTCGATCCAACTTTTACGAACAGGCAAATATTTGGTCGAACGAGAGAAGAAATACCTTTTAAAAACCACCTTTGGGAATCATGCGTCCCACTCTCCATTTCTTTTAAGCAAACGAGTAATTGCATGGGTACATTTCCATCATTTTTTGTAGTAATATTCAGTTTTTCGTCTACCGAAATTGTACTGGTAAATTCATACATATGAGCTAAAACCCTTTTGCCGTTAACTCTACCTTTGGAAATACTTGGCTGGTATGCTCCTATAGAGGACAGCAAATCCAAAATGTTTCTATGGACAGAATTCCGGCCATCAAGTACTATACAGGTTAAGACTTTTTTCCAGCTTTCATCACCCCAAACTCTCGATTTTTTACGCATCGTAAGATGCTTCACGTTTTCCATAACACTAGATAGTGTTAATGCGAAAGAAGCAAGGTCTTCCTGCCCTACAGTCAGACAAATCGCAGCTTGGATGTCTCGATCAAATAGATTCGTTCTCACTTTTAGCTCATTTGCCATCATATCCTCAGGATTACAGGTCACCGCAGTGTATCGTAAAGAATTCGATTCTTCAGAGCTTGTGTGAACTATGGAACCAAGCATATTTTTAAGATCAAGAGGACAAGGACATTCGACGACTAAGCTATCGTGCATTATAGGAACTTCTTGCATTTCGTGATAAGCTGAGCTGTTATTAAAAGAAGCTGTTTCAAGTCCACTGAAGCCATCTTCCGACATAGCATATTCATCTTCATCAATCAATTCTTCCTTCTTATCTGCATATGATCCACCGCTCAAGGTTTCTGAGTCACTGCGTTCTATAGATGTTTCATTATGAGGGACGTACAAATTAGACGAATTACTATGATCAATCCCAATCCGATGTACTGGGGGAATAGGAGGAGCTGGTGAAGCATTTAAAACACTAGAGTCCACATCGTATACGGAATTCGTAAAGGAAAATGTATCCTCTTCAGGAACCTCAAGCTGTTCAGATGAGGTAACTTCGTTGTCCCACTCATAATCTGATATATGTAAATTATCTTCACTTTGAAATTGATGTGTGTTCAGTTGTTCATGTCCAGAATCCACCAAAGGTGACAGTTTTCCATAAGGCCGCGAATACACGATGCTAGGATCATTATAGTCAGGTAAGGGCTTCCTCATAGCTTCAAGTCTGCTAAAAAAAAGTAGCAAGCACTAATTTGATCGGTGGATCCTTGCTCCCTTTTGGAAAAACACAATAAAAATTGGTTGAACCAATCTCCTATTAACGTGACTTTGGATGTACGCTCCATTATATGCATATAAATCCGATATGTATTGTTGTAACTGACAACGATGATGACTGTTTACACTCCCTTTTGTTTATTTATTTTTGGTTACCCCAGCAACCGTGCTTATTTCTTAAATGGAGTCTAAAACCCTATGTCATACCTTTTAAGCGAATAACGAACCGTTCAGGATATTAAGCAGTCGACTAAGAACAATTACAGGAAACAGTAAGAGCCTTCCATTTTTATTGTTTAAAAAAGATATTCCTTTCTTTTCATGCAATTTTTTTGTTTATCTGTATAATCCGCTCACGACCTCAGTATAGATAATTAGCGAGTACATCCTTAGTAACCGGTGTATTATATTTACATATAACCTATAACCCGTGGTATATCGCGTAAAACCAGAATAACAGATTTCAAAGGAGTAATAGATTCCAGAAGCAGTAGAAGAAAAATTGAGTATGAGGAGTATTAAAGGCTAAATACTCTTTATTTTATTTTTATTTTTCAATAATCAATTCATTATTACCGTTCTTTTTTTACCGGCTAATTTCTGAGTTCATGGTAAAGTACAAAGTCGTTTAGGCAGGGATTGGGGTGATGACATCTACTACAGCAATCAACAACAAATATAACTGCAGTCTCCCAATACGCGTCAAGTTATAAACAAGTTGCCAGACAAGCAGTTAGTAAATTGTTTGTGTTTGCATTTATGAATTTCTAGTAATGAACACGTTGAAAGAGTCTACTGACACGGAACGCAATCATATTGGTAAGTTTACTATGAAACTTGAAAGTTTTTCGTTTTGGAGTTATCTTTTATTTTTTATTTTTTTTTTTTGCTAGACTTTCCACCAGCTTTATGACTTTTATTTCCTGATATTAACATAAAAAAGAAACAGAGAATGAACCACGAAGGAAAAATGTGAATCCATCGAATACCCCCGATGGGCAAAGTACATCTGCAGGAACTGGTCATTCATTAGACCCTGCTCAAAGCAATCAAACTTACATGCAGCAAGGAACTTTTGATGTTTCTTCTAATAATAAAAAAAGGCAGTTTGATGATTATCAAAAAGAGCAAGCAATTGCTTTTACTAAACCCTCTTCAATTCCTACACTATCTGCCAACATGGAGACAGACGAAGGCCTTGCCGCAATGACTTCCTCAAATAGTCGACCTTTAGACGTTAATGATGCTCTTTCGTATCTCGAAATGGTAAGGTATTACTTTTCAGAAAAACGAGAGGTATACAATCAATTTTTGGAAATAATGCGCGATTTTAAGTCCCAAAGGTAAGCTATAATTGACAACCGTCGTCCATGAATAACTCCTTTCATTTCCCTTTTTCCTCTTTGGGGATTTCTACTTTATTTACCTGCTAGATCTGTCACTAACGTTAGTCTAGTCTGGATACTTTAGGGGTAATCAATCGGGTCGCAAGTCTCTTTAATGGATATCCGCAACTTATTGAAGGATTTAACACTTTTCTTCCCTCAGGCTATAAAATCGAAGTCCATACGGATTCTTCTAACACTAGCTTTGTACGGATCGGCACTCCCATGCACCCATTGCACCCAGGCACAAATACTTCCTCCACCTTTACACCTTCGACCCATTTTGTAGAAATACAACAGCCAGCCATCCCTGATAACCAATACGAAAAACAGTCTCCATCTTCTAGCGAAAATGTATCCGCTCTACCCCCAAAGCCTCAAGTAGATTTTAACTATGCTATCGCTTACATGAATAAAGTTAAGGCAAGGTATCCTCCTAATTCTGAGACATACATGGAATTTTTAGGTGTTTTACGGACATATCAAAAAGCTCAAAAATCCATTCATGAAGTGCGTGCTCGTGTTTCCGAAATCTTCTCGGATTCCCCGGATCTATTGGATGAATTCAAGCTTTTCTTACCAGACACTTCTGAAGCTACTGAAGCTCAACAAAATGATGCTGCTACGACTACTAACGGATTACCTCCTGTTGGAAACTTCACCTTACCTTCTTCCGGGCAGTCCCGTGAAAGAAGGTTACGCCCAGCACATTCAGCACAGATAGGACGATCCATCTCTAAAACTTCTAAAAACCTTCGTGAACATGCCGATGAGCTACCGAGTACTTATGCAATCCCTAATTATCAACAAAAAACGAGCCCTGTTTCTCATTATGCTGCTACTCAAGAGGAATTATTGGCTTTCGGCTCTATTAGACAGCACCTTCCTGATAATATTTCTTTTCATAACTTTTTGGAATTACTACATCTTTATAGAGAAAAGTTAATGGACAAAACGGATTTACTGAATTCATTCTCAAGGCTCGTCAAAAATGATAACTTAACATTATGGTTTGCAAACTTCATTCGATGGAATGATAGTCCTATATTGGTGAAAAATATTCCTATGGATGACTCCCGTTATATCTCTGAAACTTATGAATCTGCTGGTTATTTATACCGTAAAATACCTGCAGAAAAACAAAAAGGAACTTGCTCTGGACGTGATGCCCTAGCAAATTCGGTTCTTAATGACGAGTACATTTTAGTTGCTCCCAAATTGACAGGTATAAAAAATGTCAAGCATTCTGAAAATCAATACTTGCAAGCTCTACAATTAGTCGAAGATGAACGTTATGAATATGACCGAATCCTTTCAGTGAATCAAAGGGCCATAAAATTATTGGCAGAGTTATGTGAACCTGTTAACGACGAAGAGCACATTAGGTCTTTAAACAAAACATTAGACCGTAAAGCCCTAATACGATCCGCTTTTCACACTGTTTATGGAAAAGAACACTCGACAACAGCTTTTGACGCTCTAGTAAAAAATTCCAGAAGGGCAGCTCCTGTTTTATTGAAGCGTTTAAAGTTGAAGGATCAAGAATGGCGCCGCTGCAAAAGAGAATGGAATAAGATTTGGCGTCAAATTGAACTTAAAAATTCGTCACTTGCATTGGATGAACGTTGTTGCAAAATTGAAGGTAAAGATCGAAGAGCACTTTCCTATAATCGAATTTTAAATGAAATCGATGATATATATCAACATCAAAAACATGGTATTGGCCACGTTAAACAAGGGTTCCAATTTAGCCAAGTACTAAATGATCGGCAAATCTTTTTGAATATTTTAAGGTTAAGTGATGCTCAACTTTCTAACTCATCCTTTTATTCTTACGCAGACAAAGGAAGAATTAGTGCTGTTCTTAAAGCTTTACTATCACAATTTTTCGGAATTCCACTTCCTAGAGAAACTTTGGAAAGCGATCTTTCCTCTGAAAACATAGAATCAGTTCAAAAGCATCGTGATGGATTGAGCAAAATTTTTGTACATCCAGAGAGTGCTGATAACAGCAACACAACTCATATGAGCATTCAGACGGATGACACCCAGACAGAGGACGAAACTATGAGCGATAGTAATCCTATTGATCCTGATACTCAAACAAAAATGAAACTGCAAGGAGAAGAATCAAAAAATATAATCGGCTATAACTTTTTTGGGAATGCAACCATGTATGTGCTATTTAGACTAATTTGCGTTTCTTATTCTCGACTTGAGCAAATAAAAATGTTTATTGAGACTTCTAGTTCAGTTGAGCCCATAACTTACGATACTATACTGGAAACGTGTGAAAAATATTTAAAGGGCATTCTATCTAGAAGTGAGTTTCATAAATATCTCCAAAAACTAAACAATGATGCTTGTTATATGATTAGTTCTATAGAACGGTTACTAAAAGTGATATTCTACCGAGTGCATGAAATTTTGTTGGATCCTAAACTTGGTCAGCTTTTACTTTTATTCGAATCTGACGGAGCACATTCAGCGACAACTGCTCGAGAACAGATGATTTATCGAAATCATGTGGAAACTATTTTGGCGCCTGATACCAGAATATTTAATATGAGATGGTATCCCTTGGAAAAAAAGCTGTGCATTCAACAATTGCTCTCAGCCGACCTTACAATTCATAAATTTGAGGATCCGGCTAGAGCATTTATGTATTATGTCGATAGCTATGCCATTTCCCATATTACAGAAGGTGTTGACTTGCTGCAGGTAAAAATGCCTTTCTTGAAAAGATCATTGCAGTTGATCTCACAGAAGGGCTATCTCGCTGGCCGAGAGTCTACTAGTTTGCATTCTCTTTTTAATGAGCGATTTTGCAAGTCAAATCTACAGTTGTTCTTCTCAACAGATACTTATATGATATTCTTTGAGTCCAATACAGAAAACGTTTATATCAATTCGTATAATTTGTGGGTTGGGCAAAGCTCGAAACGTCGCAATCAAAGAAGAATGGCACGTTGGCAAAAATGGCTTGAACAACAACTCGCTAAAAACACAACTCAAGAAATACCATCTGCTAACAACCAATCTGCTACTTTGGATCAGGTTCTCCTTTCTCTATCATCATAATGTATAATAAAATACTTTTATCTCAAAATGGAACAAAGGAAATGTATATATTAGTTTTTATAGATAAGACTTCTAAAATGAGATGACTATTTAGCATGCTTAACAGCGCAAGTACAGCAAAAGTACAAAACGTTCTTTCTCAATTACTGTGAAACCAGGTTGTGTTATATCTTCAGAGGTAGGTGGGACATTGGTAGGTTCACTGGTTGTCAGTATGAACTCCAAGCTGTTCATACCAGGTCCTAATCTGATATCGAAAGCAGAATTTATAGAATCAATGTTGTAATAAGTTGGTCCGGCTAACTGTAACAACTGAGGAGAAGCGGCTACCGGTGGTCCAATCAGTTTTCCATTATGTAGTACGGATATATTGTAATTTCTGATCGACAATATGGGATTAATATTTGTAATTACATTTAGAATGGCATGTTGCTGTGCCAAATTAATTACAGAAATTTCTGATGCATTAGAGGACGGACAAGGAACATGCATGCAGAGTGGATTAGGTAACGATGCATGAGAAGGAGAAAATAGAAAAAAAGAATAAAATAAACGTTCTGTATCGCCTGTATTTTCAATCACTTTTGTTTGAGGAAAATTAGGAAACACGAAGTCAGTTCTACCCAATACCGACTTATGAGTAGAATTTAAGAGATCTGGTACTGGCTTTGTAGGGAAAGATTTCATGAGGGCAAAGGCACTATAGTTATTTTGACAAATCTGGTCAATAGGACTAGGCTTTGGAGGTTGCTGTTCAACAACATCTGACATTTGAGGTGTAAAATCCTCAGTAAGTTTCTCTTTTTCTTCCGCTTCTGCAGGTAATTTTTCATGAAGTAAGGGATCACTTACAACAGATGGTTCTCGAGTCTGTGGTTCGAAAGAAGGAGCAGCGGAAGGCATTCTTTGGGTTGGAGATTCATCTTTGATATTCTCGACATCTTTAGGGGATTCCAGAGAAGTTTTGTACGTGGATGTCAATATGGGTGCAGATATTTTCGAAAGAGCAACCGAATCCTCATAAACGAAACTACCAGCTTCGTTGTATGTTTGTGCATTTGCATACATTTGCTCTAGATCGCTTTCAAAGTCCTTTACTGAGTTGTATTCGTTCTTTTTCAGGCGTTTCTCCATCATTTTTATCGTCATTGGCGTCTTGATAATTTCGTAATAATCTGGATAAAGACGTTTGCTCGGTAAATCAATAAACATATCAGCTAAATATCTACCGGTAGAGTCTTTTGCATTTTTCAAAGCATCAAGGACATTAGTAATGACAGAGTGAACTTCATAGTCCTTGCCAGAAGTCTGTTCTTCGGTAGAAATGGGTACTTTTGTGTCTGTGGAAGCACCGGGCTGAGCAAAGTGTTTAGCCTCTAAATCATTGACGGCTTTTTCGACCAGCAAGGCACACTCATAGACAAAGCTTCCTGGTAGATTGTACGTTTTAGCATTGTTTACCATGAGTCGTAAATCATCATAGAATTCACCCATGGAGGAATACTGATTATGACGGGCTTTGTTTCGCATTGTTTTATAAGCAATAGGATCAGTAATAACCTGATAGTAATCCGGAAAATATTTCTTAGAAGGTAATTCATCAAAAACATCATCGAAAGGGTTCCCTCTATTTTTAGTTTGTCAGTTAATCAATCACTACTCATCGTAATCACCTGAAAGGAAATACTTACTCCTGATCTTTAAGGTCAACTAGGAATTGTAAAGCTTCATTAAACTTTGTTTGGGAAAACTCAACCTGATGACCGTTTATCGAGGACTGAATATTCCATTAGCAATGCTGTTTGTAACCACTTAAAAAATTTTCACAAAACCTACCATGTTGTAATCCACTTCTCAATATTTATGTTCCAACGTTTACAGATATATTCAAATAAAAAAAGCACAAATGCATTCAGTGAAGATACTACCAAAATTTTAAACCAGAGTATTCATCAAAACAACAGTATAATGTCTTTATGTATATACAAAGATGTTTTATTATATATTAGTAGGCCATAGAATTAGTTATTAACTCTTCTCTCTTGAGATTTCCACAACCTGGCTGGTGGTTAGTGGTGTACAGCTTACCAGGGAAATGTTACTTGACACAAATGTCACTTAACCCTACTGATGGTATCGTCAAAGTTCAAGAGTATTCCCAGCCTTTACCAATATCAATAAAGATTGCTGTTGGATTACAAAAGGACAAAAAATGACGAAGACTCGTTTTCCTCGTTTGCTGAACGCTTCTGAACGTGAACGATTAGAGCCTTTTATTGATCAAATCCACTATTCTCCAAGGTATGTTGATTTTATGTATACCCTTTAAGAATTGATTCTTGTCATGGTATTGATATATGATTTTCTTTCTGCATCATCTATTAAATTATTGAAATGCGAAATATCTTTATCTTTGCCAAATTTTTTACTTATTTATTTTTCAAGGAGAAAGGTTACTAACACCCTTTGGTAGATATGCTGATGATGAGAATGAATATCGACACGTTATGTTGCCCAAGGCTATGTTGAAGGCCATTCCAGCAGACTATTTTAATCCTGAAACTGGTACTTTACGTATTCTTCATGAAGAGGAATGGAGAGGTTTGGGTATAACCCAGAGTCTTGGATGGGAAATGTATGAAGTCCATGTTCCGGAGCCTCATATCCTTTTATTCAAGCGCGAAAAAGATTTTCAGTTGAAATATAGCCAACAACGATGAATGTCTCGTTTTTATGTCCTTCCCTTCTTATCACGTGTATCTTACGAGGCTTTGAAAGCTATTTCGCTTCTGCCTAAAACGGGAACGTATACCGTAGCGTTTCTACTTGCTTTCTTATGAGATGATGATTCCTTAGTGGCATTTTACCTGCTATTGCTTGGTATCTTCGCTGTTCTTATTCTTTCATTTATTCCTTTTTTCTCCTGTTCTCTAGCTATCAAACGATTTGGGTTTTGTATTCTAAGTTCTTTCTTTTCTTTCTACCATTTCTATTAAAAAAGCCATATCTAGGTTTTTATCATCTCTTCATAATAACACTTCAACTCTAGACTTTCCTTACACTTCCTGCGTTTGTTCTTTTTTCCCTATTTCATAGGTTTTACCGTAGAAACTAATAGACTCCCTCATATAATAATGGATTTGAAAAAACCTTTCTGGTATTCAGCGTTAAATATAACATGTCGGTTTCACTCTGAAGTTTATCATGTGCGATTCAGTTGTTATAAAACATGATTTTTCTTTTTTCTTTTTAAGTTTCATTGGTTGTATGTATATTTTCTAATATTTGTAGTTTTACAAAGTGCCCATACTTTTTCAATAACTACCATCCATATATGTCCTTACAAGCACAAGCACATAAGCTTTCTTTTCTTTTTTTTTTTTTTTTTTTTTTTTTTTTTTTTTTTTTTTCTTTACGACGACATCAAAATTATATAAAGCATATTTTGTGATTAAGCGTAGGCTAAAGATGGAAAAGAAAGAAGCACATCAGAACTTTACATAGTCTTGCAAAGTAAAAATTGCAGATTTGTGCCAGCAAGAGTAAAACCCGAATATTGTATCCAACGTACGTGTCAGCGATGCAAAAGCACAAGAGCCTTGTTTCATTTAACCCAAAGCATTAGCACCAGTAACAATATCGATAAGTTCGTTAGTGATAGAGGCTTGACGTTGACGGTTATAGATGGTGGAAAACTTGTTGATCATTTCACCAGCACTCTTGCTAGCATTTTCCATAGCATTACGACGAGAAGACATTTCACTGCAGTGGGCTTCAGCCATAGCAGCAAATATAGCATTCGTAAAAGCAAACTCCATTAAAGGTTGGTGCACCTCGTCCTTAGTCTCATAAGCAAACAAGTTGGGAGATTCGGCAATAGATTGACGAGTATAGAGATTCTTCATCACTGTTTCAAATGATACGGCAGAGGCGAATCTGTTGTAAACAATAACAATTCTGTCAAACTCATTTGCATTCTCCAAAATATTGCTGGAAATTTGCAAGGCCTCTTCATAGGAAGGACTGGTACCACCAATGTGAGCAAATGTTAAATAGAGAGAACCAGGGTAATAACGATGAATTTGGGAACGGACCTTTTCTCCCAAAACGCAGATGCTAGTGTTTTGCTCAACGTTAGGATCAATCAATTCCTTACGGACAAGACGAGAGATAGAAGAGTGGATACCACCGCAAAGGCCTTTGTCACTTGAACAAGCAATCAAAAGAGTTTTCCCTTCTTTGGGAGCTTGAGTTCCAGCTTCCTTAAAAAATTCATTGGAAACTGATTGGTATTTCTTAGCGAGGTCCATAGCTCTTTGAGCTCTGTTCAGCTTTGTCTGAGCAACCGTCTTAATGGTTTTCGTGATCTTCTCAATGTTACGGATGGACTTTAATCTCTGTTCAATTTCCTTTAAAGTAGCCTCACGAGGAGCACTAATCGTTGAATCGTTAGCATCGAAGTTCTTTCAGCAATCCTTTCACTTCACATACCTAGCATGAAAGCCTCGAAATCCTACCAAATTTACGATAGGACGAAGCGCATTTGACTGTTTAACCGTTAAACGTAACATTCTGACAAATAATGCCAAAAGTTAGCAAATTTCCTGTTTCGTGTGAAATATGGGGGAGGGTAAGTAAACTAAAGTCGAGAAACCTGATCCTATAAGCGGAATGCAAACCCGTCAAACCAACACAAACTAGCGGTAGAACACTTAGAGTTTTATTTTTAATTTTTAAATAAAAAATTAAAAATAATTAATTAGAAGGCTCCTTTTGAGCAGGAAGCATGCCTATTTTCGTCTGTCATTTAGGGAATTTGAGCGAAATGGCTGAATGCCTTTAATGTACTAGAACGCTAGGTTTAAACAGAATAAGGCAGTACGCAGATAGAAAGAATTACCAGTACGTTCCTTTTCCTTTTGTTTACACAGTGGTTTATTCTAAAATTTCGTATAATTCATGAGATGTATGTAACTTAAAATGGGATTTTATAGGGAACGTATTCTTTGGTATCTTGCCAATGGGCTACTGCTACTGCTTGTGGGCTTTTATGTTTATATGACTCCTTATACGAAAGTGGAAGAGTCTTTCTCAATGCAGGCTATTCATGATATCCAGACGTACAAATTGGATCTTTCAAAGGTATTGTTTTTTAATCACACTCTGCTTAGAAGATGATGCTTCACGCAGAGAAACACATAAATGACAAAACTAACAAGAGTCACAGTACGATCATCAAAAGTTTCCTGGATCCGTTAAGAGGAGCTTTATCCCTAGTCTTATTATAGCTCTCGTTTCCTACTTGCCTGCTAAACACTTTTCTTCCCTTTTGGCTGTACGATGGACCATTGGCTTCCTTACGTGTGAAAGTTTTGTGGTCATAGGAAAAGCATTAAGGAAACGTTTTGGGTTCTGTGCCGGTATTGCATTCCTTTTTATAGTAGGCGCTCAATTTCACCTTGTGTATTATATGTCAAGACCGTTACCCAATGTATATGGGCTTATTTTCACAAACTCTGCTCTGGCTTTCCTATTGCAAGGGCATTACTATCCGGTCATCTCTGTCTTAGTATTTGCTTCTATCATTGTCCGCTCAGAGATATTTCTATTATTAAGTGTAATTTCCCTGAGTTTCCTTGCCCAACGTAGAGTCAAATTATTTCGACTTTTCATCATTGGATCCTTGTCTTCCATAACTGCGCTTGCTCTAACAGTTTTCGTGGATTCATGGTTTTGGGGAACATGGTGCTGGCCCGAATTTCAAGCTTTTACTTTTAATGTTATCGAAGGAAAGTCTTCAGAATGGGGAACAAGCCCATTTTATTACTATTTCTTAAGAATTCCCTGGATTATGCTGAATCCTACCTTGTTTCTTTTCGGGCTCGTATCTTTCTTTACTGTCCGTTCGTCAAGAATCTTACTTTATGTTCCTTTTGCTTTCGTATTTATTTTTTCATTTTTGAAGCACAAAGAATGGAGATTCGTCAGTTACATCCTTCCATGGATCGATTCATCCTGCGCAATTGGTGTGGCATGTCTCATACGGCAAAGGAATCATCAAAGGATGAAGATAAGCATTAAGAAGCTGGCTATATTTATATTTTTTTCTGGAATTTCTTTCGGACTTTTCGCAAGTGCTCTATTACTAAGGATTTTTACATTTGCTTATCCAGGAGGCGTGGCACTGGAAAATCTACATTCAGTGAACAAAAACTCATTCGGTATGTATTTAATTTTATTGTTATTTACTAATATTATTTTTTCTATTAGAGACCGTTCACTTAGACACCTATCCTTGTATGACCGGTATTACACGTTTCTTGCAAAAACCAAACTGGTATTATGATAAAGAGGAAGATTCTTCACGTTTAAATGACGATCTGTTTCAAACCCAATTTCATTATATCATTACCGATACTCCAAGACTTTACGAAAGAAATTTTGAAGTTTTGCAAACTATCGGGGAAAATCCCAAAATTCCTTTGATACCTGATTTTATGAGAGAGTGGGTTACCTTTGATTTGAGCGTTACAAATTCTGCCTTTCCCGTGTACGTTTTAGTTCAGCCACCGACTATGGCGGATGAAGTATCAATAAACGATTATAATAAATATATTGGTCAATCTGTGAGCAACATACAAAAATGGCCAAAGGTGTTTCGAATTGTTAAACCAGGAACCCTTCTGACTCGAGATTATCGTGAAGAGCGATTGAACTTTTTTACTACAGAAGATGGAATTCTGGATCATATTACCCAAGGTTAAATAAATATCTGTAAACCTCTACAACCTAACAGAGTTCAATTTTAATTATCGGGAACATAATATTTAAGACGAATGTATAACGATGTAAATATATTTATACATAACAGTGAATTATTGCTATATGTGGTCATTACTAAGTACAAAACATGAATATATATACGAAATAAGTATATTGTGACGTATATTAATGTATAGTACTAAAACCCAACTAGACATATACCGGGCACAACGAGCCTAACACAAGCCAATAAGCTAGATATCCAACAGGAGATGCCAAATAACCTTTATAAAAAGGGGGAAAGGAAAGGTCAAATCAAACGATGAAACGTGTTTACAAAACACATAATGGATCCAGTTAACAAAATAAGCTAATGAGATGCCCAGAGAGATTAAAAGAATGTTGTGAAGAATACCACATGAAGTGGAACCACTTTTGGCCTTTTTTTTATTTGATCACAAAAAGCGGAAACCAGTTGATAGTAAGGAATCTATTATAAATATCAGAATAAGAAAGAAGGAATGAGCTCAACGTGTTGCGAACATTAGTTTACTGTTGAGCGCATTGTACACCAGGGTGACCGCCGTCATCTTCTTCTTCCTCTTCGTCCATAGCGCTAGCAGTAGTAGGATTAACGTTGTTATCAATGCGAACGGCTTCAGTAGGATCAACGTTACCAAGAACACACTCCTCAGTAACAGCGTTCTTAGGGGCCTTTTCAACACGACGAGGAGGTAAGACCTGTTCGAGTAAAGCAAGCTTTTCGGCAGGAGCAAAATTGGGTTCTGGGAAATCAACAGTGAAACGAACGTAAAGGTTACCAGCTTGGTGGTGGCGTTGAGAGAGCATACCTTGGCCGGGAATAACCTTGAGTTCATTAGGGCGAATGCATTCACCAGGGATGATGGGGATGGTCAAATAACGCTCGTCCAAGTGTTCGATAACGATTTGACCACCGGCCAAAGCAGAAAGCAAGTCAACGTGGGCTTCATAAAAGAGGTGATCACCGCTGCGCTTGAATCTAGGATGTTCCTTAACATCGACAACAAATATAACGTCACCAGGAATGATACCAGGAGCTTGTTCACCTTCTTCTTTGAAAAGAATTTTCTGGCCATTATGCATACCCTTATCAATGTGAACAGTGAGTATCTTACGTTGAGAAACAACCTTGGCACCATTGCACTCCTTGCAACGGTCTTCGTTGCGGATGGTTTCTCCTTCACCGTTACAGTCAGGACAGGTCATTTGCATACGCTGGATCATAGGACCCATAGCACGGGTGATGAACTTGACACCAGAACCGCTACAAGAGGAACAAGAACGGACAGCACCTTCCTTGCCACCACGGCCACTGCATTTGCCGCAGATAACCTTCTTTTGTAAAGCAAGCTTCGAAGTCTTACCACGGTAGAGATCTTCAAGGGTGACCTTGATAGTGTGAACCAAGTCTTTACCCTTGCGAGGACCACGGGGCATGCCACCGCCGAACATACCGCCCATGCCTCCCATGCCGCCGCCGAAGAAGGAAGCAAACAAGTCATCAGCAGACATGCCTTCTCCAGCACCACCGCCTTGTAAGCCTTCTTCACCGAAGCGATCGTAGGTAGAGCGTTTGTCCTCATCAGAGAGAATTTCATAAGCACGGCTAATTTCCTTGAATTTATCACCGGCATTAGGGTTCTTATCAGGGTGATACTTTAAGGCCAATTTACGATAGGCTTTCTTCAAATCGCTAGGAGAAGCAGAAGGATCAACGCCCAAGGTTTCGTAAAGTTTTGTTTCTTTAGCCATGATGCAATATTAATCGATAAAACGAAATAGAACTGAAAGAAAATTAAAAAGACAAAAGAAAAATATCTTGGAAACTTTAAAAAGATGCTTGTAAAGGGAAGATACAAGCAACAAAAAGTGAGATTATTAAAAATAAACCGTATAAACTTTTTAAATGTACAGTACAGAAACAGATGAAGAAAAAGAGAAAGCAATCGAGTTTCTCAATGAATCAAACACCACGAATTGGAAAAGCAAACAGAAAATAAGAAAAAATAGAATTTTCTTTTCGTTTAGCTTTTTTTTTAAGAAAAAAATAATCCTCTACCGTCAAACAGACTAAAAAGCTGAAGAAAAGCTCTAAGTTTTGCTTTTTTTGGTGTGTGTTGAGAGGAAGTTTAGTTATTAGCAGGTCAAAAGGCCAATGTAATGAGCGAAATGTCTCGTTTATGTTTGTTGTAGTCAATGGCCAAAGAACATGGGAGAAAGAAATTTTCTGTCGATCATACAGCGCTCAGGGTACAATGAAGCAATACCGCCGCTAAGTTACCCAATCCGACACAGAAGAACAACAAAGAACAATTTAAAAAAGAAAATGCGTTGGAATACGGTAAACAGTAAGCAGTAAACAAACCTATGTTGAGGATATGTAAACAAAGGGAGGGAGGAAATCAAAAATGCTTTCCGGAGGAACGGAAATTTTGACGACAAATGTTGGATGGAATGGGTTTGGAAACCATGAAACAGTTTCCGAAAAGAGATTGAGTGGGCATCGGTGAAATAAACAAATACAGAAAAAAAGAAAACATGATTCCTTCCAATGGCAAAAGCTGAAAAGGGTTAATTTTATTAGCGAGAATTTTTTTTTATTCTATAAGAACTTTAGAATTCGGAAGGCAATTGTACAGGAATGGTTTAATATGTGGCACATATCAAAGATTTGCCTCTTCTCTTTATTTATGAGTTTTGACAACGGTTCAAGTCGATTGGAAACCTCAAGACTCGCATCAGGTTATGTAGAGAAGAATATTTAACGGCAATTACTTTTCCATCCACTTCATCCTTTGTTTTTTTTTTTTTTTTTTTTTTTTTTTTTCTTTTTTTTTATGCTACTCAATCCTACTCTTCCTCATAAATAGCACTCCTACAGAACCCACTAAATCCCACATCACTATTATGTGGGGGAATAGAAGCATCGTCCTTAGCGGAAGGTAGGCTTGAAGATAGATGTAAAGTGCGGTTGATGTGAGGACATAGGAAAAGGTGATTTATTAATTTCCACAAAAAGGGAGATTTCTATTTATTGATTTTCCTATCTTTTTTTTTTTTAATAAAAAACACAGCACTATAAATGGTATAGGTAATCGATACCTCCACCTTTTACTCCTTCGAACAAAATCGGCGTTTTTAGACTTGGCCGGCGTAGTCAACTACTTTGATGAAATAATAAAATGAAGAATTCTAAATGATAGCGATACAATTCCGAAAAAAAAAAAAGGCATCAAATTGTCTATACTTCCATTCTTCATTTTCCTAGGTGACATGTTCCTTAAACAAAAATCTTGCTGCCTTTTTTACTGTCCAGCTACAAGCAAGGCGATGTGATGCTGTCAGAATATTTGACACATGTAGGTCGAGTTAACGTTTATTTGGATCCAAACACTACGCCGCATCCAAAACGGGTTGGTGATGTTCCGTGTTCGCTACCTCTGTCCCTGAGAAAGGACGAGCCTGTGGTTGCCATCAAACGTGCTGATACCCTACAAGTAGTAATTGCTTGCTCTCCTCGTATTCAAAATTTTGATATCGTCGTTCCCTGGAAAGCCTTGGATTTCGATTCAAAACGCGAACATGTCGTCCAGTGTAGCTACTGCACCGCTCAGCTCGCAACCTTTTCTTCCTGTCGAGACTTACCCTCTGCCAATTGGCAAGAACTGATGGATTGCTGGGCCTGTCATGTTGATTTCCCTGCTGTTTTGGCCAAGAACGGTGGCATGCCTGCCTTTTCTCCTACTGAGCACATGTCCTATTCTGGCACTTCTTTTCTTCTTTTCCATCCAAATTCATTGGTAAGTTCAATTCTCGTTTTATTGTTTTATTAGCTTTATTTCTTCTTCAATGGTATTACGGACCTAAAAGAAACCCTTGATTTGCTTTTCTAAATATTCACAAATCCCAAGGAGATACATAGGTCCTATAATAAACAAAAGAAAGTTGGGATTATTATTTCGTACCCCTGTTAGAGGGTTGCTATGATAATCCCTTCTTACGCTCCTTCTTCACAGGTCGCACCTATTTAAGCTCTGTTAGGTCGCGGTAACTGAAAGAGTACATTCCTTAATCATTTAGAATTCTTCTCTCTTTTTTTTTTTTCTTTTTTATGCGTTACTAACCATCTCCTCTTCTTAGGTAAATTCCCAGTCTTATCAAAGTGATTCGCCTTTGTATAAATGTTCATCCTGCCAAACAGCCCTTGGAATCCAAGATGAACATGATGTTTCTGAAAGTGTCCGTCTGGATAAGTCTTGTATTTTAATCAATGGCAGCCGCATTCATCCTTCTTATGTCGTCACTTCTGAATTATTGACACTCCGCGAATTAAACGCAATCCATAAATTCTGTCTCACCGATCAAAGTAATACTCTTTATGTTTGGTGCTTCACTCCATATCTTCCTGTCACTTTGTTTAACAGCCCAAAATTAACTGCTTCTTTTCAACAATCGCCTATCATTACGATCAAAACATTCTATGCCTATGATGCCCCTGGGGACTTTGATGCTCAAGATTGGTTAGACATAAAACTACTTCCATCTGTTTTTAAGGAGATTAAAGATTTATTAGAGCTTACAACTCAATGTTTTCCTTCTTCTGCTCAAAAATTCGGTTTTTGGTATGTTGGTTTGCTTCCACGGTTATGATCTTGAATAAAATAGGCAATGTTTTATTAATGGTTTGTTTTTGCACAATGAAGAAATGACTTTCGAACTTACAGAAATGTAATTCATTAAGCATCTCGTGATATCATCAATAAAAAAATGATATTTTCCTTACCGGTTGAATCAAATATCCTTTTTTTCATCTTTTTGATCATCTCTTGATTTAACAGCAGGCCGGCTATAGACATATGTCGCACTAGAGCCAAATACTAAACAAGCACCAAGCACAACAGCACCGCTTAATCGATTACCGAATAGCAGTATGCTTAAACATAGACTTACAAACTTTCGAACGTTTAGAATGATCGTGACGGTTAATGCAGAGCTTTGGGAACCAAGAGAATTTACGCCTCGTACGCACACGTACTGTGCCAATGTATTAAGGCAAAGATACCAAAACGCTGGAGGCATACCAAAAAGTTCAAGATTAGAATTTTCGGAATCTGTAAATAAAAGCATCCACTGTTTTCGAATTGAACTCAATAACGGTAGAAAAAAAGGAATGGAAAAAGCGTGAGTGTAGAATAAACTTTCTCTCCAGCTAGTCTTGTATTTTTTGTATGTATCTTCTAGAAGTAGCCCCATAAATGCTCCAAGAAGCTGAGTGACCATTAATATAGAAAAGCCAATTGCAAAATTAGTTGTTGAACTCATATGCACATGAATATCCTGTGCATTCCCAAGAACTGCGATTACGACTCCGAGGGTTAAAATAACAACGCTTATCATTTGGGCAATTGTATAGCTTTTATTTGCCAACATCCAGCCTACCGCCATGGTGGTGAGGGGCCCACTGCTTCGAAGAATTATATGTACGGGGACAGAAACGTCAAATCCCAAGGCAATATTGTTTAAAACATTGATACTAAAGAATAATAAAACGATGGACAACCACCGTTTTCTAGGTACATTAGGATTTTTCAATACAGAAGGGTTATGTATTAAAAAGTATAGCAGACCCTCTATTGTTATGAACACAAACTGAGAAAATGTAATCAGTAATCCACTTTTAGGATATTCTCTCACAATCGCTTCTAAGGTGTAAGCTGTAAAACAACACCCTCCAAAAATAAAAGAAAGAGCCCCCAAAATCATTATGCGATTGCTGAGTTCTGTCTTGCTTCTGTGTTCTTTTATTAAATAAAAAAAAAGAATGAACCCCTTTAGATGGACACTTGAATATTTTTACAAGTTTTCAGGTAGCAAAAGTCCAAGTGCAAAATGGCTGCTTGCAAGTTGGGATTAAACCCTTTTTCGTAAAAATTGATTTTTTAAATACTCAAGACTTAAATCAAAATACTTTGAATCGTTAGTTAGTTGCTTGATGGAATTCCAAGACAAGCTAATCCTGTTTCCAATTAATTTGAAGTGGATCTCAATCCTACGCCAAACAGGTGATGTACAATTATTTGGTAAAATAGACTACTCAAATAGTTTTAATTTTAACTAATTAATTCAAGAGAATGTTAATCTAAGTTCATCAAAATATAAAGAAAAATTAATAAATGAAACATGGTAATGCAAACGAAAAATTCGTGCTGATCTGCAAAAGCCGTACAAAGGAGTTGACATTATACGTATATTAATACCTTCTCATTTCTGACATTGATTGGTCATATAAAGCTTCATAATCTTTCCGGGCACCTAGCAATCGCTCATTAAGGTCCATCAATTCTTCTTTTTGAGAGGCATACTTTTCTATTAATCGGATGAGTTTGGGTCGTAGAATGATAGCTTCATGGTATTTCGACTGCAATTCATCATCATCAGCCGCTTCGGGTGGTGCAGACGATAATATGTTTAACAAATCATCAATCTTGGGAAGAGCGTCAAAAGTATACTGTTCGGTTTTGAGCATCTGCTCTTTTTGCTCAGCAGTCGGTTCAACAATTCTCTCAACATAATTGACAGGGAAAATTCCTACATTGTTCTTACAGGAACCCTTCCACCAATCTTTAAACACGCTTTCGAGAACTAATATAACATCCCCCTTTTGAAAAGACAACTCACCGGGCTCAGAAGCAGCAAAGTCGTACAGGGCACGTACACGAGAAATTGAGGACGCTGAAGTCGTAGTTAAGGAAGTATCATGAGGTTGGTTTGGTTGTTCTGAACGCTTTTTCTTTTCTTCAGCTTGCTTTTTGCTTTCAGCTTCTTTTTCTGTGGCTTCTGATAACGATAAGGCTAATGCAAATTGTAATTCGTCTTCTTCTTTTTTCAATTCTGAGTTGCTCATTTTTTGCTTGCCCGGTTTCTTTGGGGCTCGTAAATCAACAATGTCTTGTAACGTTAGTAAGTAAAGAATTCTGCAAAAGTAAACCGTACCTAGTTTTCGAATTTCATTGCATGCTTGTTGCATCAGATCCATACTCGGATCATGTTGCAGCTCCATCGCCCATTCATTAACCAAAACGGCAGTCCTACTTCGGACTTGATTGTGAGTGCTTGGGTTCTCTGCTATACGCAAGAGACTATCGGTGAACAAACGGGAGGCGATTTCATGTTGTAATTTTGAACCACAGTTTTTTACTATAGCATCTGTCAACTATCATGGTTTTGTTAGTAAATGCAAAGAATCCAAAGAAATAAATATTTATGTTTATTTTCAGTAACAGTATTATTTATAATATGGCATCCAAAAATACTTCCCGGAAATTTAAAATGCCGACTTACAGTTAATGTCAACAATTGGACATTGGCATTGATAGAATTTAATCGTTTATTAAGGAATTGAACAGCATTTCGACAGCTATTGGAATTTCAAGTTAATAAGTTGAACCGCAATTGTCACATACGATTCTTCTGAGCTACTTGACAGCTGATCGCATACATCCATAATCAAGTCCCACTTATCTTTAGTGTTCTTCTCGTCAGTAGCTCGAAGAATTGCCGTTTGAATAGCTGACGGTTTTTCTCGAAACATGTTGGCAAAGAGTGCAGTCTCTAAATCCTGCTGTTTATAAACTTGCTATGCCGATACTCAAATACAATTGCTTTTAATTCTTTTATGAAATAAAAGAATAAAGAAATTCCCAATTCTAGTGTAATTGGTAAATGGCAAGTATCAACGAAAGCGTTTGCGTTGTGCGTTTCTCAGGCCATAAGAATGTTTTTTATCCGAGTCATAAATCATAAAATGTTGTACAGAAAAGATGTATCCTAGCATATTATAAACAATCAAATGAATACAATAGTATTCTCTCCAAAAATATATGTACAATGTACGTTTAGGAAACGTCGTCTACAGTACTAGTACATGACAGATCGCTTTATGTTTGGATTTAAAAACTATTTATAAATACAGAATGCCCTGCAGATTTAGCTAGCAGTCTACCCTACGTTTCAAGCATAGAAAAAGTTCGTGAAACCTCGGTTTTTCTTCTAAATCTGCATCCTTCCTCCTAATTCTTATCATAACATTTTTTATTCTTTTCTTTTACTTAGTTCTTATTACTACATTCCTATTTATTTTTACGGTGCTTGTATTGTTCCCTATAACATATCACCTAGTAGAACTCACCAACAAGTTTCTAAAACTAGAATCGTAGTCTGCCTGGTAGATGCAATTTATATCCGCTAAAAGGTATTGAATGATACAATATTGGCTAGTACATGAGCTGCTTTTGAAGTGAACTGTATGAGATACTGCCTGTGAAATTCTATTCAGGAAACTATAATATTCAGACAAGTTTGTTTCCTCTTTTTGCTGATCTATATGTAGTAGCTCTTAATTTATTTGAAAAAAAAAAATTGATTTTCTTTTTTGGTCTTTGTTTAGTCTGAAGTTATCGTAAAAGGGTCTTGATAGAATGGACAAGCGATCAGAAACGACGACGAACATATCATTTGATGAAAACATTTCCAGTAGCTCTTTACACACTGGTGAGAAGGAATCTCAACGCACTTCGACTCATGGATTGTATACAGCGGAAGAATTGAGTACAATAATTAGGGAAGCATATGTTCCTAGAATATCTGTAATATGTTCTCGTGATGCGGATGAATTTGCTATAAATAAAGGATTTCCACAGGGGTTTTGGGAATTGCTTTATCCTTTTGGTGACCGTGTACGTGGAAAAGTGCGACGTCGTGATATGCAAGATGCTATGCTTACTCTGGACAAAACCAGTTTACAGTTCGTTCCAGTAGACTCTTTAGAGTCGCACCTTAGTGATGTTCCTGTAGTATCAATACGTGATATATTGACTGCCCAAAATCCAAAACTCGTGCTTCCCGAGGCGCCTTCGAATTATACATTAGGTGTCCATTACAAAAATGTGGAACGATGGGCTTGGACTTTAGCGCACGAGGAAAATCGTGAGATGTCAATTGGTATGTATATTCGACAACTTTTGACGGGTATGCCGGTATCATCTTTTGAAACATTCTCGCATCCCGTCGCGCATCTCGTCGTTGTTACATCGCATAACCCAACTCCTTTTGAATCTCTTCGAGAGATAATTAACTCCCTTCCTCAAATATCTTTGCCTGCTTTTGTTTCGCATGATATTATTTATTTTTTTGTTTATGTTCACGATGAAGACCAACATGACATTGAATTATCAATGGCTATTTTTGATACAATGCTACAGACATTTGGGGAAAGAGGCTATTTTTTGCGACTACATTCACAGAAAGCTACGTTAGACTATGAACATACAATTCCTTTTCCTTGCTCTTCTTGGTTATCTGCTGAAGAGCGACTGCAAATGTTAAATGGCTTAGAAAAAGCACAACAATTACTTTTTCAATCAGATGCAGAATCTTTAAAAAGACTAGTAAGTCACATAGCATTTAATGGTGTCATCCCTCATTTAGACAGGTGCATAAGAATATGGGATGACCAGTATGCATCTCCAAGACGTGGTTTTACAGGAAGGTTGTTTTTTGCTTCAAAAAAACTGATATCAGCACAGAATAACTCCCATAATTCAAATTTTTTTGCTTCTTCTAATGTCTATCGGCCAGACTCTATAGAAGCCTACCTTCGAAAATTAGCAGATTATTCCTTTATGCTCCGTGATTATGTGCACGCCAACCAAATCTATGAAATTGCATCAAAGCAATATGCTAATGATGACGCTTACCTATATTCTGCCGCTGCTTCAGAAATGATTGTTATAACAGAACACATATTGCACCTTGATCGCCCTTACATGAGCCTAACGAACAAATTGCGCCTTAACGAATGCATGCAATTAGCCATGGCAAACTATTTAAACAAACCTTTTAATTCATACTATCACGCTGCTCGCTGCTTTCTTTTGTTAGGTCAATACCTAAGCAGCTTCCCTAATCCCAGAGTAGACGATGCTGCTAATTGGAACACTGGCTTATTGTTCTCGAAGCGATTGGGTCCGGTAGGTAGAGCTATTGTATTTCAGCAGACTTATGAGCTTTATAGACAAACTGGGCGGATAAATTCGGATTCGCTGGATTCAAGAGAAATGAAGCGAGACCGTAAAACAGCATTTTGGTGTGTAATGGCAGCAGATGCTTGGTTACGGTGTCATATTTCCTTCCGTGCTAGACCTTTTATAGATCAAGCAAAGGACTTCTATACTCATGTAGCTTGGCAGGATTTAAACGAATGCGTAGCCAAGCTGGGTGAAGTAGATATGACTCCTAAATCTCAAGACAAATAGTTTTACATTCACTTACAGGGTGGTAATCAAAAATATAATAAAATGTATATTATTATGATTTCATATTCTTTTTAATAAATATATATATATATATTTGTATATGGAAACAACGACATTTACCATGGAAAATGTGACTAGAAACTCAACTTATGCATATGCTAAGAAAAGAATGTTCATAACTCAAACATGAGTTGAATTGAGAGACTTTAGTTATTAGAATTATCAATAGTTGTAGAAGTAGATTGTTCATTCGGTGAAGAAGGAACAGATTTTTTCACAGTATTTTTGGCTTTTTTTACAAGGTCAGCAAAATCATCTGCATAGGTAGATCCCCAGTCAGTACCTCCAAGCTTTTCTTTTGAAACAGGATTGGTATTACTTTGAGTCTTCTCCCATTTGCGAAGCTGGGCTAGAAGTGCCTTCTTTGAAATTGGATATTTTTGATCCAAATTAGAATTATACATAGTGACCCATTGAGCATGTCTTCTTTGCAAAACTTGTTTATTACCATCAGTAGGGAGGCCCATCTCGGCCAATTTGGAACGTATTTTAGATTCAGAGAGTAAAGCATAAGTAAGTTTTGGAATTCGAACACGTTCTGATTCGGGTAATTCTTTATTAGTCTCCACAAAGTTATTAATAGGATTCTGATCAAGATGCTTTTCAATATTCTCTGGTGGAAAAGGAGCATCTTCTGTTGAAGATTGATCGGGATTAGCTAGACATGTATCTAAATGCTGATTTATTTCGGACTGGGATACCTCCCTCGAGCAAACAGGACAAACGACGGGATTTTGAATTTTTCTTTTCTTTCTATTTGTAGAGCTTGAGGAATGGGGAGTTTCACTCTCGTCCCATTCTTCGGTGCTTGACTGGGAATTTGGGACTGAAAGTGCAGGCGCATCATCACCGTTTGAAATGTCTTCAGGAGGATCATCCTTCTTTAAAATTTGAATTAATTCCATACGGATAGAAAAGAATGAATCCAAAATATCTTCCATAACCTTATTTTTTCGTAAACGACTTTCCTGCTCAGGAGCACGACAAGCTGGACATATTGGATGCTCCCTTAAATAATCCCGAATACAGTAAGAACAGAAGGTATGAGAGCAAGATGTTATTACTGGTCCTTTGAAGAAATCGTGACAGATAAGACATCTCATGGAGGAATCCAGTCCCTTTAGACGTGGCAGTTTTGTATAATTCCAGTCGGAAGGATCAGACGGATTATGGTTCTGCATAGCTTTATGAATAGCTTCAGAGAAAAAAAAAATTTTTATTAAATAAATAACATGTGTATAACAAACGACTTGAAAAAAAAAAGTGGCCGCCGCAAAAAGTATTTGTTAATTGAAACTTTCACTTACGCGTTTCGAGAATGTCTAAATGCAGATTTATAGTAATGAATAAGTTTTAATTTTATGACTTCCTCATGCCCATGAACTTCCCAAAGAGAAAGAACCAACGAAGCTGGTAATTAAAAGATGTGTACACACGGTCGATTCACTTGGACTAAACACTGCACATAATAGTTTCGGCATTGAAGGTCACGATTTCATTTCTTAGGAGAAATCCTTAGGTAATTTAAACATAAAAAAAGTAAATATGTCGGATGTCGATAAGCTCTTGAATCGCGTTGAAACAACCCTTAATAAGGTAAGTAATTTGTCACAGTACTATACTCAACAGTTCTTTGTGAAGAAACCTAGATCTCTGTTCGAAAATAAAGGAATTTCTCATGATGATGGAAGATCATTTGATGCTTTATTTTCTGGTTTCTTCAGGATCATATCTTAGCAAAATGGGTGCTAACGGGTAACAGGGACGCGAAATAGAAAGAATAATTGCTTCTTTTAAACTGAATGCTTATGATGTTCTTGGAATTTTACCTGGAATGAGTGTTGACGATATCAACAACTTATATCGAAAGGAATCACTTATGATTCATCCAGACAAAAATAGGGACAACCCGAAAGCTGCAGACGCTTTCAATATATTAAAAAAGGCTCAGTCTGATTTACTTAATGAAAATATACGAGATTCTTTGGATTCTGCATATACGACAGCAAGAAACCAATTGATTGCTGAAAAAAAGTTGAAATGGGACTCTGAGGAGGTGAAATCTGAAGAGTTTTTATTTGACCTAAGAATTCGCTGGCGTGATATCTTAATTGACGATGAAATTGCAAGGCGGCGAGCAAGACAATTGGAGTTGTCTTACCAACAAAGGGAACAGTCAAAAAAAGACGAGGAAACCAAAAATCGCAAACGAAGAATGGAATCGGATAAGGTTTGGGAAGAAACTAGAGATGACCGTGTAAACAATTGGCAAGATTATCTGCATAAAACGAAGAAAAGCACTATAAAGAAGAAAAATAAGAAACCAAAGGTTTTGGGATAAACGACGTACTTATGAATGAACTAAGATAATATGTGATTAATCTTTGCTTTTTGTGTCTTATATGAACTATCTATAAGGTACTAATGAACATGTTTGAGCTGAAGATGAAAAGAATTAAATATACTTACACAGGTTTCTTCAACTGTAATTGAAAAATAGAAAACTACTCCAATAATGTAGAAGCCAAAAAAGAAAATGGAATAAAAAGCATTCATATTTTCAACACCATTCTCTGAGAAAAAAATAAAACAATAAGAAAAGGTAGATTAACTGCAATTCAGTCGGAACATAAAGATAGGCACCAGCATGAGCTTTTTTGTTCTATACACTATAAAGCGTTTCCAAAAACCTATATTTTTATAACTTTGACTTTAAAGCTTGCCGTACAATACCCAAAGTAATAGAATATCAGATACACATGGATACAAGCAATTAAATAAAGGCAATTATTATGATGACAAGTAAAAGAAAGACTTTAGTAAATAAATGAATCCGCTTATTAACATAATATGCTGGTGAAATAATTAGAGAAGTAAGCTTTTGGGCTTCTATCGCCTTTAGAGAAACTAGTTAAAGAACACGATTGAAGGCATTTTTTATCGTATTTAAACGTGTTCAGGAACTGTGGTCATTACCATGAGCTAAAGGACCTTCTTCAGCTCCATCGTCCTTATACCGCTGAGTCGCACTTTGAGCACGATGAGCTTGAGCTTCAGCTTCCCTTTCAGCTGCTTCTCTTTCTTTTTGTTCCCTTTCCATTTCAGCCATAATAACTTTATCTTCATCACTTGGTTCGTAAATATGCCAGATAACATAGTGAGGAAGACCAACAACGGAAAAGCCCATGCGCTTAGCCATTTTACCAAAGCCCTCAGTTTCAGCATGACGTTCGAATGAGAAAGCAGGAAAATGGGCACCCTCAAAATAAACCTTTGCCTTAGACATAATTGAAACACCGCCGATACCGTCTAAATTCATTTCAGCATTAGGATCACCATTAGGATCACGAAGGTATGCCAAATGAGGTCGCCATGTGGCATATTCGGCATACCCTTCAACAATAACAGCATCTTCATCAAGGGTTTCGGCAAGCTGAAGAGCAGTTTCAGATTCAGACCATGAATTCAAATCATAGGCTTGTTCAGTGGTACCAAACCACTCAGGAAGAGGGCGATATACGTTGGGTACAATAACATCTTTATCATGACGCATCAGATCTTCCAAAATAGTATTTGGGGCAATTTTAACATCTACATCACGCCAATAAACCCATGAGTGATATGGCTTGAGAGCAGCGGACAGCAACCAGTTACGCGCGCGTGCCATAAGTTTGCGTCTTGGACCCTGAGCAGCAAATCCATGTCGATCGCTAAATTGCTGACCAACTAGCGCACCAAAATCTTTTAAATAAATGACAGCACTGTTGAAACGCATGTTAGTATCCTCATCTTTTTGAAGAATTTCTAACTTGGATTTTAAAGAATCGAGGGTGTTATCATCTGTATCAGAAATTAAGAAGGCCAAATCAATCAAGTGATGAGGATAAGTTAAGTTACGTAAATGTTCGAAAAACATAGTCAAATGGTCCCGAGCGTTTCTAAGAGGAGCACAAATAAGGATGTGTCCGCTTTTAGAATAGTCTCCGGTAAATTTAACATTCATTAAGTCACGTAAGTCATACTCCCTGTATTGATAAGAAGGATCATCATTCATCGTATACAAGGAAGTGGGTATTTGTTCAACAGCTGAAAAGAAAGAGCCATGGAAAAACATGAAAACAATAAATATTAAGCCAATCACACCGGCAATTCTAGCACCCTTCTGTCGAAACATGGAACTTCCGTAACTTTTGGGGTGAAAGCGATTCGGTAAGTTATTGAACGGTCCACCATCCCTTCCGAAAAGCTTTTCAGGTTTCATCTTGGAAGAGATTATCTGAACGGTTCTCAAATAGTTTTTTACGGCTAATCTGCCAGAAACTTTGAGAAGTAAGGTTTCGGTGTGGTTGGTAGTGAGAAGACGATGCTAGCCACCACCACTTTCAACACTAGGTAGGATTCGTAAATTCAAGAAGGCTAATAAAAGAGCAATATCTTTTTTCGTCGCGAATAAAAACAAAAAGTAGTTTATATTACACGATTTGATGTTTCGTTGAGTAGCCAATTATCCACAAAATATACAGCAAAACGAAAAAGGATAGAAGGATAATAAGGGGGAAAGAGGGACAAGCCAAAAATTCTAAAAGAGTAAAAAGTAAAAAATTATACTATATAGATGGAGTTAAGAGTTGATTTAGTTAGGAATGTAAAATAAATAAAATATATTAAGAGAATTTGGTAGAGCAGTATGATACGAAGATTACGTTACTCTCATGCTAGCAGTACATCCAATGCCATTCTATTTTTATTCGTGTAATAAGAGTGTCATATATGAATCTAGCTAACTTAATTTATTAAAGCTCGGCCCGACAACGTTTCAGATTCACACATCTTGTAAACGATATAGAAGCAATGAACAAAATTCCTAGATTAGATGTGAATATTGTAACCCAGAGACAAGAAATATTAAAAGTAATAATAATAATTAATCTAGAAGAACAATAAATTACTCAAGCACCCAGATTTTCATCCTTTCTCTCTAAGTAGACATTTTAACTGCATTAGCCATGGTAATAACTTTAGACATTTCTTCGACGTCGTGTACTCGAACTATATTTGCACCCTTCAAAACACTAGCTGTTACTGCCGCAGCAGTACCCCAGATTCTTTTTACAGGTTCTACTTCATTGGTGTAACGGCCAGTAAAACCCTTGCGGCTTGGTCCAGAAAGCCATTGTAGATCCATAAATTCGGGTTTTTTAACGAGTTCATCAAATCTATTTAATAAAGCAACACTATGTTCAGGTTTTTTAGCAAACCCAAATCCAGGATCAAGAATGATGTTATAACGGGGGATCCCAGCTTTGATAGCAGCCTGCACTCTTTCATTCAATTCTTCAAACACTTCTTGAACTATATCTTTTTCATAATTAGAAAGAGAGTTCATGGTCTGAGGAGTACCTCTCATATGCATTAAGCAAATTGGAATACCCGCTTTTGCAGCAAAAGAAAGCATCTCTGGACATTTCGTTCCAGAAGAGACATCATTGATAATATTGGCGCCTGCAAAAATTGCTTCCCTCGCAACTTCTACTTCAAAGGTATCAACGCTGATCGGAACTTGGATGTCAGCATTACGGATAGCACGTATTACTGGGACTACTCGATCTATCTCTTCTTGGACGGTAACCGTCCTCGCATGCGGACGTGTCGATTGACCTCCTATATCTAGAATAGAAGCGCCGTTTTCAACCATCCTCTTCGCGATTTCAACAACGTTGGTTTTTGTAACAATAGATCCGTCGGAAAATGAATCTGGTGTTATATTAATGACTCCCATGGTAACTGCACCTTCCTTAACAGTGTCACTTAAATATGTGGCGTAAACTTTAACTCCCTGAGCTGGTAACTCTTTAAGTTTTGTAAGTAGTAGTTGTTGAGTAGCAGGATGAACGAGAGTACAATCTAAGGCTACTAATGGTCTCAAAACAAATTCCCGTTCCATCATACCAGCGTGAGGTATTGTAAGCTCTTTAGACTCATAGATACAGTCTTCATACATCACGATATCAAGATCTATACACCTTGGTCCTTTATCAATCATCTTAACACGGCCTAATTGTTGTTCAATGAATTGACATGCTCGAAGAAGACTCATAGGTGACATTTTCGTCTCAATTTTACAAACACCATTCATGAATAGCGACTGATCCTTGTAATACATAGGCCTTGTTTCATACAACGGAGAGACATCTAAAAGGTTAATACCCTCAATGTTAGAGAGAGATTTTAGGGCAGTAGCTATATTTTTCATGCGATCGCCCATATTAGATCCAAAAGATATATATGCTATCTTTGGTACGCTGGACTCGTACTTGTGAATGGAATCGAGCAAGAAAGTTTTTCTGGAACGACATATTTGAACAGCAGGAGCATCGGCAAATGTGATAGCACTAGGTTTTTCTGCTTTGATGTGCACACAGTCAACAGATAATCCAAAGCACAGAAATTTAGAAAGTTTATGTACCAAAGCCTCGATAGTGAGGAAACTAGAAGTTTCAACGAATTTCGCAACTTCATGACAAATATCGGAGATTCCCAGAGAGTCGAATTCTTTGTCGCCGTCTACAGAGAAAGCAACGTCTAAACCTAACCTTTGTTTCTCTTTGCGCTCAAAAGGATGAATACCTATGATAGTTGCAAGTTCTAAATCAAAGATTTTGACACTGTCTCGATGGTACTGACTATGTCTTTCTGCATCATATACCAATCCACTTCTAGAACGCAGAATCTTCTTGGGTAATCGGATATTCACAGAAAAATCACGAAATTTAAACTCATTACGACAAGTAGCAGCAATCGTATCAGCCATGTTTCGTAAGCCGCTGAATTCATTGTTTTCGATGGTTTCCAAGACAATTTTGGAAGCTATTCCATAATGAATAGAATTCTTCAAGTCGTGATTGTCTTCGCCATTTAAACGAGTACCTAGAACCATACGCAGATTAACTTCCACGGGTTGGAGAGCTGAACGTCTCCATTGATCTGTGCCAACTTTTGCATTCGTTCGCAGGTTCTGTACAAGTATGCTATCGAAATTATAATCGATCTGCTCTTCATCCTCTAGGGACATACTGGTTAAGTTTGAAGAAAGCATTTTACTCGAGAAATGCTTTTGATTACAATGTTTGAAACAGGTGAATGGCCTGAGCAACCTTGGCGATTGAAGAGTAGAACTTAGTACGTGTCCCCGACACCTAGGTAAATTTGCTTTCCGGTTCTGTAACAAATGCTTAGGGACTTTTTTCAAATATCTAAAAAGATTAAAGCTACCACTCATGTGACAGCAAGTAGCTTCAAGTGAGCTTCTCCGTCTTTACCTGTGCTGTGTGTAAATGCAATGCTTGTTACTTTGAATGTTACTCTTTCCTGAATGTTTACAACTCGTATTCAGCATTTGAGCATGTACTTACAGTATCAAATAACACAATGTTTACTAAAAAAACTGGTCATGATCAAGAAATTAGTGGTAGAAGGCTGCATATAATATGCGCATACAAAATAGCCTGCTGTTAGTGGATTGTTATGGAATCATCATAGAAATCGTGCCAAAGGCTCTTTTATTTTAATGAATTAAAAAAATCTACTCTTAGTAAGACACAGCCGCTCTAATCCAAAAGTTCGTACTTGCATATTTCAAGTCACAAAAGGTCGCAAATTCGTATTAGTAATCATAATAATACGATGAAAAGAATTACATTACAATTGTGAAGACTTTTGCTGAGGTTTCGTTGTTGTTTGTCGATGTATTATGAACCTTACAGCTCATTTTTTGTTTTCAATCTTCTTTCCGACTTTTTTTGATCATTTTGGTGCTTAAAGTTGAATAGTTAGGATGCATTCGGTCAAGTTGTTCATGAAAATTCAGTTTAGCTTAGACATGAAACCGTAGATAAGAAAATTAATCATAAAAATGAAAACTCTATCTTTTAAAATCCAACTGTTCGTACGATTTCTGCTTGCTTGAGCAGTCAGTATATTCAAGTCAAGGCCCAGAGATTTCTTCTTTCCTTGTTGGTTTATGTAAGATGCAAAGCAGTATAGTAAACTTTTAGAAACAGCAATTATAGTCCATAAAAATTGACTCCTCAGCACTATGAACAGACATCGTGCGGTGTTGGTGTGATACTTTCTAGAAAGTTTATATAGAGTTACATAAAACTAAGTATCAAAATGTTCATATTTCTTTCATTGACGGGTTCAAATGGTATCCAAAGAAGCGGTGTTTATAGCTGACTTTACACTACACTCCCTACTATTAAGACTCCATATATGTTAAAAAATGGAGGAATGGAGAAAATATTTGGAAGTAAATATAATAAATGATTCATCAGCGGTAAAGATTCCATTTCGTTAAAGGATAATGGCAATTATCTAACGGTGATAGGTGACGGAGACTTCATTTAGTATTGATTCAAAACTATCTATTCAGGATGCACAAAGGTAAGATTTGTTCTATGTCTTTTGTTCTAGTCTAATAGTTAAGTTATCTGAACGCATTCTATGAAGAAAACAATCAACTTTATCCGGTGTATATTATCCATGGTGTACCAAAGGACCTTAGTTCCCTAGTAGATTTGGACAGCGAGTCAGACAGTTTGCTGCCAGGCTCTCTTTCCCAGTATGCTCTTGCAACGAAAAATTCTTTGCCGGATATTTGCAAGCAATTCGAAGAGGGGTATAAGACGCAAATCTATGCACTATCGGCAAATCCAATAGTCGTAAGTCTCAAAGGATAATTTGTTTTTTCTTGCTAATACTGAGAAGGATTTTGATGAATTATTGCCCATCATATATAAACTACGAGGTAAAGATGTCATATACCAGAAAGAGGATTGTGAGAAATATGGATTTATACATAATGAGAACTCGACAGTATGTTTTAAAGTACTTTACGCCAATATGAACTAACTGTTTATTTTATAGCCTCGACAATTGAAAACCAAAGGGGCACCATCTACCACGAAAGCTCCTCCAAGTATAAAAAAAGAACCGGCTGGAGTGAATCCTCAAAAATCAAGGACAAATACTTCTAATCTATTCAGAAATGTAAAACCTCCGAGCTCCCGACCGGCTTCTACAGCCAACAAAACGATGGAGGCGCCTGAGACTAAAAACATACCGGAGTCCGTTTCTACTGGAAAGCCAAAATTACAGACGCATCAACTTGAAAAGGAGAATGATGATTTGAAAAATATAATGGAAATGGATGATGATCATGATACAATCAACACACCAAAGGAATCGGCGAATTCTGTTGCCGCAAGTCCCGAAGGTGCAACAAGCTTTGACACAGAATCTAATAAACCTTCAACTGAAAGCGTTACCCCAGAACCACAGGAAAATATTACATCAATTTCTAACGGGCGAAAACGTGGTAAACGTAAAGTTACTAGGAAGGTCACCACCCACGACGACGAAGGATTTTTGATTACAAAAGAAGAACAGGCTTGGGAATCCTTCTCTGAGGACGAAAACGAGAAGCCCAAAAAGGTTGCTCCACCAAGGCCTAAAGCATCAAATCCTCCTTCCCGTAAAAAAAGCGGTCCTCAACAGGCTGCAAATCGTCAGCAGAAATCTATCATGTCCTTTTTTGGAAAGAAGTAATATCATCCTTGCAAAAATCTCATAGTTAAATAAATTTACTTAGAATCAATCGAGTTATAAAATAATAAATGAAATATATTTTAGTCGCTGCTCTTTTACATTTTAAATCATTATTATTGGCATCGTCTAAGCTTTGAATGTGACTACAGTCATCAGACTTCTTTATGGATCGCAATTGTCTCATTATATGATGACCAGTTTAACAACCGCTGTAGAGAATTACATTTTCTAGTATATACATTAATCACATGGAGTATAGATATTTACTAATTTTTGTTATAGGTTGGGTGTAAAAGACAACACCAACTTACGTTCTGTTTTTATAAATTGTTATATAAACAAATTAATAAATATTTTCTTTCTTTTACAAAAAGAATAAATCAAAAAGGTTACTTTACTTTTACGCTAATCTTTACCAAAACCTCGTCTTTTGCTGTTCCAAGTATTTGTACTTTCACCTATACCCATACAACACTTTGAAAAACCCACACTCTCGTTATAATCTTTAATAATGGGGGATCAAAAGAAACCAATTAACAAAAAACATAGTAATGGAAAGCAAATTGTTAATGATCCTCGTTTTCAATCTGTTCATTCAGATCCCAGATTTTCGAAAGTTCGCCGTGGCAATTTGAAAGTTAAAGTTGATGAACGTTTCAAATCATTGAAGGAAGACAAAGATTTTAAAACTACAGCTAGTGTAGATAAATACGGAAGAAAGTTAGACCAAGACAAATCGGCGAAGGAAATTGAAAAACTGTATGATGTTGAGGATAAGGAATCCTCTTCTGAAGAATCTGAACCCGAAAATGAAAACGAAAAGAAAGTCAGTGAAGAAGACTTAAAAGCCGAAGAAGAAGAAGAGGAGTCAGAAGAAGAAGAAAGTTCAGAAGAAGAAGACGAAGACGAAGAGCCTGTGTTTGATCCAGCTCGCGGTGAAGGTCTCGTAAGCACTTCTGAGAGTGATGAGAGTGATGAAGAAAGTGAGGCTGAAGCTCAGCCAGAAGTTACTGAGCTTGCTGGGCTAGAAACTGAAGACCGTATTCCTCGCGGTACCGAGACTAGCAGACTGGCCGTCGTAAATATGGATTGGGATAACATTCAAGCAGTTGATCTGTTCGCAGCGCTCTCTTCTTTTTGTCCTCCTTCTGGAAAGCTGAAAAAGGTCTCTATTTATCCCAGTGAATTTGGTAAACAACGACTTAGTGTTGAGCACGTTCAAGGCCCTCCTCGTGAAATTTTTACCCCAAAAAGCGGGAACTCTTCCTCGAATGATCTTCAAGAAGCTCAAGAATATGGGTTCGACGAAAAAGAAGAATCTGAATCTGACGACGATCAAGCAGCTTTGGTCGAAGAGGATTTGGGTGCTGAATTCGACATGGTTAAACTACGTCAATATCAATTAGAAAGACTTCGCTATTTTTACGCAGTCGTTGAATGTGACAAAGTTCGTACCGCGAAAGCTATATACGATGCTTGTGATGGTGCTGAGTTTGAAACTACAGCAAACATATATGATTTGCGTTTCATTCCTGATGACGTTAGCTTTGAAGAAGATGAGCCCAGAGAAGTTTGTACAAAGATTCCTGAGAAGTATGAACCTCGTGAATTTGTGACTGATGCTCTACAGCATTCTAAAGTAAAACTTTCCTGGGATGCAGATGACCCAAACCGGAAAAATCTCATTAAAAAAGCATTTACATCTCAAGACCTTGAAGATTTGGATTTTAGCGCCTATGTTGCATCTAGCGAATCGGAGGATGAAGATGTCGATGAGTTGCGCACGCGTTATCAAAAATTGCTAAATGGAGATGGAGGTGATGAAGCTGAACGTAATCCGTTTGAAGAGCCAGGCAAGCCAGAAGGCCTAAATGGTGATATGGAGGTGACATTTACCTCTGGGTTAGATGAAAAAGAAGATAAAGGGGGTGAAGAAGATGAAACCACCATAGAAAAATACAAACGCAAAGCTGCTGAAAGGAAACAACGAAGGAAAGAATTAAGAAAAGTCAGGCAAGAGGAAGTGAATGGAGAAAAGGAAGAAGATTTAGGTTTTGATGATCCTTTCTTCCAAGGTAAAGGTTCTGTAAAGAATGGTAAGAAGAAATCCGCAAAACCAACCGAAGTTGAGGAAGATCCCAGTTCTGCAACAAAGGAGGAACTTGAAGCTATTGTTAAAGAAGATGCGAATGACTCTGAGCACCTAGATCACTTTGACATGAAGAGTATCTTGAAAGCCGAGAAAAGCAAAAAGGGACGTAAGCAGAAGAAGAAGGCTGCTGAACTGGAAGGCTTGCAAGAAGGCTTTGAGGTTAATGTCTCAGATCCTCGATTTGAAGCGTTATATTCCAATCACAACTTTGCTATGGATCCTACAAATCCTCACTTCAAGAAGACAAAGACAACAGAAAAGATCCTTGGTGAAGGATTAAAACGTCGTGGACATCTTTTGGAACAAGCAGAGGAAGGAAAAGTTGAAAAGAATGTTAAGAAGCGTGGTTCCGTGAAGCAAGATAAAGGCGAGGATCTTAACAGAATAGTCCAATCCATTAAAAGAGCAAAAAAGTAAGGAATAAGGGATAATTAGTTTTTTTTGATAGTTTATTTTTTTTTTTGGAAAAAGGTTTAGGAGTCTGAAGATGAAGATTTTGGGTTTTCAAGTGAATAGACAGTTATAATAATACAGGTATATGGTTTAAAAGGAATAAAAAGGTAGGGTAACTTTTCATTTCTTTGGGTGGGTATCTTCAGAGAAAATCAAGTTAACGCTCAAGAAAATTGAAATCTATTCTGTTTTTGGAAGATAAACATAATTTTATCCGAATTGTAACTTTGTATAGTAAGCAAAGTAAACTTGCTTGTTGTTATCATTGAGAAAGAATTAGTTAAGTGGATTTTTTACCTTGAGTTTGATCACGAGCGGCGTAAATCTTTGCGGTAAAAGGTCTATAAGGTTAGTGGTACTGTTAAAAATGATAAAAAATAGGACAACTTACTCTTCGAACATTAGAGCTAAACGATAAACAAGAAAGACTTCTAAAGTTAAGAGAAGACCCGCGAGCTTACCGTAGCGAAGAGCGGTAGAAAGAAAGCAAAGTGCAGAGCCATTGTACATTGGATTTTCAGTTACGCTGAATGGAAATCCAGTAACGCGTGTTGGAAGAAGAAATCCAAAGTAATCACCGAGATAGGTTCCAACAATACCTAATTTGTACATACTCGACAAAACAAAAACACTTCCGACGACAAACGAAGCTTTGGAAAAGAGCTGAAGAAAAGGGTTTAAAAGCAAGTTAAAGGTAGGCTGTTGTTTTAAAGCATTTTGGTAAATCAAATCACGTACAATTCCACCAACGAAAATACAAGCAGCCAACGCGTAGCAGGCCTTAAGAGAGTTTCCATTTGCAAGCTTTGTCAATGTTTTCTTGTTGTATTCGGAGCGCGCAGCAATGTTCCAAAGCAAAGGATTCAAGCCGATGGAAATAGCAGCAATAAGCAAAGACTTGTTGAATTCAATGAAAGCCATATTGAAAAGGAGCAAATGAAAATTGAAGGACGATCAAGAGATGTTGGATGTAGGAAGGAACTGTGAGGCAATGGATAGTAGAAAAGCTGATTATCGCCGTTGTATTTCTTGATATCATCCTATCTGATGTACCTTCGAAGTAACAAGAGCCAGTGTAAACAAAGGAAGAAGAAGGAAGATAAAGGAAGCTCTATTAGAAAAGGATGAAATGGTGTAGAAATTTGTAAGCCATTCTTTGTTAACAAGCCAACTTGTTCATCGAATTTGCTTGCGTGGTTTTCGACTTTATATACACAAACCTGTCTGACTGACTATCATCGTCTGCTTACCTCTATCCAAAATACTCGTGTTGTATTTTTTCTTTTACTGTACGGAATAGAAATGAACGAACAACATCGCAAGTATCTTTACAAACAAGACAACAGCACTATAGAAAACAAATTCCTTGTCAACGTACACAGCTAGAAAACTGTCCACTGAAAGCCTGCTTCGTCAATTGAGTCTTTGATGGTTATTTTGAAGTTGAAGTATTATAATTACTGTCTTCGTCTTCGTCATTGTTGTTTTTGTTTTTCCTTGTTTACTGTTTATTCTTTAAGACGATATTATAAAGCTGCAAACGAAAGCCATTATCATGCTTCTTCAATTCTTTACGCATTGCAAGGAAGGCTATGCTATTTTGTTACTACAAGATGTAACTCGTAAGATGGATTGATTAATGCTTTTATTACCCTCATTGTTCATTCAGAAAGTGACGTAGGAATCGCTCAAGCTTCTTCTATCTTTATCAAAACAGTTACATTTGAAGTAAGGACTACCAACATTGTTGGAAATAAGACCACGTCCTTCATTGCTGTTGAAAGCTCGTTAAAGTTCGCTTTTGGGAAAAGGATTAAAGTAAAGCATAATCAGGTGTGTCTTCTTTTTGACATGTTCGTCTGTAAACGCCTAGCTTCGTCTCCTTGGAAACGAGCTGTTTCTACGAATATCGGTAGATCTCTATCTACTGCCCCGAAGGAATTGAGCCGAGAGGACTCGAAAACTTTGGACCAGGTCATTCGAGTTGACCAAGCTGGAGAACTCGGTGCAAATCAGATTTATAGAGGACAAAATTTTGTTCTCCAGTTTACGGATCCCAAAGTTGCACCCACCATCCAACATATGTGGGAACAAGAAAAGCATCATTTGAGAACTTTTGACAACTATATCCTCGAAAACCGTGTACGACCAACTCTGCTTCGGCCTTTTTGGGATGTAGCTGGGTTTGCCTTGGGGGCCGGCACGGCTCTTTTAGGTACAAAAGCCGCAATGGCATGCACAGAGGCGGTCGAAACAGTCATCGGTGGCCATTATAATGACCAGCTTCGTGATACAGTTCATTTGAATGATGCAGCACCAGAACTGCAAAAGCTCCGCGATGACTTGGCAGAATTCCGAGATGATGAGCTAGAACACCTCAATACTGCTGTAGATGATTGGAATGCAAAGGAAGCTCCTGCTCATGGCCTATTGAGTAATGCTATACAGGTCGGCTGCAATACAGCCATTTGGCTATGCAAACGTTTTTAACTCCTATGAGATCAGTGGATTTTAGTTTATTTACTATAACGAAAGAATAGTAATCAAGTTTTATTGTTGTCGGTTACAAATCCTTTCTTCAAGATAAGAGTATTTCCAAATACATACATAAAATGTCCTCTAGCAATTCAGCCTTTACACCAATTATCTATTCTTCATTAAACAGGATGTAAATAAATTAAAAGCAAGTCATGTCTAGATCGAGGCAAGAAATGGATTAAGTAAAACGAACCGGTTTTTCATTGCTTCCAAAGAAGACAAAACCGATTACAGCATATAGAAACAAACGGATTAGGGGCCAGTACTTTTTTCCTTCGAGATATCTTGGAAACGATGTCCTTCTTTTTTTTTTTTTTTATTCTTGGAACTTGCGCAACGTAGAGAGCTCATCCAATATACCCTGTAAAGTTTCATCGTCGACTTTATTTGCTAGACTGGGGATCAAAGTCCGTGCTTCTTCTGCATCTTCACAACACAGCGTTCCTAATTGAGCGCGCTCAAATTTGTGAAACCTGTTTCCAAGAATTCTAAAAAATAGAGATTAACAACAAGGCCCCGAAACAGTCGAAGATTCTTCATACCTTTCGCAAGCGTAAGTAGACTCTGCAGTTTTAAATCTTCCAAACACATTAAAATATGCAAGCGTCTTTTTCATGACACTTTTTAATGTTAGTAAGATTCATGTATTCTATAAATAGTGTATTTGAGCATACTCAGTCATAGGGATTTCCCCATTCGCTTCTCTAGTTCTTTGCGCCATGACGGTATCAATTAAAATTTTCGCCTCAGAAACTGTGAGCATATCTTCATTTTCAAACTCTTATCACGTTAGACTACTGTTCATTTGTTCCACTTGACAATAGCAACACACCTGGTCCTAGTTTTAATTGAGTTGCATCTTCTTCAAAAATTGCTCTAGGCATCCTGTTTCTTGTTCTTTCCTATTCTTCCCTCCGAAACGTAACGAAACTAAATAAAATATACAAAATGCTTCCTTAAAGAAAAAGTTTTAAGTCCCCTTTCACCTTTCTGTTTTTCTTGGGTTGTGTTTGCATGCACGAAAGGAAGATTTGCAGACTTAACGACCTACTGTCACCTTCCGTAATTAAATTACCAAATGCGTTCGGCCACAGTAATAAACAGAATAATGGCAGTTTTCTATGAAGGTCTATTCAATTTAAACAGATAAATAAAAAGAAAAAGTTACTATTCAAGGTTTCTTTTTTAAAGCGTTTCTTTCCGTTGTCGTCAGGGCATGGAAGGAATCGGATTGCTTTTTCTTTGAGCGCTCGTTAGATGACAGATCTTACTTATATCGCAAAAAGCATAGTCAAAAGTACATGAGCAATACCAGAATAACAAAATGTAGTATCAAAAGATTTTAGTTCTCAATAATGAGTCTGTGATATCCCTTATATTAACTCAGGTGTTTATGGAAACATCATTCAAGGAATTTGTTTTCAGAGCAGCCTCCTCCTAAGAATCTCATGTTTTTTATAGATAAACATGCGCAAATAAATGTGTTTTTAACTTTTTTTCTGTCTTTCTTGATACTTGCATGAAAAATTACTAGTATTTGCAATATAATTATTTCTCTCGATAGAGTTATAATTATGTAGGTGTCACGGGAGAAATCTCACACGTTATGAGAATGTAAATCGAGTGGAAGTAATAAGTACAATTACAAAATTGTCTATTGGAATTGGACGTGTTAGTACTACGTAGAGTAATAGTAATATGTCCAGGGATAGTGTAACACATACCACACTTTAAGAGTTTTGACCTTATTGTTATCACTCCTCCCATAGTGGTTATTAATTATCGAATTAATATACCAAGCCAGTACTAGCAAATTGAGTGGTCTTCTAGGTTGGCTCCTATTATTAGGCTTATCTACAGGTATGGGCATGCCTCTCCTGTAGTAATGGTAATCACTAACATTACTGGCATTACTAGCAGTGTCACTGATTGAGTCTGGGTTATAGTCAAGGGGGTAGCCTTTTGCAAAATAGCGATAAAAGTTCTCTAGATCATCTGGATGTTGTCTAGAGCCGCTAACAGCATAATCATTATGTGAGCGGATTTCAACATAAGCAGTAACGTTACTACTGTTCAGGCACTGTTGTACCGCATTCACATATCGAGCTTCAATGATATGGCTATAATCGTTCCCGGCATCTAGCCAAGCGGTGAAACCATCGTCAGTATAAGTATAAATCCTTTGCAAAACTGCTTTACCATCGAAGTTCTCTTGAATACACCTGCTAATTTCACTGGTACAATTGCTGCCTGGATGGTGCCACAATAAGACTTCAGAATGATGTGCATATATTTTTAAAATAGTGGAAAGCAAAATAATTCCCGTTAAAAGCATTACGGCTACAGATAAAATTGTTTCTGTATATTTGCCATCGTGACTGGCTTCTCTAATTAATAGCAATAATCACGAATTGAAAATTAAATCGGAGTTTCTGCATTCAAAGAGAAATTTGCATTTTCAAATTTTTCTTTACTTATTATCAAGCACAATTCTTTAAGCTTATGAATATTAACTGATATTAGCTAATATTCCATTCTTATAACGGATTGTTATATTATGAATGCTAACGAGGGACCCAATTATGACAGTAGGTATAGTAATCGTTGGTATTGGTACGCTGTTTCGTCAAAATTATCTAACAAAGGTAGAAAGAAAGTCTTTGCGTTTGTAAAAGAAATTGAACAATTTCTAAAGGTTGTGGATTGCTTATTTCGAAGAATTGATCCTTCGTTTAGTTATAAACGTACTTGTTTCGTCTGTCGTTGAATAGATGCAAGGAAAGTTCCAAAGTCACCAATTGGATTGAAAGAGAAACAACAGCAACTTCCATCTTTATTTGAATATAAGTTCAATATGAGGAAAAAAGTTCTTTTGATGGGCCGTAGTGGAAGCGGGAAAAGTTCCATGCGAAGTATTGTCTTTAGTAACTATGTTGCCAAAAATACTCGAAGACTAGGTGCTACCATCGATATTGAGCATTCACATGTACGATTTCTTGGAAATTTAGTCTTAAATTTATGGGATTGTGGTGGTCAAGAAGCGTTTATGGAAAATTATCTATCGGCTCAAAGAGATCATATCTTCCGTAATGTTCAAGTCCTTATTTATGTCTTTGACGTCGAATCTAGAGAATTTGAGAGAGACTTGGTCACTTTTCGGAATTGCTTAGAAGCTACTGTAGCCAATAGCCCCCAAGCACGGGTTTTCTGTCTGATTCACAAAATGGACTTGGTTCAGGAAGACCTTAGAGAATTGGTATTTGAAGAAAGAAAAGCAATTCTACTAGAAGCAAGCAAAGAACTCAATACGACTTGTCTAGCGACTTCTATCTGGGATGAAACTTTGTTTAAAGCATGGTCAGCAATTGTGTATACTTTGATCCCCAATACTCCCACATTGGAATCTCATCTTCGAGAATTCTGTAAAGCCGCTGAAGCTGCTGAGGTCGTTTTGTTTGAAAGAACCACATTTTTGGTCATTTCTTCTTATTCTTCTGACGAAAACATCGCTGTCGATACACATAGATTTGAAAAAATTAGCAATATTGTGAAACAATTTAAGCTAAGCTGCAGTAAAATGCAAGCACAATTCACTACTTTTGAACTTCGTGGTGGAAATTTCTCTGCATTTATTGTACCCTATACTGAAGATACATACATATTAGTAGTCATAGCAGACCCTGAAATAGAGTCTGCGGCAACTCTAATGAACATACAAAGTGCTCGCCGCTATATTGAAACGTCCAAATCGAACAGTGCTCAAAGTTAGTCCTGCTATTTTCAATTCTTGTCATGGATTCTTTTCGTGTTCAGTTATTTTGCTTCATTCATTGACTTCATAAGCTTTAGAAATACAACCCTTCTGCTACCCTAGCTTTTTCTTTTCTTTTTTTTATATATAAAATTTTTTTGATGATGTTTCTTTTTAACGGCTGTTTATTCATAGGTATTTCAATAAAGTTACTGTAATACATAGCATCACCCCTTATTAAATTCAACTCAGGTTTTCTTTTGTTATATTCCGCATTATTATTCATCTCATTCTATGATTAATCTATATTAAACTAAGCCTAAAGCGATATAAAGTCGATATTATCATCTACTGACTGATTCATATCTGCCGGTTTATGGTCTACACCAGAATTATTATTTGCTATATTTGTTGCATCCTTTTGCTTGTCAGCTGTTTTTCGATCACCACTCTTCTCAAGGGCTCCATGATATAGACGGCATTGGGGATTAGCACAGGAACCATTGATGGCGAATTCACCGCACTGTAATATGTGTTTCTCTTTGCACGAAGTGCCGCGTTCGCAATAATTATACTTGGCGAATTCAAAACAAATAGGTGCAGTCTCAGAATAGTGTACATGAACATAACGACAATTCACATTATTGCATTTACCCTGTAAAAAGTAATAGCAAGCGGGTATTCGCTTCGTGTCCAAATCATGTGAAAGGCTACAGTTATCACCTTTTGTACATTTCTCGTTCAAAAACTTTGGACAAATCATTCTTCTGGTAGGATCATGTACAAACATACATGAAGATCCGTTTGCACAGTAACCACTGGAATTATAATATCGGCAATAGACACTAGACGGAGAATTGCCTACCTCCTTATAAATATTCTTCTTTGTTTGTATGTAAGCTTTGTTATTCCAATAAAGGTGTTTCGGAGGGCTTGGGTCTTCGTCAACGTATTCTAAAACACTTGTACTGGAAACGTCAGCCAAATAAGTACGGTTGTCTATTGATAAAAGCTGTTTCTTTCCACTCTGCAGAGTACTTTGGATGTAGTTTTGGATACGTGATCGTCGTTCATTTTTGATTTTTTCGCGGTAGGACTCCAAGCTAGCTTGCCTAGCCTGCAGATCAAGCTCAAAAATATTTTTTCGAATTAGCTGCATATGCCGATCTTTTTTGGATACATATTGGGAAGTATCGGTAATGGAATTTTCGTCATTCTTTATGTTATGATGCGTTGAAGGAATTGAGTAGGGTGCCGATGCACCAGATGGCCGAGGGACCTTTGTAGAGGGGTTCACTACGAGCGACTGATTTCGAGATGCAGCTCGCGGAAACTTTTTAGCTTTCCATTTCGTATTTTGGTTTTCTGGGGGATTTGTAACTCCTGTAAATTAATTAGCAGGTTACACTCGTTAAATGAAAGCCACTATATACCTTGTTGATTCTTGTAAGTGTTGATTGCGCCTAATAAGTTAGTAAAGGTTTTCCTCCATAAGCCGTGAAGAAGCCTGTGCTGAAAGGGAATTGTTTACACTAAAGTTCAAGATAAAACCATTGAAATACTCTTAATGAGAGACGAACACAAGCCAAAATGAAAAAAAAAAAAGACTTACCGGCAAGAGAGGCTATTTGCTGCAATAATTGCTGTTCGTCCATCTTTTAAAAATTTAATGTGAGAAATTTGAACAGCACATAAATATAGTTTAACTTTGAGAAACAACTAAAAGATGTAAAACAAAAAAATCTAAGGTAGAAAAAAAATAAGGCCAGAAATAAGTCCTTGTAGTCCAAAAAAATAAACAACTTCTTTTTTTATAATGGCTTTTCTAATCAATATTCAGCCAACTTTCAAGTTTTCTATTTTGTTAAAAAAAGAGAAAATTTGTTACAATAAAATATGTCAAAACTACACTCTGGATTCTACCAAGAAAAATTGGGTGGTGGTTAATGGCAAGTAATTCGCAGTATTCTATAACCCTTCATAGTTACATGTGAGTGGATGGTAAACAAAAGTAAGGATCCAAGTAAATGGTTTTATTAGGAAAGAAAATAGATAATAGAAGTAAAAAATAAAACAAAAGGAAAGATAATTTATTCAATTCGTCGGTAAATTGTTGATAAAATTATGGAAGGCAAGTTAACTTTTTTATGGAAGGCGATCCCAATTGTTGAGAGTTTCGGTTTCTTATAAAAGAAAAGAAACAAAAGAAAAAAAAATCATTTGTAATTGCTCTTTTTTTCCCTCAACATAAAAGCAATGCTCTGTAAGAGGATTAAAAACTTAGAACTACTCTGAGTACAAATCTTAGAGTCGCGACAGACCTGTGTTTCTGACCTACCCTTTTTGTTTCTTCATCGAAATGATTGCTTTTGAATCTATTTCTCCTTCTTAAACTGCACTTATCTCGTTGTTTTTACAAGGTTTCATCAACGTTTCGGGTTCTTTTTCGACCTGGAAAGGAAATGTTTGTTTTCATAATTTCCTTTTCTGAGACTTTTATTTTTTTATCTTTTTAATTTTCATTCGTGAATCATTGATATTAGATGTTTTCTTGGTATTGTCGCATTTAAAACCAAAAAAAATAAACAAATAAAACAAATAAACGAACGAAATAGTGAGTCAAATATAAAGTACTTTATACTACGTTATTACTCTATATATGTCATACGGTATGGCAATGCAATTTTATTAATTTATTGGCTGTTGAATGCCGGTAAATCTAAGAGGAGGAAGAAATTTTTACTTTACCTAATCAGTTCAACGCCTAACGAATATATACAAAACGGGTCAGGGACATTCTCAGTTGACCTTTTCCAACTTTTATAAGACAAGACGAGCATCCCATTTAGGAATTCTTTGAATTGTCGCCAAGTCTATAGGAAGTTTTCGCCATATTTGCTAGAAAAAGCTTGGATCGAAGATTTGATGCAAATTATAAGCATATTACGATTATTTATTGATAATTGAATTGTCTATTTTTTCTGATTGTTTTTTCCCTTTTGAGTCATTACTACTAATTTTTTCCCCTTTCTTTTCTTTTCGTTTTAGCTTTTGTGCTTTCTATTCAAATTCTCTCTTAATATGCAGTCGTCAACTTTGGTTTTGACTTCTCCTAGTTTTGCCTCTTCCGAACAGGAATTGAAGCATGTCTTTAGCCTTATCGATGCCAGTAGTGAACGTGAATTGCAAATGATTGACCGTGTTCAAACAAATTTGGTGACTTTACCTGTGAACAAATACGTGTCGGTAATAGTTGCCTTAGACAACGCCAACTGGTCATCAGTCTTGACTCCCATATTTCCCCAGGTGTTTGCTTGCATTCAACCTGGTGGTAGTTTACGTGTCTATTCTTCTGTCGGTGGCAACGACGAATCTTTCGAAATGACTGCTTTAATGGCCGGTTGGATTATTGAGTCCAAGAATCCATGGATTTTATCTCGCCCCGCACAAGTCGAGGCTGTGCCCATTAAACTGAACCGCTCCAAAGATGGAGTCTCGAATGATATCAAAAAGCCTTTAGACTCTTTGAAATCTAAGAAACAGGTCGCTCTTTCCTCGATTCAAGATGGAGGAGAAGACGATGATCTGGACGTTATTGACGAAGATGAGCTCATTGATGGTGCAGATCGAACTGATGAGAACGTCCTTCGACCACCCGAGTGTGAGCCTGCTCCCGGTAAGAAGAAACGTGCCTGCAAAAACTGTACTTGCGGCATGCGTGAAATGGAACAAAAGGAATCTTCAAAGGCATCTGCTCAACTGGAACCTGTCAAATTAAGCGATACCGGTGAAATTGACTTTACAGAAAAGTTAAAGAGCAAGAATGCTGTTTCCAGCTGTGGAAATTGCTATTTAGGAGATGCCTTTCGTTGCAGCGGTTGTCCATACATTGGTCTTCCGGCTTTCAATCCCGGTGATCCAATTGTCTTGGCTGAAAACCGTGATAAGATGTCCTGGATGGCAGACGACCTTTAAAACCTCAATACCGAATAGCTTTTGAAACTTGTTTTATTTAGATGTTCGTTTGTAAATTTAGTTAACTATATTCCTTTCCCCTGTCTTTGTTTACCTGTTAATTTATGATTCAGTTTCATTCTTTTTGATTAAAAAGCTGTTGCTTTTCAATTTCTTGAGCTGCTTTACCTTGTAAGGATTAAAAGATATCGAATAATAAATTCATTAATTTGTAGTACGAACTAATAGATTGACATATCTTGAGGGGCATGTATATATATAATCATATAAGTCACATACTCTACCAAAGGAAGCGTATTCCTTAATATGGATATATACAACTCCATAAGTCTTCTCCTATGAAGTCGAATAAATCCTGGTGTCACGCTATTAGCAAATTCCCTGCCTTAGGCTGTTAGGCCAAGGTATGTTTGCTTCTCCTTTGCCATCCAAGTTATACTTATGGTGGAGACAATGATGGGACTGAGCAAGCCAACACCCATGTTTGCACTACGAAAAAGAAGCCATTCACTCAAAAAGTGGAAGCTGGCCAAGTAGTAAGTGCACTGACAGATAAAGTAAATACTAAAAGAATAGTTGGTTAGAATAGAGCTCAAACCATATTAGACTTACTCTGGACTAGACATATGATAGGCACAGTAAATACGAATAAGCGCACTTAAAAAAGTCCATAGACCAAACGTGCGGCCCTGTAGTCCATTCACTATAATTGAACGTTAATAACCGCTACACTCTAGGATGTAAACACGTATAAATGGAACAGCCTGCTCAGTAAAAGTTGCAATGAGATACCTTCATTAGAATTACTATATACGCGTTTTGTCAGTTTGGGAGTAATATAGGATTGAATAGTATTAAAGATGGCAGTGAAACCAACCAAAAGGTTCCATTTGGCTAATGTGCCTTCCGGAAGATTGCTTAAAACATCATAGACAAGGGTAGAGGAAACCATGTTGATTGAATACAGTTTGGTAGACTTAAAGGAATGGTGAATGAATCCTACTGTTTCGGTGAAAAGAAGTCGCTAAAGATCCGAGTGATTAGAGGAAGTGCATTTTTCAGACTTTTTGTTTTTATTTATTTATTTCTTTTTTCTGTTGCTTTTTCTTTTGTTATATGTAACCGCGATTTCGTTGCACCTTAGCCAACAAATGTCTATATACCATCTTATAAATTTGTAAAGATAGACATATAAATAAAGATATTATGGCTATGAACTTTAGTAATTAAAAGGAACAATAACCAGCCGTAACCCTTGTCTACTATTTACTGAAACTTTTTCTTAACATTCATATTACGATGCTAATAGTCAACTATGGAATTGATAGTCGTTACATTTGCTTCATAAATCTATAATATTAAAACTGTTTGTTTCACATTTAAATTTCCTTTAATAATTTACGTATTATTAAGATCCTTAGCTTTTGCTACATCGTTTATTTTGACGGTGCACTAGTAAACAAATAACCCAGTCACAAAAATTTGGTCCACGAACAACGCGCTGAAAAACTCCATTTCTCTGTCTATACAAAGCTTGTTTTAATTTGCTTTATGCTTCCGTTGATTCTAAATATGTAATATGTAAATGAATGATGGGCGGTCAGTCATTTTTTGCGAGCATTCATTATAAGAATATTGTCGGGGTTCCCTGCTTTTTACACAGGCGGAGTACTGTCTAAAAGAATATTGCTTCTTCGACGAACACAATTTATTACTAAATTCGGGAAAAAATTGTCATTAAATGTCGCGGATGCGTTGTTTAGACAGTCAAACTGTTAGAACAGGGTACCAAGAAAATCGCATCTTCCGATTTCTTTCCGACCCTTGAAGATTTTGATTTATATTTATCAAGAAAAGCATACCTTTGAACTCGAGAATGCCTAACTCTTTCGAACTTTATCATTCTCGCTGCTACAATTTGGTCAAATAGCGAAAGCTCTTCCTGCTGCGTTTATTACTTTAACGGTGTTTATTCGTTACGTTAAGCTTAAAAAAAAGTGTGCTGGGATACAATGGCGACCTATGACGTCACTTTCAATTCGCTTCGGAAGAGTGCCACAATTCGAGGTTTTACTAGAAGCTGAGAACAAAGGAAGCTGACAAGCACTCACAGAAGAAAGCTCTTTGTAATCAAGTCTGAAAGCATACATCGATATTTTTATACATGTTTATTTCCAGGAAAATGTAAAAATGCGAAATGGTGTAAATTTTTGATCATTTAGTTTACAGAATACATTTGACGGAGAAGTGGCGTCACTATATATATAGGTATTGATCCCCTCAATTGTGAAACGAACCACATCCTTTTACCATAATGCAGATTTTCGTCAAGACTTTGACCGGTAAGACCATTACCTTAGAAGTTGAATCTTCTGATACAATTGACAATGTCAAAAGCAAGATCCAAGACAAGGAAGGAATTCCTCCTGATCAACAACGTTTGATTTTTGCTGGTAAGCAATTGGAGGATGGCCGCACTCTTTCTGATTACAACATTCAAAAGGAGTCTACACTTCACTTGGTCCTACGTCTCCGTGGTGGTATGCAGATTTTTGTAAAGACCTTGACCGGCAAAACCATTACTTTAGAAGTTGAATCTTCCGATACAATTGACAATGTCAAGAGAAGATCCAAGACAAGGAAGGAATTCCTCCTGATCAACAACGTTTGATTTTTGCTGGTAAGCAATTGGAAGATGGCCGCACTCTTTCTGATTACAACATTCAAAAGGAGTCTACACTTCACTTGGTCCTGCGTCTCCGTGGTGGTTGTCTATAAACTGATTATGGTTTTCTTACGCTTACTTTTCGATTTATTTTTTTGACGAGGTAGTTCATTGAAATGTATCTTTTACATAATTATTACAGGTGCTATATGCAATGTCAATCTTTAATGATTAATCGCAGTCAAGTAAGGAAATAAACATATTGAGTAAACATGGGATACTTTATTTGTATACTGGAGAGTAGTACAAGTTCATTATATCGTCCAGATGGTAGAAAGATAATGTAATAGCATAAAAAATATGTGCGTTAGCATACGTAAGATAATCATGAACGATGCATAACCGTTTTTAGGGATTTGAATTAATACGTTTACAAAAGTACCTGGGTAATTTATCATTTCCTAAAGATTTTGTGTTCTGTATGCTTGTTTGAATTAAGAAATCTGAATCATTTATTCGGCCATAAGAATGAGCAAGACGCTGAAGCTTTACGCATATACGTGCGCACCTTTAATCTTCTTGTTCACTTTTTTATATATTTACTTGAATTTTGGTAATAACCAAAGATTAATAAGTTCTTTATGGGAGCTTAAAGGTTCAAATTGGAAGATCTCCAATGAAAGCTCGTCAGGAACATTGGCAAACTTGATTCCTAAATACGAAAATGAACAGGTAATTCGTTTATACCATGACGGCTTAGATGAAATGAAAGAGGTTCAATCGTACGCCGAAAGCAGCAAAATTGACATCTGGGAGACAAATCCCCGTTATACAGATGTTCGACTCCATCGAGAAGTCGTGAAGGAAATAATTTTGAGAGTTCCTAATTATAGAGTTTTGATATCAAATGTATCTATGGCTCTTACTAATAGTCTCCCAAAGGAACAAGGAATTAAGAACCTGCCTCCTTTAGATTTCAATACTCTCTCAGCTATGAGCCAAGAATCAATATCACAATTATACCTACAATACACAGAGGAATTTTATAGAAATTACCAAAATATTGAAGCTATCAATTCCTACCTTCGTCTACTAGCGTCCATGTATAGTGACTTATGTGAACTGACTTCATTAGGGACTACCGCTGAAGGGCGATCTATACTTGGTTTAAGAATTCATGGTCGAAAGTCAGATGGGAATGAATTTTTTAATGAAAATAGGAACGAGGTTATTATTCTGCAGGGTAATGCTCATGCCCGTGAATGGATATCTATTCCAACATTATGTTACTCTGCGTGGAAATTGTTAGCCCAGTACGATTCAGATAATCGTGTGAGAAAATTACTTGATAAGTTTGAATGGATCATCATACCCGTGCTGAATGTTGATGGTTACGCTTATACCTGGACAGAAGATCGTTTTTGGATGAAAAACAGACAAAAAATAAGCAATTCTAACTGCAAAGGAATTAACATAGATTATGATTGGGGATTTGGTTTCAGCGGAGAAGAAAATCCTTGCAGTGAGTTGTTTGGCGGTTCTGCACCTTTTGAAGCTAATGAAACATTGGCCATGTTTAACTTAATATCAAGCACATTACCAAAGGAAAATAAAACCACCTTTGGGTTTTTAGATGTGCATTCTTATTCTCAATCGATTTTATGGCCTTATGCATATAGCTGTGATTTACTCCCTGCAGATGATGAAAACTTTCAAGAGCTGGCAATGGGTTTAGCGAAAGAACTTCATCGGGTAAACGGTAGATTCTATTCTCATCAGCAAGCCTGTGTACCTTTTGATGGTATTCATAAGCATTATCATCCTGGTGCTGCAATTGATTTTGCTTATTTTGTTGCTGAAGTTCACTGGCCATTTACGATACGCCTTCGCGATATGGGTGATTATGTAAGAAAAAAAAATACTAATTATTTGATTTATGCATATTAACCAATTTATAGGGATACTTGCTACCTGCCCATGAGATTGTACCTACGTCTCGAGAATTTTATGCCATGCTTCTTTATTATGGTCAGTTCATTGCAGAAGCTGCATACTGAGAAGACGTGATTTGACGCTATCAATTTTGGTTTTTATAATATTGAGGAATAATGGAATTTTCAAATGTGTTCATCTAATTTCAAAGGTTATTTATTTTGTGCGCTTCCTATCATAAACTTGGTATCCAAAGCAGGTATTGGTGTGTATTTGATGCTATTCTCAGCAAGATTTTTTGACAATATGAAAAATTATATTTTAGTGAAAAGTTCTTAAAGAGTTACTTTATCCATGAGAAATCTCAGCGTCCTATTTGTTCCTTAAAAAGGTAACTACATATATAGAGATATTGGAATGAAGTTGACTAGAGCCAATTTTTAAAACAGTCAACCAACAGTTTTGGTAAAGCTACTCGCATTATTTCTGAATTACCAATCATAGGGAGCAACCCCCATCATTCCTACTTGCCCTCTCTCTTCATAGTCCTTGGACATTTATACGAATTTTTCACTATAACTTACTTAATATCTATTAATTAATACAGAAAAAAAAAATCATAACTACACGAGTAACTATCTCAATATTTAGAATAACAAGCAGTGTTTCATACTATTATATAATACTATATGTTTATAACAATCTATCTACAATCCACAGGTAACCACTGCAAACCATATAGATTCCTAATAAAAATGACTACGGCTCATGTATGATTATTTATTTTTTTTTTATACATTACTTGACTACTAACTTTTAATAGAGACCTCAATTTGACCCTGCTCGGGGTTCCTCAGAGATGGCGCCCACGAGGATTACCGCTAGTCGTGCATTACCAGCCCATCTGAAGCTCAAATACAGAAAATCCAATCAAGGCACACAAGAAGAGCTATCCAGGAAGGATTTTCGAGAGCAATTGCTACGCTCCGAAGCCGCCCATTTTGCGAATCGTGAGCACGGGGCTGCTGTCGACAAACATGCCGAGGCACCTGCTGCGATTGAGGCGAATCCGGAGACAAAACCAAACGAATCTCAAGAAAAAGTGGATTATGAAGAGCTATTGAGGAAAACCTTTGAGGAAGACGCTGATTCTAGTGAAAGTGAAAGTGATTCCGAGGAGGAAGAAGTTACAGAAGGAGAAACAAACTTGCCTGCTGAAAAACGATTAAAAAAATCCGAAGAAGAGCGGTCTGATTCAGATTCTAACTCTAGTTCTGAGGACGATGATGATGAGGAAGATGAGACAGCGCAACTTCTCCGAGAACTCGAAAACATCAAACAAGAGAGACAAAAAGAAAAAGAAAAACAAGAATTAGAAGCACAAAGAGAGGAAGAAGAGAAACGTGAAAAGGAAATCGCTTATGGTAATATTCTATTAAACCAGTCATCTACGGGTTCTTTTCAAGTTAAACGCCGTTGGGATGAAGATGTTGTGTTTAAAAATACACATAAAGGCATTGACGATCAACCTAAGCAAGGCTTTATTAATGATATGTTGCGAAGTGATTTTCATAAAAAGTTCCTTGCTAGATTTGTTCAGTGAATCCTTTTCTGTCACGATATTATCCGGCTTTTTTATGATTTATATTTCATACCAACTGTACAATAGAAATAAAGGTTATGGTTTTAATTAAGCAAAATAAACATATACGATGGTCGATGCCCTCTATATGTACTTTGTAATTTATTGAGCGTAAATAACCCAGTAGTTAAGCATCACAAATTGAAGTCTACCTTTGTAAATAAGAATTTAAAAAACCTGTTCATTCGCCTTGAGATGTTCTTCATATGTTGTTTAAAATGATCGCTGAACAGAATTCACATGACAAAATATCTTTACTAATCATTCATCAAAATTTCGGTTGAAATTGTTCAGCAAAAGGATATGCATTTCACAAGAGGTTTGTTTACAAAGTAGGGATAGCTACTTACCTGTGCGCTAAATATTTTATCATCCTTTTGTTGTTGTTCATAAACATTACTTACCGATGTGCAACGTAGATGAACGCGACCTTACTTGAATGAAATTCCATCGGTGGTAGAGAACCTTTCCCTTACCACGACCGCAACCTTTACGAAAAGAAAAAGCAATGGCTTTGCGAGTTCCTAAGGCCTCTGGGCCTCAATTATTTCGCGAAGGCTATAGAATCATGCAAGGTGTCGAAGACGCCGTGATTCGCAACTGTCATGCCATTCGTGAATTGTCTGAAATTGTATGTTGGATGTCTTGAAAATGACCTTTTATTCAATATGAAAGCTTCTTGGACTAACTTAAACAGACAAGAACATCTTTGGGACCAAATGGGAAGAATAAAATTGGTATGATTACGTCGAAGTTTTGTTTGTTGGGCTTTGTTGAGCTAACCTGATGATAGTGGTAAACCATCTTCAACAAACATTCCTCACAAATGATGCCGCAACCATTATCAGGGAGCTAGAAGTAATCCATCCTGCAGCAAAACTTGTGGTCGATGCTACAAAGCAGCAAGAAAATGAGGTAGGTAGAAAGTCGTTGGCATCTCTGCAAAAATGCAGCAAAAAACATCTTTATTCCTCTTACTAACATCAATAGCTCGGTGATGCCGCGAATTTTGTGATTGTATTCTGTGGTGAATTATTGGCTAAGACTGAAAATATGATTCGTATGGGTTTGACTCCTTCAGAAATTGCAAAAGGCTTTGAAATGGCATATGGTCACGTTGCAAAAGCATTAGAAGAAATTGTTGCTGACAAAATCGAAACGGTGGAAAATGAAAAAGATTTGATCAAGGCTATACGCACTTGTATCTCTTCCAAACAATATGGCAACGAAGACTTTCTTTCAGACTTAGTTGCTAAGGCTATCCTCACTGTTCTTCCTCAAGATCCTTCAAAATTCAATGTTGATAACATTCGTGTTGTGAAGATTATGGGTGGAAGTCTTTACAACTCCCAAGTTGTAAAGGGTATGGTTTTACCAAGAGAGCCAGAGGGAACTATTCAACGAGTCAAGAAGGCCAAGGTTGCTGTTTTCTCTTGTCCTTTAGATATCTCTCAAACTGAGACTAAGGGTACTGTTCTATTGCACAATGCTCAAGAAATGCTCGACTTCTCCAAAGGAGAAGAAGAGTCGATTGAAACCCATATTAAGGAGATCCACGATGCTGGCGTTCGTGTCGTCGTTACTGGAGGAAATGTCAATGACTTAGTTTTGCATTATTTAAATCGTTTTGAGATTGCAGTCGTGCGTATTCCCAGTAAATTCGATCTTCGTCGCTTATGCCGTGTTGTCGGTGCTACTCCTTTGTCCCGTGTCGGCGTTCCCATGCCTGAAGAAATGGGCTCCGTTGACATAGTCGAAACCATAGAAATTGGAGGTGATCGCGTCACTGTCTTTCGCCAAGTTGAAGATATTACAAGAACTGCTACAATTGTCTTACGTGGAGCCACTAAGACTTACTTAGATGATATTGAACGTGCTATAGATGACGGTGTTAACATTGTCAAAGCTCTTGTGAAGGATAACCGCTTACTTTACGGTGCAGGAGCAAGCGACATGCAACTTTGTACTAGGCTTATTTCCACTGGTGAAAAGACACCAGGAATTTACCAACATGCTATCAAGCAGTACGGTGAAGCCTTTGAAGTTATACCTAGAACTATTTCCGAAAACGCTGGTTTGGATTCTACAGATATTCTCAGCAAATTGTATGCTGCTCATCAGAAAGAAGGCGGCGAATCTATTGGAGTTGATGTTGAGGTAAGTTAAATCCCTGCTTATTGTTTTGTTAACCTTTTTTTCTTTTTAGTGTGAGGATGATGGTGTTCTTGATGCTAAGGAAGCTCAATTATTTGATGTGTTGGCTGCCAAACACTCTGCCATTCGACTTGCAACAGATGCCGTGTTAACAGTCTTAAACGTCGATCAGGTCGTAATGTCAAAACCTGCCGGTGGTCCTAAGCCTCCTGGACCTAATCCAAATTGGGATGATGATTAATAGTTTTGTCTGAAATCAAAATTACGAAAATTTTTCTAGGTAGAATGAAAGAAGTGGTTTATTTTTGCATGGCAATAACTTTAGACTGTAATCGTAAAGTTTGATAAGCAATTTATTTTTGAATATCCAGCAAATATCCAGTGTTCAATGAAATATTATTCTGTGCTTAGACTAAGAATTGCAACTAAAGCTGTTCCGTATCCATGAATTTTTTAATATTTCTTGAGAATATGGGCGATGATCCCTATGCACAAGCAAAGATTGAACTAGATCGCGTGCTTCAATCCATAGATCCAAAGAGTAGGAGGCTGAATTATCGCTGAGTTCATGTTCCTGCTTTTTTGGTGGTTTACATCGAATCCAATTATAAGTTAAACGAACTAACCTTTGGACATATCTTTTGATACGTATGTCAGGTGGATCTTCAAAAGGTGGTATAGCATCAAAAGGCAAACGGCCTTCTATCATTGAAAATAAGAGAATACCCAACGACCAGCAATCAGCTTTAAATCCATCGTGAGCCAGACCCATGTAGATTTCTGGTGCTGAGTATTCTTGACTGCCACACTCAGACTGTACTATATGACTTTCCTTATCGACGAATTTAGAGAATTCAAAATCAGACACTTTAATTAAAGGAAGTTGGTAAAATTGTAAACCTTTAACTTCTCTGAGATCCTCATATTTCTTAGTCAATAAAATATTTTCCAGCTTTAGGTCACGATGTACAAGCAGTTGATCGTGTAAATAAGCGACGGCATGGACTATTTCAGCAAAGATTCTACCTACAAACTCTGGAGAAAAATCGGTATAAAAGTATTTGGTACATTCGTAGAGGTCGCCCCCTTCATAGAATGATTCCGCCAGAAAACCATTTAAAGGAGAAAGGTAATAATTGATGAGATGAACAATTCCACGATGTCGTAAAGAACACAGTACTCGGATTTCCTGTTGAAATCCTTTGAACGCATAAGAAGCCAAACGTTGTGACTTAGAAACACATGAAAGTTTCTTTATTACTAAGTGCCCTATGGAGGAGGTTTTTGAATTGGTAACCAAGAAGACCTCCCTGTTAAGTCCAGACGATAATTGCTTTGTAAGTATCCAATTTAGCTCGCTTTGTAGATCAATTTTGTAAACAAATCCAGTTTCAGATCCAACAGGTAGAGAGTAAAACGTCTTTTGATTGCTTGGATGCAATACGGAAGCCACTTCCCAAAACTGTTTAGGTTCAAAAACATGTGAACAGCTTGATGCAGATTTATCTCCTTGTACTTTTGACTCTCCAATCGAAGTCTCCTTGCTGAGATTCCTCGTACTAGTATTTAAAGAATTGATGGACCGCAAAAGCTTTGGTTTTTCACCAAGCCTTTGTTGATTTTGGTCAATTTTACCCAAAAAGTTTTTATTCTGATTCATTAAATTACATTCTTTTGATATTTTTATGACATTCGGACAATTGGAGTAAGAATACAATCTAGCTAAAATAAGGATAGAATGTCTGAAGTGTGTCAATGAGTAAATTAGGAAAAGATAGGCAGGTTCAATTCCACTCAAAAAAATTTCAATTTTTAGTAAATTAGAAATAAAAAATATAAATACTAATTGTCAGGATAAAGTCCCGCCGCTATAGAGTCTTCAGAAGAAGCTGACCCTTCTTTTTGAAAAGTTTGAAAATGGTCTGAAGATACAGCCTTTTCCTCGTGATCTTGCTCTTCGTTCGGTATGTTATCGTAGGAGTTGTCTTGCTCTCTGTGTGTTGAAGCAACTGAGGGAGGTAGAGGAGGAAAGTTTGGTTCGACGGAATTGAGATCAGCAGAATAAGGAGCATGATCTATGGGAGGGGAATAAGAGTCTACCTCTGGAGAATATGCATCATCACTGTTATAGTTAGGATCTTCTGAGGTATTAGCATCCACTGGGCTTTCATTGACGGGAGGATTTCTTCCTTCAACGACCGCGAGTATATTTGTCAACTCTGAAACGTTTGCTTCTTCTTCTTCTACTAACTGTCTTTGCTTGTTCAACAATGTCTCTAAAGATGATATTAAAGCCAGGCGGGATTCAAGACAAAGACGGTGTGTTTTTTCGCAGGAAGATACCGCGTTTATAAGCTGAGCTTTAAACTTATCATTTAGCTGTGGATCATCTGATGGCTTTTCATGAAACGATTTGTATAAGACATCAACAGCACTTTTCGTTGTAGCTGAAGATTTTGCATGGATTGATGTTTCCACAAAAAGTTTAGAAAGAGACATCTAGGAGCGAAAAAGTCAGAGGTTATCCAAATAGTGAAAAAAGCATTGAAAATTCTTACCCATTCGGGTTGATCAACAGCTGAAGGTTGACCAAGACGATTATAATCCGCTTCCATAAATTTATTCTGAAGATCCGTTAAAATTTTTTTCGAGAATATAGCACGCTGGCACCAAACGTCGTATACGTATTTGATCTTAGTTTTTATGGTAGAAGGACAACTTGCATATGCTTGTGGAACAGCTTCTACGACAAACTAAATCGAAAATATCAGTTAGCTGAATGAAACTTTGTCTTAATCAATATATGGCTTTCCTTTGTCATGGATACTTACAGGTGCAACAGCGTCAATCAAATCAGTGATCTTTTTTACACGAGACTGCTGGACAACCTCATTAATTAAATATAGTAGGAGCAGCTTTTTGTTGGGCGGAGCTGAATAGGTTAAATAAATGAATTTGACCGTGTTGTTATCATATCAACAAACCTTCGCGTAGCGATTCTAACCACAGTTGAATAATTTCATTCGCATATCGTTTGTGATAAATAACCCAATGTGCGATTCCTGTTATACTCTCTTGGGTCTCATTTAAGGACACTAATTTCGCAGAAACGATTTCTGGAGTAAGCGCCATCCTAGCTTGTGGTGGTAAAATCGTAGCAAATGTCAAAATATGATACAGTCATAATGGAAAGGGAAAGAGCTAGATTAAACAAAAAACATGAAGAGTCATTATATATAATTTTATAATTTTACTTCATCGTTTGGACCCCGGAAGAATATGTGATACTGAATCGCAGAAAGATATTTGTCTATTGTTAAAGTATGCACAGACTATACTACCTTGTCAATTGACCTTTGCTTTAAGAACATTTTTAGAAATTCCTCTTTAGAAATGAATAAAGCATCGTTTGCTAGCAGAATTCATCGCATATGTTTTGTTTACTAATGAAGCCCAAGGAGGCTTTCAGCAGGCTAATTTGTATTTTACAAATATATCGATTTGTAGTTTTGTAAAATTAGGTATACATTTACGATTATATACAGTAAAAGAACACTATTCATGGAAAGCCTTTATGGTACTGCTTTCTCATTACGCGCAAATGGTTTGTACGGAGTCAACTATTTACTCTAAGAATGCCTGATCAACAAAGCCTTTAAATTCAGTGATTTTGTTTCTCCTTCTTTATTTATAACATTTAAACTTGCTCTATTAAATTACTAAAGAAATCTTAGCTCTCTAGTACAGACCTTTCCCAAGCATTAATTGTAGTAACGAGTTATAACGAAGAAACTCATAAAGGAAATGTTTACCAAAAGAAAAAAAATACTTGTAATAAAAAAACATGTATTCTTTTTCATACATATTTATTGATTCATTGATGTATTCAACTCTTGGTAAATCGGTAATACAGCACTGCGCAACAGTTCCATTCCCCAACCCCAGACCATATCTGTACCACCGTGCCCTCAGTACTCTTACCAAGTGTGCTTGCTTTCAAGTTCATAGAAATAATCAAAAATGTCTTGTTGGACGCTTGTTCAGCAAGATTCTTTCTTAGAGACTCCATCTGCTGATCAGTTAAAGACAGCGTTGGAGTCCAAAAATGACTATGTTAAAATCAGCGCCATGAAAACAATTCTACGGATTATCATCAATGGGGACCCTTTATCTTCTATCCTAATGCATGTTATTCGTTTTGTGATGCCATCAAGGAATAAAGAACTTAAAAAGCTTCTATATTACTATTGGGAAATCTGTCCTAAATACAATAATGATGGTACGATGAAACAGGAGATGATTTTGGCTTGCAACTCGTTCCGCAACGACCTTCAACACCCAAATGAATATATTCGTGGAGCTACCTTGCGGTTTCTTTGCAAGTTGAAAGAACCAGAACTTTTGGAACCTCTTATTCCTACGGTTCGTCAATGTTTGGAACATCGTCATGCCTATGTTCGTAAAACCGCAATCATGAGTGTGTTTAGTATCTATCAGGTTTCTTCTCACCTAATCCCGGATGCTGCCTCTTTAATCGAGGACGTGCTAGTGGTGGAAACTGAAGGAACTTGCAAGCGTAACGCTTTAATTGTGCTGTGTACGATTGATCCCAAACTTGCTATTAGCTGGTTAACGAATAATTTCGATCACATTATTTCTCTCAATGCCTCCTCTCTCCTTATTGTCATTGAATTCATTCGAAAGATCGTCATTGTAAACTCTCCTGACAAAGCTAAATATTTCTCGCTTCTATTAGAACTTTTGCATGTACCTTCCAGTAGTGTTGTTTTTGAAGCTTCTACTTCCTTAATGAACATGACGACAAACATTCAAATCATCAAAACCGCTGCTTCTCGACTTTTGGACCTTGCTACCCGTGAAGCCGATAACAACGCCAAACTCATCATGCTGGATAGGATTGCTGACCTCGTTCACCATGAAAAGTCCGGACTAGATGATATTGTTACCGACGTTCTTCCGTTCCTGGCTAATACTGACTTTGATGTATGCGAAAAAGCCATTTCCATCATTTTAAGTTTGGTCACCACGAGAAACGTTGACGATATCTTGGAGCAACTTCAAAAGGAGCTCTCCAAGTCTAATGGTGAATCCGAAAATGATGATGCTCGTCGTCGCGCTCTTACAGAAGCTATCCATCACTGTGCAATTACTTTCCCTCAAACTGCTGCTACTGCCATTCAATACCTCTTAAGCCACATTTCTGATTTTCAAAGTAAATCTGCTTCAAGTGTTCTGTCTTTTGTTAAAGAAGTTATGGAAAAATTCCCAGAACTCCGTTCTGCAAACCTTACTAAGCTTTTACTTTCTTTGAAGGAATTTCGCGCCGGAAAGATTTTCCGCGGCGTAATTTGGATTGCCGGTGAGTATTGTCTTACTGAAGCGGATATCAGGACTGCTTGGAAGAGCATTCGAGCAAGTATTGGTGAAATTCCTATTCTAGCTTCTGAGGAGCAACTTTTGAATGATGTTTCAGATTCCCAAGAACAAGACTTGCTTGTTGATGTCCAAACAGCACCCTCTTCAAGCCGTAAAATTCTTGCAGATGGAACTTATGCTACCGAAAGTGCAGTAACGAGCGAGTCACTTAATGCTGCCAGACTGGAAGCCGTGAGAGCATCTAAAAAGCCTCCTCTAAGGACTCAAATATTGGGTGGTGACTACTATTTGGCAACAGCGTTAGCTTCCGCTCTTACTAAACTTGTTATGCGTTATAGCCAAATTTCGAATGATCATGAGAGGCTGAACGCTCTTCGTGCTGAAGCAACCTTGATTATGACATCCATTATCCGAGTTGGACAGTCGAAGTTTGTTAAATATACGATCGACGATGATTCTATTGAGCGTATTCTAAGCTGCATTAAGGCTCTTTATTCCTTTGAAGGTTTTGACCCACTACAAAAGGTCTTCCTTGAAGACACAAAAAATGCATTTTCTCACATTGTCTTAGAGAATGAAAAACGTCAAAAGGCTGAAGCGTCTCTTGCCAATGAACGTAACGCCATGCAACCTGATGATACTCTCAACATTCGACAACTTAGCAGAGCAATTGAGGAAAAAGCTGAAACATCTTTTGAATCTGATGTGATTCAGGCTGCAAGTGATGGTATTGTTATGGAAGATTTGTCATCTAAATTGGATCATGTTGTATCCTTGACTGGGTATACTGATCCGGTATACGTTGAGGCATATGTGAAGATTCAACAATTTGACATTATCTTGGATATTCTTATAGTTAATCGTACCGACAGCACTTTACAGAACCTTTGCCTAGAACTAGCCACGCTCGGTGATCTTAAAATTGTAGAACGGCCTGCTCCCCTTAATTTGGCTCCCAGAGCATTTAATTCCGTTCAAGCAACTGTGAAGGTTTCCTCTACTGATTCCGGTGTAATATTTGGTGCAATTTCTTTTGGTGGTAAAGCTTCCGAAGAAGATCGAGTAGTTAATTTGAGTAGCATATCTCTAAACTTGATGGATTATATCAAGCCCGCCAGTTGTCCTGAATCCAAATTCCGCAGCATGTGGACTGAATTTGAATGGGAGAACAAAGTTGATATCTCATCCAATGAAAATATTAACTTAATGGAATTTTTGCATAAACTAATGAAGAAGACGAATATGAATTGCCTTACTCCTGATGCTAGCTTGCGGGGAGACTGTGGTTTTTTGAGCGCTAATTTGTACGCCCGCAGCATTTTTGGTGAGGATGCGCTGATGAGTTTGAGTGTTGAAAAGTCTACGGATGGGCCTATATCTGGTCATGTTCGAATTCGCTCTAAGACCCAAGGAATTGCTCTCACTTTGGGCTCTTTAGTTGCTGCTTAAAAGATTTCCGATTGCTATTAAGATCATTCACACTTTACGAGAAGCTTTCAACTCTCACACTGACACATTGATAGATAAATAGCGTTTTTCGATATTCTACACTCATCTTTTGTTTTTATGATTTGGAACACTGCTAGCGCAAATGACGTTTAGAAGAATATATTAACTATCGTTTTCCAAGCCTTTTCCTTTTCTCTTATTATCGATTTCGAATAAAGTTTTGCCAATAGAATAATTACTATTTGCACAGATGGTTTCAATGAAATATCTTCTATTAATTTTAGTATGGTATGTATAGATGAAATCACAAAGATCTATGCTTCTAATAAGGATTAGCATAAGCTTTCTATGTACTAATTTGTAGTACTTAAACAAAATTAACAATTCTACATATTCTATAGTTTGATTACTTTTAAAAACTGCATAGGGAACCATTATTGTTTGTCTAATTTATAATATAATATATATATATACATATATTGTTAACGCCATGTAATGCTTTACGTTAACGGAACTGACTTGTTACCGCGATCGCTACTTGATTTGGTAAACGTAAGGCTGGAACTTGTCGTTAACCTATCTTTTTGTTAGGCCTGAAGTTGTAGTTTATATGGTATGGTGGGTAAAATCATAATTCTTTAGCTAATTTATTTAGGCCATTATAAAGAGAGTAAACCGGACGAAAATTGCGGATGCCAAAGCCCCAAGCAATGCTGGGCAACCCGCTGGCGTTCGAAAAGCCGTATTTCAAGGCAGCCGCAAGAAGACAGTGGGCGTGGATGATTTGACATTACTCTCCAAGATTACTGATGATGAAATAAATAAAAACTTAGAGCTACGTTTCCGTAATGGTGAGATTTATACATACATCGGGCATGTATTGATTTCAGTAAACCCTTTCCGTGATTTGGGTATATATACTATGGATGTTCTCAAGTCATATCAAGGAAAAAACAGGCTTGAAACATCTCCTCATGTGTTTGCAATTGCTGAAAATGCCTACTATCAAATGAAGTCGTATCGCGAAAATCAATGTATTATTATTTCTGGCGAATCTGGTGCTGGCAAGACTGAAGCAGCTAAACAGATTATGCAATATATAACTCATGTCTCGAAATCCGTTGGTACTGAAATTGAGAGGGTTTCCCAAATTATTTTGGCGACAAACCCCCTACTTGAGAGCTTTGGCTGTGCTAAAACTCTTCGCAATAACAATTCCTCCCGCCATGGAAAGTACTTAGAGATGATTTTTAATCCTGGCGGTGCTCCAATTGGTGCAAAGATTACGAACTACCTTTTGGAAAAAAATCGTATAGTTCATCAAGTTCGAAATGAGAGAAATTTTCATATCTTTTACCAATTTACGAAGAGTGCTCCTCAAAAATATCGTGATGCATATGGAATTCAGGGGCCCGAAAGCTATCTTTATACTTCGGCTAGTCAATGTTTCTCAGTTGATAGTATATCTGATGAAAAAGATTATCAGGGTACTATCAAAGCTATGCAAGTAATTGGTATTACTGAAGCAGAACAAGACGAAATTTTTAAGATGATTTCAATTATCTTATGGCTTGGTAATATTCAGTTTCAAGAAGGACCTGACGGCGGCAGTGTAATTACCGACAGAAGTATTTCAGAATTTTTAGGATATTTAATAGGAGTTTCTTCCTCTTTAATTGAAAAGGCCTTAACTATTCGAATTATGCAAACTCAACATGGTTCTAGAAGAGGCTCCGTTTATGAGGTCCCTCTCAATCCAACCCAAGCGTTAGCTGTTCGAGATGCTTTGGCTATGGCCATATATAACTGTCTTTTCGATTGGATTGTTGAGCGAGTTAATAAAGCACTGGTTACTTCAGATAGATCCGCAAACACTTCAATTGGTATTCTGGATATTTATGGTTTTGAGATTTTTGAACACAACTCCTTTGAACAACTTTGCATTAATTATGTCAATGAAAAGTTGCAGCAAATTTTCATTGAGCTTACGCTGAAAACCGAACAAGAAGAGTACGTTCGTGAACAAATTGAATGGACTCCTATTAAATATTTCAATAATAAAGTGGTTTGTGACTTAATTGAGTCAAAGAGACCTCCCGGTCTTTTCGCTGCCATGAACGACTCTATTGCTACTGCACATGCTGATTCTGCTGCCGCCGATAATGCTTTTGCTCAACGCTTAAACTTCCTTTCGAGTAATCCTCATTTTGAACCGAGACAAACCCAATTTATTGTCAAGCATTATGCTGGCGATGTTACTTATGATATAATGGGCATGACCGACAAGAACAAAGATCAATTGGCTAACGATATTTTAAATGTTGTTCAGTCATCGAGTAACGACTTTTTGAAGTCTATTTTCCCTGTTGCTCAAGAAAGTAGTGCCAGACGTCGACCTCCTACGGCTGGTGATCGCATTAAAGCTTCTGCGAATGACTTGGTCGACACTTTGATGAAATGCCAACCTTCTTATATTCGTACGATCAAACCAAATCAAACGAAATCACCTCAAGAATATGATACTCGCATGGTTTTACATCAAATCAAATATCTTGGTCTTCAGGAAAACATTCGTATTCGTCGCGCTGGTTTCGCATATCGCCAGGCATTTGATACATTTGCTCAGCGTTTTTCCGTTTTAAGTGGTAAAACTAGTTATGCTGGCGAGTATACTTGGCAAAGTGATGACAAATCTGCTTGTGAGCAAATTTTGAAAGATACTAATATTCCCCCTACTGAATATCAGATGGGTACTAGTAAAGTGTTTATCAAAAATCCTGAAACCCTTTTCACACTGGAGGATATGCGCGATAAATTTTGGGATAGTATGGCTGTAAGAATTCAACGAGCCTGGCGTGCTTACGTTAGAAGAAGGTCAGAAGCTGCTTCTTCTATACAAAAGCTGTGGAATCGTAATAAGGTCAATGTTGAGCTTCAACGTGTCCGTGATGAAGGCTCAAAGCTTTTACAAGGCAAGAAGGAGCGAAGAAGATACAGTATGTTAGGCTCAAGAAAGTTTTATGGCGATTACTTATCGGCTTCCAAAACTAATGGCACATTATGGAATACTTGTGGCTTAAATCCTAATGATAACGTTATTTTCTCTATGCGTTGCGAAGTACTTGTTCATAAACTGGGCCGATCCTCTAAACCTTCTCCTCGCCAGCTTGTTTTGACAAAAAAGAACCTATATCTTGTTATCACTAAAATTGTTGATCGTCAACTTACTCAGCAGGTCGAAAAGAAATTTCCTGTTACTGCTATTGAATCAGTTAATCTAACAAACTTACAAGATGACTGGGTTGCCGTGCGGAACAAATCTAGCCCAGATGGTGATATGTTTTTGCGTTGTTTCTTCAAAACTGAGTTAATAACTACTTTGCGAAACATCAATCGTCAACTTAAAGTTTTCGTGGGACCAACCATTGATTATTGTCGTAAGCAAGGAAAAGTTATAACTGTTAAGACACAAAAAGAAGAAACAACAAACGATTACGATTATTATAAGAGTAGCACCATCCGTGTTGGGACTGGATTACCTCCAAATAGTGTTAGTAAACCATTCCCTCGTCTTGCTACTACTTCTCACGCTGTTAAACAGCCTCCAGCTCAGGCAGCTACAAAACCAGCACCCGTTAAACGGGCAGCTCAACCAAAACCGCAGCCTGTTAATCGAAACAAACCGCCTACGCCAAAACCTCAAGCTATGACTACTCAACCATCTCCTTTCCCGGCAGCGAATACATATGATATTAACCAAACCACACAAATATTGCCTATGCAAGAATCATCCTCACCTGCACCTGCCGCTGCTAAATCTCCTGCTGCTACTAACCCAACTGTTTTTTCAACACCTAGTCAAGCTCCTCCTGCTCCTCCACCACCAGCTCCTCCTGCCGCTCCCCAAAAGCCCTTATACATTGCTTTGTATGATTTTGCTGGCCGCAGTGCCAATGAGATGTCAATAAAGAAAGATGAGGTATTAGAAATTGTTCAAAAAGAGCCGAGTGGTTGGTGGCTTGCTTTCAAAAACGGATTAGAGGGATGGGTACCCGCAACATATGTAACTGAAAGCAAGGACACTACTTTAACTGCCGAAAACCAAGTAAACAATGGTGCTTCGAGCCCTGGTGTTAACAATCTAGCTGGTTCACTGGCCGATGCACTTCGTATGCGAGCATCTGCTGTCCGCGGTAGTGACGATGAAGAGGACTGGTAAGTAGAATTGCCTATGTACATATAATGACTTCTAAATTTTGCAATTGAAAACTAAGTACTGCTTCTTTCTATCATTTTTATGTTTTAGATATTACAAAGTACAGCCATGTCAATTTATGAAATAAATCGTTTTATTTTATCAACTGAAGTATCAATAATTAGCATTCAGATAAAGTTAGCAACTGAAAAAAAATCTCGGCGTATCTTGCACATTCATAATGATCTGAGACAAATAAAAGCATGCAATCATTACTAGTTTTATAAATATAATCAGGTGTAAATCGCTTGGCAGAAAAACCTTTATATTCCTTTGGCGACCATTGAAAGAATAGCCTGTTTTACCTTTGAACTACGATCAAAGAGAGACATGCCAAGAGAGCGTACGGAACTGACAACAGAATTATCCAACGCGTATAACTTATGAAATTTATCAGCTACGCCGAGGTAAACATGATTTTTAAAGTACCGGCTTCTATAGTAAGGCTGAAGAGAGAATATACTACCGGGGTCTTGACCATGCTGGATAGCGGAAGAAAGAGCGTTTGTCAAAGCTTCAGCATCCTGTATTCCAGTGTTCATTCCTTGTCCAGCAAGAGGATGGGTATTGTGAGCAGCATCTCCACAAAGGGCAACACTTTCCTTCACGTACTCGTCAACGTGTGCCATACGAAGGGGGAATGATGCGCGTGAGTTAGGAACGATTTCTGAAATTTGAGGTGGCGTGTCAAAAGACAAAGATCGTCTCTTAGTTTCAATTCTCCAATCCAGTTGCTTATCTAGGTTATTTGGCTCAACGATGTCCATTTTAAAGAGATAATCCAAGTCAACCTGATCTAAGAGAAACGCAGCATTCAAAAACTTAACAAATGTAGGATCTGGCAAAGCGAGTAATTTCTTTGCTAGTTCTGGATAAATTGACCAAACAAAAGTAGCATTGTTTCCTGGAAGAGGGAGGTATGCTAAAGGACCGGTAGGCAGAAAGCGCTGAAAAGCAACTGAAGGTAAATTATTTTGAGCGACTCGAAGAGTTCCAACCACACCATGAGCAGGATATGCCCATCCAGGCATTGCTATTTTGGCAAATTGACGTACTATAGAGTTTCTGCCGTCGGCACCAACCAACAATCGCGTGCGTAGTACTCCATGAGTTGATGTGTGTATAGAAGGAGCATTCGTATTTTCATCTCTTGTTATCTTTTCTATGTTACAAGGAACTAAGAAATCAAAATTGTCTTGTCGTATATCCTTTCTCTTTAAAATGGACCGTAGTAAACCATACTGTAAATTCACATTTTCCGCCATAAAAGCCATGGGATCAGTATTCTTTGGTTGATCAAAGTGAACTGTTGAATTAGTTATCCCATCATAAGCGTAAATATGTTGAAAGGGTTGTAATCTCTCTTGACGCATATGTTCCCAAGCTCCAATTCTTTCAAAAAAGCTTCGACTACGAGCCATTACAGAGACACAGCGATTCGAGTATGAAGTAGGATTCCAATCCTGAATCATCAAAGTGTTTTTGTTATCTAAAATAGCAACCTTCAGCGACCGTGTATAAGGATTCGTTTGTAATCCCGCAGCTAAGGCCAATCCAACAGGACCCGTTCCGACAATAGTAATATCATAATCACTTTTTGGTATGCTCGTCTGAGTAGCAAATAGGCGGGTTAACTTGGGATAAATTCGTAAAGCAGAATTAGACATTCGCATCATGACAACAAGATACAGTATTCTATAGACGAAGAAAACCTTTAATTAATGATTTATTTTAATATTCTTTATAGGTTATTTTCTCCAACTTAACACATATCGAGGTTGTAAGTTTAGTTCTTTCCAATCGTAAGTTCGTAGTGTTCAGTTCGCCTAAACAAGTAGTTAAAAAAGAAAACGATATCAGCATGGGCTACCAAGTCACTTCTAGTATGTACATAATATATTTTTAGCTACTATTATTATCCATAAGATTTCGACTCTTCTCTGTATTTTATGTTCTTTACACGACGAGTGTTACGTTTTTTAATCAACCTTTAATATTCACCGTCTAATTCAGAGAAGCAGTAATTGTTCATTTAAAAAAATGTCATAGTTATCTACTTGCTCTTATAATCATACCTTAAAACTGATACCACCCTGCTTGTACAACTTTACATTTGCCTTTTACTACTGTACGACTTAACATTAGAGGATAAAAAATGATCATTGTCCAAATCTTGGACGACTAATACATATAGGATTCCGTCGCGTAATTTGAAAACATGCGTGTCAGAATAGAGGCTTGAGAGTTCTTAACGACCTAGGAGGGAAGAGAAACATAGAAATAATAAATACTAGCTAACATACCAATGAAGATTAAACATCATTCATAAGAATCATAAGAGTCATAAAACAATTAGAAAAGAACACATAAACAACCATAAACAAGAACGCAAATAAGGTATCTGAAATTAAACTCCACATCCATAAACAAAGATTATTTGTTTACACTTTTTGTTTTGTTTATATACTGTTTACCATAGAATTCAATCGGCCAAATCCCAACCTCATTTCAAGAAAAAGGCAGGAACAACCTTTCTTTTTTCTTTTTTTCTTTTTGGATAATTTTTTGGTACGTGGGCTGCAAGTTCCTAAGGTATTTGGGATGTCGAATTTGGTTGTTAGTAATACCGACATGAATCAAAAAACTCATGACGAACTACAAGATCAGAATGAAAGTGGCTTCAATTTGCAGACCAACGAAGGTGATCTACCTGGCTTAACTGAAAAACAGTCGGAAAAGCCATTGATGAAAAATTCGTCAATCAAGGAAGATTCCCGCGTATCTGAGAAACCAAGTGTTAGTGAATCTGATGAAGTGAAACAACCAGAAGACAACGCTCCCGATTCCAACAATCAGCTCGCTCATAATTTACATGGCGAAGCTTTTCAAAGACCCGATGGTGTAAAGGGACAGCATTTGCAGGTTTATACTCAAGAATTTCATGTTCAGACTCCTGTAACACCACAACCCATGACAGGCAGGACTGTTGCATCACCAAACGATGATATATCCCCTACTGAATCAGTAGCTTCGACAAAGCCAGATTCAGTTTTATCAGATAGACAAGGGGGATTCGCACCTGCGTCAAGAAGTACTGTGCGTATCTGTCTGTATCACAAACTTTACAACAAATGGTATCTTAACATGAATGAAGATGATGATAATCAGACGATTGCAGCATACGCTCAGCATTTTAGCAGCGACAACCGTCCATCTATCTTTTATTTGCTTCAAGGTATTTCCTTTGGTCCAGAGTATGACTATGTGTTACGTCGTAAACATTGGTGGAATCCTTTGAGCGAAAAAGTCATGCGAAAAGAGGTAGTACTTCCAAAAATCGACACTCATCCAGGATGCCGATCTGTATATGAGCGTTATCAGAAAAGTAAAATTTATGGTGATGAAGATGTATTGATTGTACCAGTATACGGTCTAAATATGTGGGTTGTCTCCTTGATTGTTGCAAGTGCTGCAGGATCAGTGCTAATTGGTTTATGGATGCGGCTTTCAGATCCCTTTTTTGCACACGGTATGCTTCTCAACCTTGGACTAGGAAGCATTGGTAGCTTCTTATACTTGCTTTCGAACACTTGGTGCAGATAAAGTATTGTTCAAAATCCACATTTCTCCATTGCTTGCTTTTTTAATAGAAAGCACTTGGACAGAATCATTTAGGTAAAGAATATCTTTTTGTTTAATAACATTTATGGTTGATCCACTTAAGGACTTATATTCTCGGTTATCAAGCGAAGGATTTACTGAGATAAGATGGGATTTCATAAAGTGATGTAAATTTCCTTGAGCTTCATCTTCAGTAATGTGAACAGGTTCAGTAGGCATCTCAAACTTGGCTTCCACTGAATCCAACATCCATGGCTTCACTTTCATATTTTGAAACGCTAGATCGGAGGGTACCAAAATCGTAGTATAGTTATTTGTATCCTTTAGCCTTTCTACAAGCTCAGGAAATTGCATAAGAATATCTGAAAAAATATTGCAATCCCTTGAGCCAGCTAATAGCTCGAATAAACGAAGCTGGTGAGTAGTTTGCATTTGGAAAGGTTTCTGTCGGAAGGAGAATGCGTTTGTAATATATAAAAACGTAGAGAATAAGAAAAAGTTTACGATAAACGGTACTTTCATGCTAATACCTTGACGTTCTATAGCGAAAAATTTAAGAGCATATACCACTGCTATAGCTTGTAAACGGAGAGAATTGATAATTCAGCTGAAAAGAAAACGTCTCAAAAACTGGTTTTGCTAAAAAAAAAAACGTCCCTATTGAGCAGTAATAATAGCTTCCTAGTTCAGAAAAGTTAGAGAAAACAATACTAACTAAAGAATAGCAATAATAACTACGCTTACTTACGATATTTTAATCAAAGTATAGTAAAAGTACAGATTTGTTGAGGTAAGAGGGAAATTGTTGATCATTTAATAGTTAACTGAAATATAATATGATTTACAGCATAATATATCAAATGGATTCCCAGAGAACATTTTTTTTAGAAATTAGTATGATTATTTCTTTATTCCATGTATTTTTAAAATTGAATGAAAACGCGTAACATCTTAATTGAAACTCACCACGAACATCTGGTATTTCAACAGAATAAACCAAAGACTAAGAGGAATCTTAAAATATTTATTGAATTCTTTACTGATTAAGAGCTTTTCTTTCCAGAGAAGTACATTAAAGCATCAGTGATCGTAGTTAGGGCATCGTAGCCTAAACCATATAATAAGCTAGTACTCGGGTTTCGCGTTTTACGGCATCTTTTGTAAGAAATTCCATTTACAGAAGAGTTCATTTACGGTAAAAGAGGACTTACAAATCTCAAAAGTTTAACTATTGAGGAACCACTTTTGTTTGATTGAAGTGAAAACTAATTGAATAATTAGTAAGTGAAATTCCTGGAACAAAAGTTAACGAAGAAACGACTAAACAATGTTTGAATGATGGAGCTATCTCCAAAGGATGATATTTCTGAAGTATTGAATAATGGAGCATCGCAATCTACGGATCCTTCTTTATGGGCTATATTCGGACAACACTCAATGGAAGATTCAAGCGAAAGGAGGAATGTTGGTGCTGAAGTAGATAATGGTATTTTTGACCTTAGTCAGTTAAACGAGCATCAATTGACCTCGTCCATGCCCAACGCCATGGGTTTGTCGGGTCAGAATGGACTAATAGCCAAAAGCTTCGATGGAGATGATAACCCTGGCAAGGACGATGCATCTCTGCTAAGCCAACATATGCTGAGCACCGAAATGGAACACAAAATTATGGAGGCGAAGGGTCGACAAGCAGTGGGTGGCAATCGTAAAGGTAAACGCGTTTCTACAACTGCAAATTCACTTGAGCGTAATGGAACACAGTATGTCTCAAATGAGGCTCCAATCGCCGTGAAATCCAGCATCCCCGCGCTTCCGCGTACTACCTATGAAAGACTCTGCTACGAGTCTGCAATTGCCAGTGGATTATCTCCTGATTCTCTTTCAAGTGATGAGGTAGGTTTGCTATCTGAAATCCTGGATAATCCTTCTTGGTTGTCTCTTTATTTAAAAATCCGTAACGGCATATGCTATCTATGGCATAGAAACCCGACACTGTTTGTATCCTTTAATGAAGCCTTGGGTATCGTTCGAGAAAAAATGGCATTTCCTTTGGCGTCATTAGCTTTTGAATTTTTAACGAGAAGCGGCTACATTAACTATGGATCACTCAATATTTCTCTTAGTCTGCAACCAGGAGAAAATCTTCCTCAGAAAACTGTAGCTATCGTTGGTGCTGGCATGGCTGGCATAAGTTGCGCGCGTCAATTAGCAAATTTATTTGCGCAATATGAGCAGGACTTTATAAATCGCGGTGAAAAATCTCCTCAGTTAATCCTTTACGAGGCATCAAGTCGATTAGGAGGCCACGTTTTTTCTCATGGAGTACCTATTTATGATTCTTTAAGTGAAGAAGAACAAACTGGACGTCAGTCAGATGCACTTCAAACCTGCGTGGTTAACTTATCATCTGACTTTCTATATGGCTGTCCCTTTTTAGAAAATGATCCGTTACACATCATAGTCTCTCAGCAACTTTCATTAGACGAAGTAATACGCCAGACTCAGAACGTTGCTCTATATGATTCTGGAGATGGTCGAATAGACCAAAGGCATATAGACAGAGTCTTAATGCTATTTAGATCTTTACTTGATTATTTTTTCTCAATGAAAAATGATCAACTTCTGAATATAGTATTTTCCCCCAAACAAAAGTTTATTCTTACTTTGCAGAATTTGGACTGGCGTCTTGTTACTGATGAATTTCCCTTGTCTAATTACGACTCACTTAAAGACTTCTTAGAGGATTCCTTCAAAAATTTGAATCAATTACTACACTTTTCCATTGCGGAAACCCGGGTGTTTGAATGGTGCGTTGAGTACTTAAAACAAATGTCTTGTGTGCCGTTAGAATTAATAAAAGCGTCATCTAAATGTTTTATTAACTTCCCTTTTGGAGAAGCTGTTCCTTCGTATGCTATTAAAAACGGCATGTCAACGCTAATTGAAGCACTAGCTACGACTCCTAGTCCTTTACCGGTTTTATTTGATCATACCGTCCAGTCAGTCAATTTAGAAGGCCAAAAAGCTCACCTTTCATTTACGAATGACACAAATATAACTGTTGATAAAGTGGTAATGTGTTTACCTATTAATAAGTATCGAGAGTCTAACGTTTCATTTGGACCGCCAATATCTGAGCAGAAACTAGATGCTTTGAATAAGTGCTACTTATTGAATCGCAAAAAAGTTATCTTTCTGTTTAAAAGCCAGTTTTGGGAACTTCACAAAAGCGTCTTTGGGTCTTTGACCTCTAGTAAGAAAAACTACATATATAACGATTGTTCAGACATATATGGATTCCCATCATTAAGCGTGTACGTGGATATTCCTGCGCATCAACGAGTTGTTGACAGAGATATTGTTCATAATATCCTTTTAGAACTCAGTAACATTTTTAAAATCGAGAATCTGCAACCGTTACGCACTGTTATTACGAACTGGGAAAACAATGCATATTCAAATCACTACTCATATGCTATTTCACCTGATTCATCCTTAGAAGATTATTCTGTTTTAAGAGAGAGCATGGACGATACTATATATTTTGCCAGTGAAGCGTTATCAAAAGAGTATTCCGGAACTTTACGCGGTGCTTTCCAATCTGGTTTATTGGCTGCGAAAGATGTTCTTAGTTCTTTAATTGGGGATGTTGCCGTTCCTAATACTTTAATAGTAGAAGAAAAACTTGAAGGATCTGAATCCAACCGTAAAAGATCAGCAGGACAAGTGTATGGCAATGGAAGGAAAGGAAATGATGACAATAAAGCCCTCAATTACTATCACGATTATCTTAGATTAAGGAAGCAGAGACTTGAAAGAGAAGAGCAAGAATGCGAACTTTTAATCGCCGAACTTCTTGGCGCTCGGCCCGTTGCTCCTACAAGACCAAGCGCAAACCCATACTTAATATATCAAAAAACTCAATGGCATGTGTGTAGAGCACTTGCAGACCAAGAAAAACAAAGAAGTACTGGTGATCCTGAGGCACGTGCCACAAAAAATGAAATCAGGGCCAAACTTGGAAAAACATGGAGAGCTCTCGATGATCTAGGAAAACAACCCTGGGTCGATGAGGTCTCTGCTAGGCGGGCGAATTATTCCAGTCGTTTAGAAGAGTATCAAAGACAAATAAATGCCTATAATGTTCGCGCCGCACAAATTCGCGATGAGCATCGTCGCAAGTGTGAATCTCAGCCTCTTCCCGAAGAAGAAGCAAGGTTGAAGATCCTTTCGCAGGAGGAAGACGAGCGTGCTCAAAAGCGTCGTCTTCTAGAAAATACAACCTTGAACGACAGTGACGAGGAATATCGAGAAGATATGGATTATGAAGAACAAATTGATGATAATTTTTCCGATACGTTCACTTAGATTATAATAGGCAATCTAAAAATATACGCTTGGGTTTCTGGTGCACTTCTTTTTTTTTTTTTTTTAAAAAATTTTAAAAAAAAGAAGAAAAAAGTAATACAAAATTTATTCACGTAAAAACTAGTTTATCATTTATTCCCTTCCTATTATAGAAAAAATACATACTCATATTCCTGTTCTTTAGCCTTTGTCAGATATAATTAGGTAAATACAGTATTTATTGTCAAGGTCACTACACAGTACTGGGTACATTCTAAAATCAACTAAATAAGGTCACTCTAATAGAAGTATAATACGAAAATAAAAAATGTCAAAGAAAGCTTTAAGTCATCTGTCGTTTGATCCTCCTGAATCCTTAGACAAGGATCAAGTTGTTGCTAAAGTATTGCAACTCAGAGGTTCAGCATTATTTACGGTTTGTGAAGCCAATGGACGAGAACTACTCGTTGAGATGCCTGCAAAATATCGAAACAAAGCATGGATTAAACGGGGTGGATATGTTGTAATAGATAAGTCTGAATTTACAGACCAAAACAACAAAATCGACGGTTCTATTGCATACGTGGTTCAAAACCCATTGAAAATTTGGGAGAAGCAACCTTATTGGTAAGTTTTTTCATAATCTATATGAATAGCTAACAATTGTTAGGCCTAAAGAGTTTACCAACAATACCCCTGCAGATATAGAAGAAAGTAGCAGTAGTGAAAGCGCCGAGGAGAGTGATTGATACGTTTATTTTTTGGACAAAAACATGTTTTATTAACCTTACCATATAGCTATTTTAGTTGCTTAATAGAACTGAAATGTAGCTTCCAGAATGCTAAAATCATAACTTATAGTACTACCAATAGCATTTGACTCATAAATGATTCCATCAGTAATTTTTTGGGTCATAAAGGAATAATAGATTACTAAATTATCACCAAGCATTTGCTTTATAACAATCCTAAACATGTTAGTAATTTGCTTGATCAGTGATTGTGCAAACTTACCTCACCATAAAAAGCAAGGACAATAGTTCTATCATCAAATTTACAGCCTCGCATCTCTTGTATGGCTGCTTCAGCCGATTTGATATCAGCAAATCTCACGTATACTTTTCCAATGCCAATGGAAGGAGTGTCAGATAAACCTTTTCGTTGAGGAATCTTTATGTCTAGAATTTTTCCAAATCTAGAAAATTGAGTAGAAACGGCTTCTTGAATTTCTATAAAAGTGTTAGAAAAAAATTTAAAAGAGACGCACTTACCTTCACAATCTCGAGGATCAGCAGCTTCGTTTTCTGTTACAACATTATGAATTTGTAACACACGTGTAGCCTGAACTTTGGGATCCACTTTGGCTAATTCTGTCAAAGCGACCATTCCCACATTGCTTTCGGGTATTTTTTGATTCAAACCTACACAGGAAAAACCAACCTTTATTTTTTTGTCGTTAAATTCCATTCCGTCTAAATTTTGAATCGCCTTCCCTGCGTCCTCAGAGTTACGGTATTCACAAAATCCAAAACCCTTAGAAGATTCGTCAGCAACATTTTTTATTAATTGAAAGCTCAATAACTCTCCGAACGGTTTGAATAACTCAATTACGTTCTGTTCACTCAAATTAGAAGGGAAGTTGGTGAAATAGATTTTATCTTTTGAGTCCAATACTTCATTTTGCGTAAAATCCAAACTTCTTTGGTTTGCAGTCTCAGGCATAATTTGTGGAACAATGTAGTTTTTAATTCTGTTAAAACTTATCAGTATATCAGGTGCATATTGAGCGGTATGTAAACCCCATAAAAATGTGGCATCTTCCGGCTTCGATAATTCTAAAATTGCAGAATTATCTTCTTTGGAAAAAAAAACATTCGAAAAATGACTAGTTTCTGGTTTATGGTACGTTGTGGATATAAACAAATCTTCGATAAATGGCTTGAATGTATTTATGTCAAAGTCTGACGGAAGATTGGAAACGACTAATCTTCGAGCTTGACGACTAGCACCAGGTTGCAAAGGGGGAGGTGGCGCCATGATACTTCCTGCTGCCGATCGAGCAAACTCAAGAAGCTTTTCAGGATCAGTAGTAGCAGTACGAGGTGCGCCAGGAAGAGGAAATAAACCAGACATTTTAGCTTGGTCAGCGGTTACTAACTCATAACCAGGAGGTTTGATATCCCATTGAGAGTTTTGACGAACCCATTCATTGATTGGCTTCACATCCCTAAGTTGCTCTAATTCGCGTTCTATAGATTGCAGAGTACGAGACCTACTTGAAGATGGACTCACGCTTCTACGTCTAGAAGAATACCTTGAAGAATGATACTCATGGTCATCATAACGTCTCCTCTTTGATCTTTCATCATCACGGGGACTTCTCTCTCTATACTCTCTGTTTCGTCGGTAATCATGATCTTCTCGGTGTCGACGTCGATGATCGTCTCGATAATAGCTTCGCTCTATGTCACGCGAGGAGTATCTGTCCATACGTCCACCATTTTCATCTCGAGAATCTCGACCTCTTCTCGAAGAGCGAGATTCTGAAATTCTGGACGACAAATCCATTTTAGCAATCCAAGGTCTAAATCAATAGTATGTAAGACTAGATTAAGGTTTCTGAGGGTATAAAATAAGCAATGGAAGAGTAAAAATTATAGTAAGCAATAATTATACGTTGTTTGTGCAGTCGTTTATATAACACGACTTGAACAGCTTGCAAAGTCACAATATAATTCAGAAATATAATATTTGTTTTTCTTTCTTATTTAATAGCAAGCTAATCCCAAAACCTTTTCTCCTGAATGAATTTTTTAGAGTAGGTAGAGGTGACCTTGAGAACCGTATGTCTACCGGTTACTACACAAGAACAAAACTACCAATTTTGGGTTTATTTTAATGCAATTGAGTTAGTTCAAAAACTAGAAAGAAAAGAAAGTAGAAAGTACTATACTTTCACTTCGAAATGGTGGAAGTGTCGGTCAAGTACCAGCATTAGTCTATAAAAAAAATTTTAGCCAACTTTTCGACTTCAAACGCGTCTAAAAGACATTTATACAATTGTTTTTGTTATATTGAGAGGATTTCTATAATATCCGTGCTCATATGAGGATGCATCCTTATTTACAGTCTATTCGAATCATATGTAGAATTGGCGTTAGGAATTTCTGATATTCTTATTAAATTAAAGATTGTCGTTTTCTTATTGTTTCGCGTTTTATGCAATCTTAAATAACGCTTTTATTATTACCTACTCTCTTTAAATTTTGGAAGCATTCCCTTAAATAGACGAAAAGGATGAAGCGCTATCTTCAGGAGGCATTTGGAAATGAACTTCCAAGTGATGAATATCCGACTAATGAAAATCGGTATCCTCCTAAAAATGTCATTAATTTGTCAAGTGATCATCCGACAAAGCAATTCAAAGTCAATTCAACCGAAAGCTCAATGTACTTGTTGGGTTTTAAACATATACTTTCTACAGTTCTTAGTCACGAGTCTCACCTCTTAACGCAAGAAGAGTTAGTCGTTTTGGATAAATTCAAAATCCTAGCTTGCGACGAACAATACCTTTTTGTTCGTCTTTTCATGAGAAAGCGCGACAAGTGGTTTCGAGTCACACAGCTAAATTATCAAAATTGCCAAAGCATAACAGAAGCTAGTGCAAACCTTACGAAACTAGGGTTTTTTGTTGATGAAAATTCAATAAGCATTGAGGAATTATTAGATACTATGACTTTAGAAGAGCTGCGTACGGTTGCTCGTTTCAGTAAAATAAACGGGAAATCGAGGAAAGAGATAATTCACTCAGTTATCTGTTTATCAAGAAATCAGTCCGTCCTTCATACCGATGGTCAGTTACTTCTTTCATTTAATGGAATAGGAAACTTGAATAATCAGACAAAGCAACTTAAACAGCAGCTTTTATATCACAGCGGATCATGTGTAAAACCAGAAAGAAGTGTCGTTGAGCTTTTTCATCGAATCCATGCTGTGTACTTTCGTTCTACAATTTATGATGAGCATTCTCTAACTTCTTTGATCCTAGTTCGCATAAAGAAAACAGTATATCCAGGTTATCAAATATCTCGAACCTCAAACGTATTCGAATCTAGGACAATATTAATAGAATACGTTGATGCGTTAGAGCTTTGTAAGAAACTTTTGCCATTATTTGAAGGACCTAGTTTGTCAAACAAGGAAGCTCTTGGAACTGCCCTTGATCTTTTTTTTAATATCTATCCAAAATGGTTGTCATACATCCATCAGGATATGCTAAAGTTTGCGACTGATTTTGAGGAAGATAAGCAGCGTTTGTACAGTTTTATATTTTCTTATCGCCCAGGGGCCGTTTATACTTATTTGATTCATAAAGGTACGAATGTTTTGGGAAAGCTACGACTAGTTGAACTTGAAATCGAAGTTCTTGATACTCTACTTGCTCAAAATTTATACTTGATTGGTAAACGGGGATTTTGGTATAATAGAAAAGCGCTTTTGGAAGGGAACTACAAAACTACGGACGTTAGTGTGTTACAAAATTGGCAACGTCGAGGACTATGTACATGTACGCACGGTATCGAGGACAAAAATACACATATGAAATACCAATTTGTCCTTCAAAGAAGACTTTCGCGACTCGAAAAGGTCTTATTGATACCTGAGAAGGACAGGCGTGATTTTTCATATAACTTTCAAAATAAACCCTCAAGTATTACAATCTTTGGAAAAAGAGTGGATCCTAAGGATAAAAGTCAACCAAGAACACTTTGGCTTACTTCGAAAGGTGATGTATTAACAGTTGAAAAGTTTGCTGTTGAGTACTATGCATCTTTTGGTTGGTCTGCTATTCATTCTGAGGGTGGAATTTTCTTAACTTTATTTGCTTTGGTTTTTTGGGATATTTTGTTTATGGACATCCCAGGTGTTTTCCAATCCGCGTTTCAGTCAGCACCTTTAGATTTATCAACGGATTTATTTTTTTCGGCACGAGAATACGCAATTCGTGGAAGACTTGCAGAAGTCGAAAACGGCTGCACGGAAAAGTATGTCAAAATGGTTTATACCCGTGAATCAAAAAGTCAGCCAGTATGCATCGGGCTTCAATGGTCTTATTCACTCGAGACGCTGCTCTCAGTAATTTATTGTATTCATGGTAAAGCTTTAGCTTCTATATTTCATGCCATGGCCCAAGATTATAAGAATGCTTCTAGTGGTATGCCGGATTTATGCCTTTGGAATACTAGTACAAAGAATTTTCTACTTTCGGAAGTGAAGAGTGATAATGACAAACTGTCCGAACCCCAAAAATTCTGGATAGATTTATTGCTAAGTGCAAACTTATCTGTTGAAGTATGCCATGTGCTCATGGATGCTGATAAAGCTTCTTTATAATCATAGTCATGTTAAGGTTTTGGTCAAAGGGATTAGACAGGACTAGATGGAATATTATTCTTATACTTCGTAATGATAGACCTGACCTTTATTTCGCTCGAAATTCGTATTTAAAAAGGAAGAAATTATCAGGAAGTGTGCCAATGTTTGGTATTTATTTATTTACCTCCTAAGGTTTTTATTTCAGTATGCTAGGTAGTGGATCCTTTCATGTTATGTTTCCTACATAACTCTCAGCAACATTGACGATTTTATGATGAGACGCTTTATTTCCTCTCTTGCTTTTCAACTGATTTTTATAAGTTCAAAAATCAGTACGTAGAATACTGCATCTTTTCAAACCGTTCCTAGACTTTGATAAAGTGTCTTGCCCATTAAGGAAAATTCTCTGATCACATACATCAGATGTCTATTCTTCAACTTCAGTCCCCTTTCACTGTGCGATATCAAATATTAGCATCTTGGCTTGTTCAATGAAATCAGCCTTTTTCATCTTCATAACTTTGATTTCATTGATTTTCAATCCTTATACTTTAAACCTCCTCAGCGCAAGATGCTAGTTCAAATCATGTACAGCCTAATGAAACAAACTTGAAATTTACGTTGTCAAAGATCTTATTGTTAGAAAGAATTACTTCCCTATTTATAATATTCTATACTTTTTCTGTGCACGCGAAAATATTTCCAATATGTATTGCTGCTCTACTGAAGTTATTATGCCTTCGTAATACAGACTTGCATGTTCTTGATAGAGCAGTACAGAACTGTTGCATCTAATTTCTCCCCAAGAGGCCTATGTGGGGGTGATGAAGCGATTGATAGATGCCCTCTAGAATTGGGATGCTGAATATTTTGTTCGGTATTTCACTTTAGGTATTTAAACGAGAAAATATGTATGAATATATCGAATGTGATTTATGATTATTAACTTAACCAAACACATTTCCTACTGTTAACAATTTGTACTTTTAAACGTTTTTTACTTTTTTAATCGCATTTTACTTAGAGGGAAAGCAAGCTATTAGAACAATTGCAAAATGGGAGGCGGTGATTTGAATATGAAAAAGAGTTGGTACGTGTGACCATAAATGTTGTCGAGAATGAATAATTACTAACTGTTTTAGGCACCCTCTTTTAATGAGAAATCAAGAGAGGGTGTGGAAAGAAGAACAGACTCACAAGGAAGAATTAAAAAGGGTCGAGCAATTACGAAGAGAAATTGAAGAGGAACGACAGCTTTTGGAACTTCAGAGGTTACAAGAAGCAGCTGGAGGAAAAAAGAGGAAAGACCATGTGGAATGGATGTATGCAGTTCCTACAGCCGAAGGACCTAAACGAGACTCCTCGGAAATGGAAGAATTTTTGCTTGGTAAACGGCGGTTAGACGACCTTTTAAGTGACAAAGTGGAGGATCAAAAGAATTCCCTTAATAAGACCGAATTTATTTCTTTGCAAAATGCCAATTCTGTTCAAGATACCCAAGCCAAAGTCCGGTTGGACCCCCTTTTGGCTATAAAGCAGCAGGAGCAAAAGCAAATGCAACTACTAGCAGAAAAGAGGAAGAGGAAGCTAGAAGAAGAAGAAAGAAGGAAAAAAGAGTCGGAGCGTCGTAGTCGGCATTTAAACTCACAAGAAAGAAGTTATGATAGACATGGCCGCCATAGTGAATCTCGAAGACGCAGCTATGCTAGAGATGTTACGAGGAGAGACGAATATTCGCCAACAGCATATGGAGACCGACATTATCGCGATAAAAGGTATGTCGACGATCGAGATTATGAAAAAAGACGGTTTTACCAAGACAAACGGAAATACGATAATGAAAGATACAGCCGAAGACAATTTTCTTCAAGGTCACCTTCCCCTCAACGACGGAGTTTTCATAGACCACGTGCTTTTGTTGATGGATCCTCAAAAGAAGATGCCCGTGAGCGTCGATTAAAAGAAATGCAAGACAATGCGCAAAAATTAGAAAAGAATAGGGTCGAAAAACTTCATAAATTAGAACAAGAGGAGTTAGTTGAATCTGCCAAAAATGAAGAGGAACGATCTAAGACTGCTAGAAAATGGAATAACCAAGGAGAATTTCTTCGAGAAATGAAGAGAGAGGTATATTCTGGTGATGCGGTAAACTTGGCTGACCGTGTAAGCAGTATGCGGCATACTGCTCTTAAACAATAAAGCTTCTTTAATGGATGTTATATTAGATGAATGTTTTATTAGAAATATGTGAATTAAGAAGAAAGTTATGGGAAGATGATAAGTTGCTGCATAACTGGCAACCTAGTCATTCTCATTGATAGAAGTAAAAAGACGTAACATATTTGTACCAAAAAAATGAATCGAAATTATCCGGACCTGTCTGGTTCTTGTTCCTGTATGCTATACGCTATTGATCGTTCATCATCGTTCTGATTTTCGGCTTGCTTGATTTCCTGGGATCCTACGACGTATGTAGTTGCAATATCATCACAAGTTGGCACCGTCAGGTTAAACTCTTCGTTGAATTTTCTATAAAACAATCAGTAACGTGTCCAAAAGTTAATTGCAATAGGGGAATGCATACCCGTGCAGTTTACATCCCCAAGCTGTTGCTGCTTTAGAAGAACCAGTTTGAGGAGGGTACTTTCGGATTAATTTTTGCGAGACAACTGAGCATTCACCGCAAGGGAACAAGGAAGCAGATGAAACAATATAATGAAACAATATATTTCTTTCATATAGTGTAGGCAAGCTTGGATAATTGGCTAAAGTAGTATGGAAAGACTAAACAAATAATTAGCATGCGAGACATCAAGACTCATTTGGGCTTACAGTCCAATAATTTTTCATCATTTCGTTTCTATTTAGATTTTATAATTAGTAAAGTAATGACAGCAAGAATTGTCGTAATGAAACCATTGGGTATCACGACATAGTTTTTGATCATTTCATTCCTTACCTTGTCTCTTCCTTGTGGTTTAAAGGAGTGATAACAACAACCTCTTCACTTTTCTCTTTATTTTCGCCAAGTTGCCTGAGTTCAGGCATGTATAGGCGCCATTCTTTGTCAATCATTACGCTTTGAAATACCCATATTACAAAACCCACAATTAGAACTGTTGATAAAAGTATCTGTATCCTCTTGTTAAACAACATCTTTATAAAAATTGATACATCTTCAGCGTTTAATAAATGGAAGTTGCGGTTGAAGTTTAAGTCAGAGGGTACTGATATTTAGTTTGTTTACTTTACCATCAATACTGAAGTTTGCCCTACAGTTCATTATATGTGGCTTCGTCAGGCCTCTCATTCCACAAAGGCAATTAGATGTGGATTTATGTGAAGTCACAATATTACCAAGTGATTTCCAAGGTATATTACTATAAAGCGTAGATAGTTTATGGCCGCCACAGTTGTGATGTCATAATTGGGTCCCTCGTTAGCATTCATAATATAACAATTCGTTATAAGAATGGAATATTAGCTAATATCAGTTAATATTCATAAGCTTAAAGAATTGTGCTTGATAATAAGTAAACAAAAATTTGAAAATGCAAATTTCTCTTTGATTGCAGAAACTCCGATTAAAATTTACAATTCGTGATTATTGCTATTAATTAGAGAAGCCAGTCACGATGGCAAATATACAGAATAATATATATATGTGTGTCGACAGTCGAAATCTTTAGATCGGAAGATTTGACTGATCAGGCTAAATAAGATTGACACTTAGTCGTTTTCATTTAGTTAATCAGATCCCTGGACATATTACTATTACTCTACGTAGTACTAACACGTCCAATTCCAATAGACAATTTTGTAATTGTACTTATTACTTCCACTCGATTTACATTCTCATAACGTGTGAGATTTCTCCCGTGACATGTGAATT